ATGTACTTTATTATCATGTTACAATAAAACAAATACTTTATTTTTTTCAGTTAAAACTCGAACACAAAACTGTTCGAAAGAGTTAAGGCTGTTAAAAGCTCGACTTCTGAAATTGAAGGAAAAATAAGACCCAAAAGAAACTTATTCTTCAGGCAAAAAGATTGTCATAGAATAGGGCATTTTTAAAAGCCATAGAAAATCTTCCAGAACCAATAAAAAAAATTACAAATTTACAATCGAAAACATCATCTATTTTCCAAGAGGTAAAAGATTTACTATACAGGAGAAGATACTGTGCTTGACTATATATAAACAAAGTCAAAAGGCTTATGATATATTACAAAAACTATTTTGTTTGCCATCTAAAAGAACCATGCAGATAGTTTTAAGCTGTATATATCTTATACCAAGTGTAAATGACATCATTATTGAACATATTAAAAAAGCGGTCACGAAGTTAAGTAATGAAAAAACTGTGTACTTTAATATTTGATGAGTTGGCATTATCACTGGGCTTATTTTTCAAAAAAAAAAAAAATGGAACAAGTCATTGGATTTTAAGATTTTGATTCACATAAAATTAAAGGCCTTAAAAGCAAATATAAACAGCCAATTTCATTTACTTTTTGCCAGAGTGCAACAAAAAGTGTTAATTTGAAAGTTATCATTAAAAATGTAATAACACAAATACAAAGCACTGGACTAATTGTAGTATCAACAATTTGCGACCAGTCGCCAACAAATATAAGTGTAATAAATAATTTAGTATATGAAACGAAGCAAAGCTATGTACTTTCATGAAGGAACTGAATGGAAAAGTTTGGGATTTGAAATAAATGGAAAAAAAAATCATACCAATTTTTGACCCACCGCATCTCCTTAAAGGCTTAAGGAACAATTTATTGACAAAAAAAATTAAGATTTCAATATAATCAAGAAATTAAATTAGCAAAATGGAGTCATTTGCACATGCTGTTAGAGTTTGACATTGGAGAAAGTGACACTTATTAAATAAATTAACAGAAACACATATATATAAAGATAAATTACCAAAAATGAAAGTGAAAAATGAAAATCAGCAGCTATGCATATCTTAGCAAGTTAGTATATATTCTTTTCATAGCAGTAGTAATTTTTACATATTATTATGTTGACAAAACTTTCTATGCACTTAACATATTACTAATATAACAGCTTTTTACTCCTCCTTTGCATACTTATGTTTTTTCTTGTCTTTTGCTTTTATTAATTCTCAACTTTACTTGTATGCAATAAAGAAGTTTATCTATCTATCTATCCAATGATAAGGCCTAAGTCTAAAAATAAATTTTAATATATTTTTTATTTCCAGATCATAATATTTTGTCAAAAGTGTGTGTCGCCACAGCTGACCTGCTGCTTCTTGTAGATAAACTCTGGAAATATGACAAAAAGTTAGTGTTATTGAAATACCTTACAAGATCTTCAATGGTCAAATATTATGTTCTGATATTCTCCAGCAGATCCCAATAAATGTCCCAAGATCTATTCCTAGAAATACTAAATAATATTACGAATATTTTTAAATGGAAAATTTCCAGGACCAACATAGGGGAATATTATCCTTTGAACGGACTCATGGCAACATATGTTTAACGAATTTTCGTCTAAGGCTGATATCGATATTTTTCACCCTCAAGATTGTGCCAAATTTGTTAGGAAGTGTTTAGATGTTATTTACGACGAAGAACGATTGTAGTAATAGTTAATAATTATTTGTAGCACTTTATTTCTCTATCTTACCTAGATTAAGTAGATTAATATTGTTATCAATTTGTTTCATAGTTTTTAACTTTATTTAAACCTAGCTTTTATTTTGTTTTGTTTTATTTTAGTTTTGTACTGTTTAGTCTATATTTTAATAGCATCTTGTAATCACACACAAACAAATGCCAACAATGTTGTATACACCTGTAAAAGGCAAATCATACTGGATTGAATATTCAGTGCATTTATAATATTGTGTTAGTTATTATGATAAGTCAATGGTGTATCTTAATAAATAAATAAATAAACTCTTTGACTTGTTCAATGGTCATAGTTATCAGGAAGATGCTAAATTATATAGGATTGCATTGAAAACGAATTCTACACATTCCAAACTGTGGGATGAAATATTACCCGTATTAAACTAAATGAGATAAAAATGGTATAAAAAAATTTATTGTGGTACCATCTATTACAAATTGGATACATGACATTCATGCCACTAGGGAGTTACTTTTTGAGTTAAATAAATATCGTAAGGCGTAAGCAGTCTGTTAACAAGAAACTTAAATCAGGATCGCTTAGAGATTTTTTTTTGTAATATTCGAAGTAATGGGATCCGTAATGTATCTCTAACTTGCTTTTAATTTGTTGGAGCATACAAAACTTTACTTGTAAATAATTTAACTTCGCCACATTCCATTGGTGCAAAACTGTGAACATGACAATAACAAAATTTTAAAACCTTTAAGTTGTCTTATTAAATCGCGATTAAGAGTAAGAGATACATTAAATGAAAAAATAAATGTGGATTCTTTACTTAATTTGTTGCAAGAAAATGTCAATTTAAAACCCAGCAACATAATCAGCATAGAAGCTAAACGCTATGTTGCTAGTTATTTAGTACATAAATGTATGTAAAAATTGTAAGACATGTAAAATGCAGTTGCTACGCACAACACCTCCTGCTAATGATAACTATATTTTATTTACAGATTACACTAAAAAATCCTGTAAGTATCCATCGGAGGTTGATGATGTTTGTGCAGTCATACAAACACAATTAGGTGAAGAACCACAAACAAAAAATATAAAAGAAAAAAATATTCAAAAAGCTGATTTATATTGTGATTTTTCATTTCTTTCTTGCGAAACTCATAAAAACCTTAAAGGAGTTTTATTAAATTATATGATACATTTAATAATTCATAATTGGTACACCAATGTTAACAGGCTGCTTACGGGAAAGTTTACAAATTATCCGAATAATGAGGATAATGTTAAAGTCCAAGCGATTAAATATTATAATACTCACAAAAAAAAAAAAATAATGTTATCAATTAATACTTCCAGCGCAATTAATAAATAGTGCTTATTGTTATTTATATTTCCTCTAATTATGTCGATTAATCAATGCTATAATAATTTTGTTTTATTATGTATAATGTAAGGATTAAGCTAACTAGAATCTTATTTTACTGATCTGGCTAGGTTATCTGCTGCTTATCAACTTGCGGTGTAATATATTAATATTTAATGTTAGATAATCCTGTATTATTAAATAATATTTGTCTATAATCATTAGAATAATTAAGATAAACATATTTAATATTATTTTTTAAGTTTTCAAATTTAATATTAAATTAGGTCAAGATGTTTTTGTATATCATAATAATTTTCAGGATAAAACCTATGTTTTTTTTTATTCAAAATGAAGTACTCTTAACCAACAACATATTTATTTGTTTATTTGAATAAAGATTAATATTATTATGTTGATACAACTTAAACAAATTATTTCGACCAAATTAGGTACCATAAAAACGGTTTTTGTGAGTTAATCTTAAAAGATAGACATATACTGTCGCGGCCTGTTCTTTAGACGATTAAAAGAGCTATTATTCTTTAATACATATTTTTTGTGTATCTTGAACTGTTTTCACGGCGCACCCAACGGAAGGTTTCAAAGATGAAATAATTTCTCCAGTTTTTTACACATTTACCACTATATCTTTGCTCCTATTGGTCGTAGCGTGATGTTATATAGCCCACAACCTTCCTCGATAACTGGACTACGTTGGGTAGGTAGGAGTAAAGAATTATTCAATTCGAACCAGTAGTTTCGGAGATTAGCGCTTTCAAACAAACAAACAAATTCTTCAGCTTTATAATATTAGTATAGATTATCTATGCAAACAATGTTAAATATTGTGCGTCGGGCGTGGTGGCGATGATTGTTTGTTCAAAAATTTTAATTGTAGGAATCGGGCGAAAACAAGAACTCATTAAATTGATAAACTGAGATTTATTATTATAACAACACACAGTACAAACAGTTGACACGAGACGGAGGGTCGAATACAACGGAACGGAGTGACAACTTGCGACATAGAGAGTGGCTCCCCTAGTGAGCTATTTCAACAACTGAAACAATTTACATTGTTGTTGTTGTTTTCTATTAGGTTTAACAATAAAAAAAATTAAACCGTTGTTCTGTTTTGTTTGTGTTTAAACCATGTTTGTTAAGAAACAGTCTGACTCCCGCGGGACACAGTTGATAGGTCAGTTAGTTAGTTAGAGCATCGCTTAGGTCGTGGGTTCAAACCCTAACCGGTGTCAGCTGATATTTAGAATGTTTCATGAAATTTATCGACATTTATTAATATGGTTGGTCTTTATCACGGGTTTGTTAATACAAGCTCAAAATGTACCCACTCTGTTGCGTTGTTCTAATATCTGAGGTAACGTTTAATAAATAAGTAATTGCAAGACTCTTGCTGCAAGAACAAGAACAAGACTGGCCACGTCTCGTCTTGTTCTTGCATTTTGCAAACTTATCATAATAATGAGAAATATGTTGCAATGTATGCAAAAAAACATAACATTCTGGGGCATATGTTATTATCGGTTTGACATAAACAATAATTAATTGTCTACATTTTACAAAGTTAAAATACTCTTGGATATATAAAACTCAACACATCATGTCACCTATAAACGCATGTTCAGAAGAAAGAAAGCACTGCGAAGAGAATGTTACTACAGAGCACCTATATGTTAATAAACAAGGAAATAAACACGTTTAAGACACTTGCGAAACCAAGATGTAATAAAACACAAAACAGGAAAACACGTTCAAGAAATCCCCTATCTGTTCTCAGTATGAGTGACGTGTTCTCATGTTGTATCAGTGTGAGTGAGTGTATAGAGTCCGCGGGTCAGTAGTGAGCTCTTCACCGGCCGCTCGCGTCGTCATGATGACCTCTCTTGGAGCTGTTCTGTTCCTCCTCTCCTCCGTGTTCCTCGGACTGTACGGTCAACACCGGCCCGGGACACGTCCGTACTGATTTAATTATTGTTTCTATCGTGATTTATTATTCAATTACAGACCATTCGCTAGCGTGCCATGAGTTCATCTTAATAGTTGAGTTGATTAATAAAATAAAATTGATTCATTGTGGTCATTATTATCATTGTGATCATAGTGTTTTTATTGCCATCTGTTATAAAATTAATTTACTATTATGTTATAAAAAAGTTAATGTTACAGAAAAATAAATAAGTAAAAAGGATTTTATAATTACAATAACAGACGTGAAGCAGCCGGTTGTTGAATGTGAGTCCGGTGTGTTCGTGGGTCGTTACGACGTGTCTAGGAGAGGTCGCAGGTTCGAGTCGTATCGAGGCATCAGGTACGCGGAGCCGCCCGTGGGGGAGTTACGGTTCCAGGTTGGACTCTTACAATTCTTTTCATATTTAATTTTAACAAAACTCACGTATTCCAAATCAAGTGTCTCTATTGACGAATGTTAACAACTAGTCAATCGCTTTAATCTCTGTAGCCTCCAGTAGCTATCACACAGTACGTGGACCCGGTGAACGCCAGTGTGGACGGACCCGCATGTCCTCACAGGACCCGCCCCGGGTCATACGTCAGTGAGGATTGTCTCAGGATCAACGTGTACACTCCGCTTAGAGAGGACAGGTGTGTACATATACATGAGAGGTGGCGGGGTAATGTTGTAAACATGTGTTCTTATATAGATACTTAAATCGTTTCATAGAAGCGGTCCCCTGCCCGTGGTGGTGTACATCACGCGGGAGGTCTGTACTCCATGACGGCCCGCAGTGACCTGGCGGGACCTCACCTGCTGCTGGACAGAGACCTGGTGCTCGTCACCTTTAACTACCGACTCGGATCATTAGGTAACGAAAACCGCATCAACCACAGTTATATTTGAAACGTACTTTATTTTAATATATGGCGCATTTATTAAAGCGGCTTATTGTAAAGTAACAGACAGAAAATTTTTGAGAATTAATTGACTACCTAACTAACTTTATTTGTGTCAGTACACATGTGTGTCTGATTATCAATTTTTATTGAGTAAATCGATCAATACATGCTCATCATGTACCTCAATGATATTGAAAATGTAAGGTTCCTGTTTAAAAAAAAACATTCAAATCTCCTTTTCAACAAATATTTGTTATTGGAAATGATCGCCATAAACTTTTGATTTGCAACATCAAAATAAAGTTCGACAGGTTTTCCTTTTCCCACTTTATTCTTTGTCCTCGTCGTGGTGAATTTATCAACTACTGGTTATAACTTATAACACATAATATATAATCCTGTTAGTAACGAGACGAGCCTCAGTTCAGTCATTGTTTGCGGCTCAATCAGTTTAATAATCACGGAAATAATAAACAAACATGTAACATTTCCTTTACTATCTTTATATTTATAAATAAACTAAAGGTCAATATGTGAAGAAATAGACTAGGTACTTGTTATTTTGTGGAGTCTGTTCGTTTTTACCATTTAACTGATTATCTTCTTCATTTTGTTATTTACCAAATAGAATCAGTAGGTACTTCGAAAAATTAAAACTGTAGGTTTTCTCTTTGTTCTATATTTTTTATCGACGAAGAGATTTTCATAAAATTTTCAATTGAAGATAAAGAACTTCTATATAATAATAAATAAAATAAATTTTACATATTTTCAACTAATTTCAAAATAAAAACACTAGAAGTATAATTCAAATTCCATTCAAATCTAGAAACACTATATATATAAAAAGATTGCTGTTCCTTAGTCTCGCTAAAACTCGAGAACAGCTGAACGGATTTGTCTTATCTTAGTCTTGAAATGTTCGTGGAGGTTCAGGGAAGGTATAAAAGGTGAGAAAAATTGGAATAATTGCCGGGAAACCCTAGCCCTTTTCTATTTCCCATACAAACTTTTTTGACATTAGATTTAACTAACTAATAAATCATTCTGTTTATTGAAACAGGATAAACCTGTATTTATGGCCTCTAGGACGGAATAGAGTTCGCCTGGTCAGCTATACATATATTACTAATGACGAAACTAACGCGGACGAAGTCGCGGGCAAAAACTAGTTAAAAAATATATCATTGTTTTATAAGAGTCTCCTAGTGTATCATGTAGTTACATACACACATGTCAATATTAATGTTCATACACATGTACATCAGACCTGTTCATTAAAACAGCACAAAATATATATAAAATCACAAACAAAGGACGCACTCTCTGACACTTTCGTTATGGAAATAAATATGATATTCTTACTGATCATATTATTACTAGAATATGTATGTACCTAGGTATTAGAAACAGATAAACCCTGTCCTCGTGCATTCATAAATAACGAGAGTTACTAAATGGTTCAGAACACTACATATTTTGTTATATACACAGCTGTTATCCCTTTTAGTTTTGACAGCGTCAGCGGGAAACATTACAATGTTATTATAAGAGCACCACTCCCGTCCGTATGAAAAAACATGTGATATATCCGTGATCGGGCCGTCATATATTGTATAAAAGCCTGTTTGTTTCTCTTCTATTTGTTTCTCAATTGTAATAAAACAAAAAGATGTTATATAATTTATCATAGGTTGTGTTTCAAAGTATAATATTCGTAAATTTTCTTATGTTAGAAGTTTATTGAATACCTCCTTGGTATTCATTTATGATGAAGCGACGCGGTGAGGTCTATAGTTTCTTTACATTTAATTTACATATACATATCTTTTTAAATGACAAACTTTATTAAATCAGCTGGAGGAAGAAATAAATTATAATAGTTTTTAATAAAAATTTATTAGGACGTGTATGTGAATGGCTTGTATAAAGAATGCTTATTGAGAGTCACTAATTATGAAATGTGATCGATGTCGTAGGGCGATTTTCTCTTTGGAATATAAGTTATTAATGTTCATTTGAACTAAAAATTATAATTTATATTTATTTAAAAAGATAATTTATGTAATAAACAATGCTTAGCCACCGGCCAAAGGTTGCGACCATACAACACACAGAAATAAGTAAATGAAGCCTCTGAAAAAAGAACACTTTACACTTAAAACAAAAAAATACATTATAATGTATTAAGTATAACTGTGTAATCCAAGTCTAACAGAATTTAATAGTTTAAAAAAAAGGTGAGAAAATGCTGTACCTAATTGGGAAATCGAAATAATCTCTTAGACGATTACAAATATATACATATGTAATTAAAACAAGAATATCTGTAATAATTATGAACAGACGGATTCTCATTTGTTTTAATTAAACTTTTTCTTGTAGTATTTGAAGCGTAACAATGAACATATCATCAGATCCTGTGTTACAGTCATTGTAAAAAGTGTTAATGTGTAGATGTCAATGATCTATCTGTACATAAACAAGCAACATATTTATTATCACTCGCCTCAAATATCCCAGCAGACCATCTCGCCAACCATTTATAACATAATAAATAAAACACAATACAAATTATTCAGAGTATCACTTCTTTACATTCTACATAATAGGTACAAGTACCTACAGTTTATTATATGTAACGTGTATCTGGCAGGTTTCCTGAGCACCGGCGATGCCCTGGCCCCCGGTAACAACGGGTTCAAGGACCAGGTGGTGGCGCTCCGCTGGGTCCGAACAAACGTCGCCGCCTTCGGGGGAGACCCCACCAGCGTCACGATAACTGGTTGTAGCGCCGGCTCTCTCAGTGTACTGCTTCATATGGTGTCGCCGATGTCCAAAGGTATATTAGTATACTAGAAGACGGCGAACCTCGTATCGCCCCATAATCAAGAAGTGTCTGTTACGTTTTTTTATTTATATTTTTGGAGTTTACCTATTAAAGCCATAAATCTCCGTGTTTTGAAGTGCGACAGAATGATTGACATAATATGTAGTTAGTTGTCAAATCTAATGTAAAAAAAAAAGTTTGTATCAACAACTACTAATAAATTAAAAATTAATTAAAAAAACATTGTACAGCGGACAAAATTGTGAATCTAACCCATTCCCATATCCCCTTGAACGCACACAAAAAATTTCCTCAAAATCGGTCCAGTCGTTTGAGAGAAGTTCAGTGACATACACACTCACAGAAGAATTATATATATAAACATATATACTCTCCCTATAAGAAAGAACATATAAGTTAATCTTTTCCAGGTCTATTTCACCGTGCAATATCAATGAGCGGGTCTCCGATCAGCAAATCTCCTCTATCGACCGATCTATATCATCTCGCCGTTAAACAAGCTCAGCTCCTCGACTGTCCGACGAACAACTCCAAAATTATTATTGACTGTTTGAAGACTAAACACTGGAGGGACCTTGGAACTTCAGTTCTTGGTTTCTATGTGAATATATTATTATATTAGCGATAATAATATAAAATCTCATTTCGATTCCAATTTCCCGTCTACTATTTATATCCATAATAATTAAAAAATGTATTTTAATATTTCGCTTCTAGGAATTTGCTTTTGATCCAGTACGTATTTGGAATCCTGTCGTTGAAAAAGACTTCGGTCAAGAACGCTTCTTGGACATGCAACCGACGGACGCTATCCGCGAAAACAAGTTCCACGCTGTCCCGTACATCGTGAGCCAGACGGAGGGAGAGTTCTTCTGGATGGCATATAGTTTGTACTCGTACTATGAAATATTTGAATCCTATGACGTCCAGATGATTCTTCATTGTATTTGTTACAGCCGTTCTTAAAAACGAAACATTCATGAAACGAATGAATTCCGAATGGGAAACGATCGCTCCTATATCGTTTTTACTTCCGAGAGAAAACAAAACATACGCAAAATACGCAGCGAGAAGACTTCGTGCCCAATATTTAAAAGATAAAGATTTATCCAACGATGAGGAGAGTGCTCGAAACTTAGGGTTGTTATATGCAGATGCAATCGTAGGTTTTCCCGTACACAGGTAATAATATGTCAAAAATAACAATTAACTTTAAGTGTTTCCTGTTTTAAATGCAAAAAAACTAATGTTGTAGAATGTTTAACCTGATGGTGCGTCACTCGCCGCAGCCTGTCTGGTACTACGAGTTTAGTTTCGTCGGCAACCACAGTCACTATGAGGAGCCGCTCACTAAGAAACCCATCGGTGAGTCAATCTCATTATCCCGCGCTATATGTGATGAGTGTTTTAATAAAATAACATCAATAAAATATGTTGTCGTGTTGTCAGCGGCCGCTCATCATGACGACCTCATATACCTGTTCTCTCTGAGCTATCGTTTCCCCGCGCTTGGTACGGAAGGTGCAGACTCCGACACAGCCGACCGCCTGACAGACATCTGGTACAACTTTGCCAAATACGGGTAAATATTATTTTAAAGAAATTCTTTTATGAACAAAGGTGAAGTTAGTCAATTATTCAAAACTATTTAATATAACGTTATCTTTATGATTAGATAAACTGAACAATTCAATTTGATATTTGCAATTTATTTGTGAATTGATATTTTTGAATTGATTCGTTAAGAAAACCAATTTTTATTTCCATAATCTTAGTTATTAATATATGTGTATTAAAATACTACTGTTCTTACATTAATTTACTTTTCCTACATTACAAATATATTTTTAAAGGGACATTTCAAAATTATTAAGATTTTTATATCATCTTGCCGTAGTCACGGTTACTACAAAGTAACCGAAACATCGGGAGTAGGTATGCTGTTAAAAATATAATCATAAAAGCGCAGTAAGCCCGAAAAATATTAGTTTTATTTCAATGAATGTCCGCGAAAGTCAAAGACGTCATTATATAAAAAAAAAATAGTTTTGCAACCTTTGCTAATGTTATAGTCCGACAAAACAAAAAACCTTAAAATAAAGATCTTTTTTTTTTCAAAATTATATAGCAATTAGCTCAAGTCATTTACTCAATTTTATTTACATTTCATCCAACATTAACATTCAATATAAATAAATGTTCAAGTGCATAATACTGTTTGTGTGACGTCACCAGTGACCCCAACCCTCGCGGAGACTCCAGCCACTCCTCAGACCTTCACTGGCCACCAGCCAGCCCCGGACGTCGCACATACTTACGAATAGACCATCAACTGTCCCTTCACGAGAATTTAAAAGAAGATCGAATGAATATCTGGGAAGAATTGTACCCCTTAGAGTACTAACACCTTCATGACATAATATGTATTACAATAAATATTAACAACATGAGACTACTCAACAGAGTATGGAATTATTATAAATATGACTGTTTTATTCGAGATGTAGACGATGGCTGTTGGAATTGTTTTTACGATCTATATTTCTAGCATTCATTAGTGTATTGGAATGTCAATGATATTAATGTTTTACATTTTAATAATAATTATAAAAGTATCTTAATATAAAAAAAATGTATTTTTATGAACCAATTCCGATAGTACTTTATTTTCTAAAACAATACTTTTGATTGCATGTCGTCGATCTCAGCTTTTAACAATCTCCTAACAGAATAGATGTTTTAGAGGTCTTTACATTTTTCAAGATTCATATTTATGTATTTTTGTTACAAGTAGTTCTTATAGGAAAGACGTTTTGATAGGTATAGATAGATAGATAGGGCCCTGAAACCTACAAATGGGTCACAAGTCCCAGGCAATATTCTCTCTCTGCAACGCTATAGACCCGGCACCCGGTGCAACCATGGTATGCTGAGAAGTTTCCTATCGTGACTTTTATTAAAAACTAGAAGACCTGGCGAACTTCGTATCGCCCTATAATAATCAAGAAATATCTATTACGTTTTTTTATTTATATTTTTGGAGTTTACCTGTAAGCCATAAATCTCCGTGTTTTGAAGTGCGACAGAATGATTGACATATTAGTTCGTTGTCAAATCTAATGTCAAAAAAAACGTTTGTATGGGAAATAGAAAAGGGCTGTTTTTATGGTTTTCCCAGTAATGAATCAATTTTTTTCAGCTTTTATACCTTCCCTGAACCTCCACGAACATTTCAAGACTAAGATAAAATAAATCCGTTCAGCCGTTCTCGAGTTTTAGCGAGACTAAGGAACAGCAATCCATTTTTATATATATAGAAGAAGAAGATAGAAGATTAAATATTCAAGAAGTAATCCAAGCAATACTATCAAATTCTGAGCAATGACTCTATTAACAGAATCTATAGTAAAAGTTATAACTTTAAATAAAACTCAAAATATCAGTATTAGTTCACAATTTATTAGCTCAGCTATTAAAGAAACCATTCAGGATAAAAATAGCAAATCGTCACATTCAACCACCAAATCTTAAATATTCTTATATAAAAAACTAAATTAAATATTCTAATAACTAAATTAAAACAAAATATTCTTATCTATAAAATCTTATTCTAAAAAACTCAAGTCTGTTAAGTAACAGACTTGAGTTTCAAAATTTTTTATACCAAAATAATATACATGTAGCTCTTATTTCAGAAACTTGTATACCATTATTAGGAATGACTGCGGTGATGATCATAATGGCGTAGCAATATTAATTAAAAACGGTATACATTTCTCTAAACTAGATTCTTTTTATGATGATTCGTTACAAAATGTAGTAATTGTTATTAAACTGAAACATAAATGCATTTCTTTGGTTAGTTTTTACAGTCCTGGTAATAGTTTTCCCGATTTTGAAAAGGCGAAGTTCGATCGTTTATTGTACAGCATTCCAAAACCGATGATAATTGCAGGTGATTTTAACGCCCATCATACTTTTTGGGGTTGTAGTCGCATAGATTCTCGGGGCAAAGCTATTATGGATTCCATGGATGACCATGACCTAATACTTTTAAATAATGGTCAACCAACAACTATAGGCTCTCATATTTGGAAACCAAACAGTCTAGATTTAACTATGGTGTCTTCTTCTTTATTTCTTTCTTGTGACTGGCCAGTTCATCAGGACTCTTTAGGCAGTTATCATCTGCCAACTATCACAAAATTTACTCTCGTAAGAGATCAACATGAACCCTCTATTTCCTTGAACAACATTCCTTTTCACAGCAATCTGAAATTAGTAAATTGGGATAGGTATGAACAAATTGTTAATAAAATGTTAATGAACTTTAAAGTTGACAAAAGTGATCTGCTTGACTCATACAGAAAGTTTTGTGCAATTATTCTATTGGCAATCAAATTCTCCGGGCCCAGCTTAAACCATAACACAACTGATAGTAATAAAAACCGTCCTAGAAAAAGGTGTCAAGTGCCTTGGTGGAATGATAAATGTTCAAAAGTAATAGGAGATTGCAAGAACGCCTACATTAATTTCAAAACTAGTCTTTATAGTAAAAATTACATTATTTTCAAACGCGCACAAGCCTTTAAAAAACGCACTTTAAAAAAAGAACGTTGTAAAAGTTGGTCTGAATTCTTCTCATCAATAAATCGTTTGACATCTATAAATCGCATTTGGACTAAAATAAGAAAATTCAAAAACAGCTTTTCGATTTCTAATTTATCTCCTGGCCTCAATTGGGTTCAAACATTTTTACATAAATACACACCGGATAGTGTTTCACAACAGATAAGTATAGATAATGTTCTTGGAGTAAATAGTGATAATTCATACATGATTGGTTGTTTTACTATGCAAGAGTTAAAATCTGCTTTAGCCTCAAGAAAAGATTCTTCATGTGGCCTGGATTGGCTTTCCTACAGAATGTTCAAACTCTGTATATTTTTTTAAGTTTATTAAATAGTTTATGGTTTTCTTCTATTATCCCAGAGGATCGGAAAACTGACTGTTTGGTACCAATATTAAAACCTAGTAAAGACTTTAATTTGGCTGATTCTTATCGTCCTATTACACTGAGTTCATGTGTTGGAAAAATATTCGAACAATTAATAAAACAGAGATAAAATTGTCACATAGAAAGTAATAATCTTTTACCTTACAATCAGTTTGGCTTTCGTTGTGGCTGTTCTGCTTGTGAGAGTCTACGTCATTCCTGTCTGGATATCCACGATGCTCGTTCCGAGAATAAAGTACTAGTTGGTGTTTTTCTTGACATTGTAGGGGCTTTCAATAATGTAGCTGTGAACAAATTATCCTCACTATTATTATTACTACAGGTACCTGGAAAAGTTGTAAATTGGATTTTAAATTTTTTGAACTACAGAAAGGTGTTTGTTAAGGTTAACAATCAGTTATTTGGTCCAAGATATTCTTGTAGGGGTGTATCACACTAGGGGGTGGTGTATTGAGCCCACTGCTTTTTATCCTATTCATACATCAGCTAAATTTAACTCAGCCTTGGGCTGGAGGTCAGCAATGAAAAAGTAAAGTTGTTGTCTTTTCAAAAAATGGAATTAGAAATGGGAATGTAAATATTTTGTTCAATAATAATGTAATGTCTGTAGAGAGCTCTGTAAAGTTTTTAGGTGTTATTTTTACAAACAATTTAAGATGGAATAAGTATGCTGAAACTCTAGAATCTTGAGCTTTTAATGCTTGTAATGTTTTAAAATCTTTAACTGGCACATATTGGGGTGCTGATCCAAGGATTCTATTAACATTGTATAAATCATTAGTAAGGAGTCATTTTGAATATGCTTTTTTTTGTTTTACAGGGGTAAGAACTATAATGGATAAATTAGAAAAGATACAAAACAAATGTTTGCTTATTATAATGGGTGCCATGCGAATTACTCCCATAGTGTCAATGCAGGTGGAATGTAATATACCTTTTAAATATTTTTTATTTAGGTTTAAATACCTACAATCAAAATTTTTTGCAAGGTTGCTCTCCATTAGTAATCATCCACTTCTTGTTAAACTGCAGGACACTATAAACAGGACTGCCAATATTAATTCATATTTGTTTCACGGTTTTTCTGAAACAGAACAATTTTTTTATAAACATTTTATATTTTCTAGCATGGTATGGCCTTGTTACTCTGGGTTATATGAATCAAAATTTATTCAGAATAAAATTGTAGTCAAAAGTCTTCTAGAGTATAAGGAAGACATTTATAGGGAACTTGATAGGTGGCAGGGATATCATCAGATATATACAGATGGGTCTAGGAACAATGAAGCAGTCTCTATAGCTGTCTATGATAGTCAGATCAAAAGTGGATTTGGTCATAGGCTGAATTCACTCACAAGCAAATACTCCGCTGAATCCATAGCTGTATATACAGCTATGGAGCACATTCAAACACACTCATCCTAAGTGGATTATAATAATGGATAGTTTAAGTCTATTAATGGCACTACAAAATCCATAATTAAATTGAAAAACTAACTATATTATATATAAAATAAGAGAGTTGTATCACCTGCTGTCTTAAAACAAGCAAATAGTCCTATTCTGGATACCAGCCCACATAGGTGTGCATGGTAATAAGCAAGCAAACTATTTAGCTAAATTTATTACAAATCCGGCACACAATTAATTAAGTCAGAGCTTTTTAAATTTCCCAATTCCTTATTCTGACGCTCTATCCCTCTTCAAACTCAAGTTACAGAAAGAATTTCACAACTTATGGCATCAGGTGGTAAAGGTATAAGGAAAATGGTTTGCTACAATAAAGAAAAAGGTTTCTTCCCCTTGATTTACCCGGGGTTGTGACTATAGCCATAGAAAGTATTATACCACAATCTGTCGTTTGCGTCTGGGACATTGTAGTTTTGGTGCTCACCTTTTTAGGATTGGTGTTTTTGACTCTTCAATTTGTAGATATTGCAATAGTGCTGATGAAACCTTCGAACATATATTTTTTTATTATCCACAGTTTAGTATTCAAAGGATGGTCCTTGTAGACCAACTTTTAAGTATTTTTAAAACTGCTGAAGATATCCCGCGCTCCCTTCAGCAAATACTAAGCATTCAAGAATGCTTCTTGCCAGTTTATGGATTTATTGTTTCTACTATAAATAAAATCTATTTGTTATTTGTACATATGTATGTAATACAAATTTATTCGTTTTGTTTTACATATTTGCTTTCAGCTATTTTTAGAATTTGACTGTTATATCGATTTTGACAAATTAATTATTGTACTAAAAGTGACATTACAAGGACTTGACATTGAAAAAGACGGAATGTAAAAAAAACAAGAATTTGACAAAAAATAAATATTTTAAATAAAGACATGGTTCGGCCTTACAATTAAAAAAGGATTCAAGAAAAAAAATTAAAAGAAGACATGGCATTGGCCTTAAATTTAAAAAAAATGTTTTAAGAAGAAAATTACAAGAAGACATGGCTTAGGCCTGATATAAAAACTTAAGTCTAGAATAAAAAGGAGATTAAGACATTTAAAAATAATTAAAGATACAAAATACAAAAGACATGGCTGTACGGGCTTTGTTTTCTTTGCCTGTTCTGAACGGAACGAACATAACCAAAAAAAAACACTATGGTTTGACGCTTCTTTTAAGTCTCAGCCTGACACCCAATGGTCAATGTTATTTCTTAAAAAAAACAACTGACAGCTTACAAGTATGAAATATCTGATGAGAATTATATGAATTATAGTGTTTGGTTATTATTAAATATTATTAAAATTAAAAATAATTTATATCTTACACGACACCATAGGTTAATAAAAAAACTTAATACACTAGGAAAATAAGATTGTTGATATAAATGTTGTTGTTGAGTTCCCCTTAATAGTTGCAAACACTGTTTTTAGACCCTAAGAAGTTTCTTAGCAAAATAGACCAAATGGTTATGGCAACGGAAATTGTGGACGAAAAGCAGTCCAAATATGAGGTACGTCCTAGTTAGGAAAGTTACTGTTTTGTAATTCTCCCAATGATAACATTAAAATTTTAACTCCTTCTACTGCTCTCAAACTTTATCTCAATTTTATATTTGATTATTAATACTATCTAACTTTTGTTTTTTTTTTCGTTACTAGATACTGTAATAGTATTTAAAAAGCATCTAATAAAAACTTCATTATCCGGCCCTCAGTTATATTAATTGGTGATTGTTGATATACAAATGGCAATTAGCTATAATACAAATTTAGGTTTTCTAAAGCAAATTCTTAGATGGTGAGACTGAGAGGTGATGACAACTTAATAAAGCTGTGATATTGTAGTAATGAAGAGAGAAGAGGTTTAAATTAAATTATGAGTATTAAATACTAAGTTTCCGTCCGCAGCTTCGCCGGCATGTAGTCCGGTTATATTGTGTTCCCAAGAGAACCTTTCAAAAGTCTGGGATAAAAACTATTCTATGTTCTTTCTCAAAGTCAAGTCTATATCTGTACCAAATTTCATTAAAATCAGTTCAGTGGTTTAGGTGTGAAAGCGTAAGAGACAGACAGACAGAGTTACTTTTGCATTTATAATATTAGTAGTGATTTAAACATGGTTTCTACCGACACTGGTTATGGTTGTAGTGTATAGGTACATGTACAGTCTGTACACTCATGCATATTGATTTTCTTTTATTATGTATTTGTTATTTACGAACACCTTATTAAGTAGTATTTGTTGTAATTGTATGTATTTACTTCATATGAACCAAACCTGCTTCTATGACTTCCTAATATTTGAGACTTCTTAATATTTAAGAGTTGTTTCCTTTAAGCTGTGTATTTTGTAAGTGAACTATTCAAATGATGTTAATGTAGACTTGTCTCACATGTATCACATGTTGGATGTGTTCTTGTGAACTCAACGTAACATCTATAGATAAATTTGTTGTCTTCACTATTATGTGTTTTATCAAGTCATATGTGGCTGTACAATGTATGAGGAACTATTTTCTAAAGAGATACAGAGCTTACTTTGTAATGTGTATGTAAGGAAGCATAATGTTACCCGTTATATCATTAAAATAAAAAACTGTTTTAAAATGTCTCAATACTTTATTCAGTAATATAACTAGATTAATAACTTTGTTTTTCTAAGAAATATAAAATATAGGTATATTTAAATGTTATTGAAAGTTGTAAAGGTTTTAATAGAACTTCAACATTCAACAATGTCCAGTTTCAATACCAGCCAGATTCAATACCAGAAATTATAAAAAACTAATTAGATATTATAACTTCAAAGAATTGATGAAACACACATTTACAAGAGATTATAATAGAGTTTATAATTTGTATCTGGATTCTTTTACTTACTTTAAATTAAAATAACAAACAGGGTAGTGTGGAGAATATTGATGAAATCATAAAATAAAATGTTGTTAAGAAATACAGGAACAATGTCTTTTTTGAAAAATTTTCCAACTCAAAATGAATTATATGTATAGTGTATCTTTTCGTTTCTTTATCAATTCTTCATTATATCTTTAGACTTTAAAATATAAATCTACAATCTGTAATAAATATAATAACTTTCGTCCCAACTAGATGACGATCGATCCGAGCAGTCTTCACGAGCGGCTCGTGGACCACGTGAGGGCGGTCAGCGGCGAGCCCGTGAGTATAACAACTGACGCCGGGCTCTCAGACGACATTCAGAACACACTCACACACCTCAACTTGTTAACATAGAACAGTCAAACTGGCGTTTGGGGCGAACACTCTTACGCGCGGCCTAGAGGCGTCGCGCCCGACCCGCTCATACGGACGCTGCTCGCGCCGCGGCCCTCCTCGCCCGACGAGGGAGACGTGTTGGACGTGGAGGGAGGACCGACCTCACCACCCGGACTACCGATGGACGACGACCACTCACGAGACTCAGAGGAAAACGACTGTAATGAAGACGAGGAGGACTGGGAGATACGAGTGACGGGGCTCGCACCCACCGCGGGACACGCGCGGCTGGTGGGGGACGTGGCCGACGTGCTGAGGGGGCTGCGGCTGGAGAGACTGGCGGGGCGAGGGGGGAGGTGGGGGAGGACGGACGGGGCGAGGGACGCGGCCAGGAGGGTGAGGAGGGTGCTCGCCTCGCACTGGACCAGCGGCGCCGCCGCCTGGCTGCACGCTGCCTTGAGCGGGGGTCTGCCGCCACCGATGAGGAGATACTACGACGAGGTGCTGGCCGAGCTGTGGCGGACGGTGCCCCGCCTGGCCGAGAGACTGGGTGCGCCCCGACCACAAGCACTACAACACGACCCACTCGCCCTAGTTGGCGGTCAGTACACGTCAATGCTCGTGAGTGCTCTTCGTTTATCTCGAGTGAGCATTCCAAGTGACGCTCGGTCCATTCACAGAGAGGCGGCCGGCGAGCGAGCCCGGCCCGTGGCTGGCGTGGGCGCCGAGCGGCAGCAACACGGAGGACGCGCGATGGGTGAGGCGGCTGGGTGCCCTACTGCACGTGAGGGAGCTGGTCCCGGGCGCGCCGCACGCGCCGGGCCTCGCGCCGGACCGCTGGTGCGCGAGCCTGGCGCACGAGGCGAGGACCGCGCTCAGCGACTTGCTGGCGGAGGCGGGCAGGAGGCCGGTGCTGCTGGGCGGGGCGGGCGCGGGCGCGGCGCTGTGCTCGTGGCTCGCGGCGGGCGGGGCGGGCGCGCGCCTCCGAGGCCTGCTGCTGCTGGCCCCACCTCTACTCACGGCCGAGGGTCCGCGGGACTCGGCGGAGGAGCCCGCGGACGAACCGGACCTGCCGCTGCTGGTGGTGTCGGGCACGGCGGGCGCGGCGTGCTGGCGGGGGGCGGCGGCCGAGCTGTGTGTGTGCGGGTCGCGGGCCGCGTGTCGCCGCCTGCTGGTGGTGTCTGGTGCCGACGACCGCCTCCTCCTGCCCCGCGCGTATCGCCGCCTGCTCCGTGTCCCTCAACAGTCTGTGGACGCGGCCGTGTGTGAGGAGTGCGCGCGGTGGTCGCTGGACGTGGCCGAGTCTCCGCCCAGGGAGCGTTCCAGACGGAAGGGTATGGGACCCTCACTCTATAGTTTTTAATCCACTGACTAGTCAATACTCAAGTATTGTGACTTGAATAACATCAATGTTTACAATAATAAATACAAAACTGACACGTTCGTGTTGTTCCAGTTGGCGAGGAGGACCGCGGGACACAGTGAGTATGTGTGTGTGTGTGTGTGTGTGTGTGTGTCACCGGGCCTCGCGTGTCACACACTCCTAAAGCCGGTTTGTTCTCTGTCCTAACACAACGCAACTAGTGACAACTATTTCCTCAACTGACTTTTAATTTGAAGTGGAATGAAATGAAACTCCATATTGGAACGTCAACAACGGCGACGTCATCTGATCACAGAACACTTTTCCTTTCTTACTTTCTTCGTATATCATTTATGAAAAGTATAATAGTTTTTGTTTCCAAATGATAGGCAATGGTACAATCAACATAGACTACATTATAATTCAAGTTTGCATTAATAGGCCCATGCAGATGCCTCTAAAAATGATGAAAAGTGAAAATAAATTATAGTAGAATGAAACCCATTAGAAAAAGAGGGAAATATTATAAAAATTAATCGATCTGAGGTCGGGAAGGGTATGGGGGTGGGTATTTAAGGGTAAAACATGGGTTTTCTCGATTTCCGTTAAAACTAAGAGTCCTAATGAAAAATTTTATATGGCAAAGTTGTAGGTAATAAAAAGATCTAAATCTTTTGTATTTACACTTTTTTCACATAACCTCAAAAATTATGTGAAAAACTCAAAAAAACAAGTTTCTGGTTTGTATTTTTATCTCTTACAAAAAACAATATTTTGTCATGAAATTTGGTGGAAACTTACCTTTTAATGTCCCAAATACACTGTAATTTCGGCCTCATTTCCAGTCGAAAAATCACCCGTCAAAATATTAGCTTTTTTAAAAAATTTGGTTTGTTTTCTATTCGGTCAAATCTCTACTTTCCGGTGATGAAAAAATATAAATTTGTTACAATAGTAAATCTTCTCAGAAAAGGCAAACAACCGAAAAAAGTCGAATTCTAAAATTTTATTTTAAGCATTATAAATAATTTGATCTAAAAATGTGATTTATTTACTTTATCCTCCATTCTCTTCACTTATCATTATTTTTTGCCTTTTTGATGGAATTTCATCGACATGAGATTCGATAAACCTACCATAAAAATCTACCACAGAAAAAGCAATGAAATTGAAAATTAAATCCAAGCGCATCTTTAATTACTTCTTTTCCTTCGTTTGCTTTTTTTTGTCTTGGACTGCAAAATGTAGCTATTGCAGTCTCATCATTATTTGACTTTAACAACTTCGATGAATAAAAGCTGATTGTAAAGTCTCAATTTTTTTGTATTTTTTGTCGATTCTTTTCTTACTGGATACCACGATAAACGATTCAAAGCTGCTTTTCTTAATTCATTCACTTGTTTACAAACAGATTCATGCATACTGATAATCTGATAAAACACAAATTAATAACGCCTTCACAATTTTATCGTGAGTACAAAATTTTGAAACAAAAACAATAAATGTCAAAATGTATAAAAAAAATATTTTAGAATCGGCCAAAATTTAAAAACTAATATTGAAAATATAATTAACTATATGTATGTTTTATATATATATATATATTTTTATAAAATTTTAATATATTTTTAAATATTTTCATGGGAGTAACTAACTTTATTTGCTTGTGGAAAATTTGTGTTATATTATTTTTTATCTAGAACTAAAATATCATTTAATTTTTAAGCATACTTTTTTTTAATTTACCATTTTTTATGTGTGAATTGATTGATACAGATGAAAATAGAGATAGTACCTACCTATACCTATAGTTACCTTCCTATGCAGATTCGAAAAGTCTTCTGAAATATTAATATTACCTTATTTGTTTTATAACTATAGATGATTTTTTTGACTTACAATTCTCTTTAATGAATAAAACATGTATCATTACTTTTATCAAGTAATTAAAGTATAAATTTTATTAAATATCTCAAAATTATACATATATAATATTGAAACATTCTAGAATTCTACTTTTTTTCGGGTTTTTGCCTTTTCTGAGAAGATTTAATATTGTAACATATTTATATTTTTTCATCACCGAAAAGTAGAGATTTCAACAAATAGAAAACATACCAAATTTTTTTTAAAAAGCTAATATTTTGATGGGTAATTTTTCGACTGCAAAAGAGGCTGATTTTTTGATATTCATTCAATAAAAGCTGAAAAAATAAATATTTCTAATCAAATAAATTACAGTGTATTTGAGACATTAAAAGGTAAGTTTCCACCAAATTTCATGACAAAATATTGTTTTTTTTGTCAGAGATAAAAAAATAAAAACCGAAAACTTGGTTTTTTGAATTTTTCACATAATTTTTGAGGTTATGTGAAAAAAGTGTAAATACAAAAGTTTTTGATCTTTTTATTACCTACAACTTTGCCATATAACATTTTTCATTAGGACTCTTAGTTTTTCCGGAAATCGAGAAAACTCATTTTTTTACCCTTAAATACCCACGCCCGTACCCTTCCCGACCTCAGATCGCCCGTAAATTATTTTTCCCTTAATTTTTATAATATTCCCCTTCTTTTCTAATGGGTTTCATTCTACTATAATTTAATTATGTTTTAAAAGCTATCGGCACGGGTCTATAATTCCCGACAAGCTGTACGTTCGTGCAATCATTGAATACCTCATTACAAATGATATATCCAAGTCCCCATCGTTCCCGCTCGTGTGTTATTCTTTATTCGAGGTCAACCATCCCAACCCTTCCTCGCCGCTCGTCTAATCCTTATCTGTTTCATGTTTCAGGTCAGGTCGCTCCATCGAGATAGTCGGTGAGTCGCTCGCTCCTCGCGTCTCCACGTACATATAACTTGTCGTGTAGTAACGTGGTGTTCATGTGTGTAGAGGGCCGCGTGGTGCAGCGCGGGAGTGGCGCGGCCCTGGAGCTGCAGCCTCCGCGACGCGTCAAGAGGCCCGAGAGGTCCGGGCAGGCGGGCGAGGGGCCCGGCGGCGAGGAGGCGCTGGCGGCCGCCGACATCATGCAGCTGCCCATCGTGTTCGCGGACGACGAGCCCCCCGCGCCCCCCGCCCTCACCGTGACGAGCGGGGCGCCGCGCGCCGTGAGATACACGCGAGTCATCGTGGCCAAGAAGACGGCGCGCCGACGACACAAGCCTCACGAACACTGACCGGCCTTGGATATTATATGATTGTAACAAACAACTTGTTTTGATTGATTCACCCTGAGAACATGAGCGACACCGACTGGCCGCCACACGCCACATACTCTATTCAGACTACACATACATTTGAGTTTCTACGATTTAAAACCCTACGATTTAAAAGAGTGTCCCGACATAACGTATTTTAATAGTGCGTTACAAACACGCTGGGAATTAAAAAATATATGTATATTGTATATATACATAGGTCACTTCGTATTATATATAGGTCACTTCGTTGCACGGTTGGTCTGTTTCTCATGTACTGTTTTTACTACCTTTCTATCTTAAATAATATTATTTAAATACTAGCTGACCCGGCGAACTTCGTACCGCTCTATAATAAAGAAATATCTGTTACACACACTACAATTTATTCTGTAGAAACCAATGTGAAAAGTACACTAAGAAATGGTAAATGAAATAAGTATGTAGGTATTTTGTTATTACAACTCCGGCCGATATATTTGCAAAGAGCATGTAAATTTGTTTTAATTTTTTTCTTTGTTTTAATGGCAACTATGTGAATATTACTGCCAGTGACACATTATATTTTTAAATAAATGAAATGTATTTGTAATTTTTTTCTAGTAATTTAAGTATTTTTTTCTTTCCTAAGAACCTTCTCCTAATAATAACAAATACAATAAAAAAAAATAAGTTAAATCGGTCCAGCCATTCACGCGTGATGCAGTGACCAAAGGAAAAAGGTATTTATTTTTATATATATGTATATATATATATATATATATATATATATATATATATATATATATATATATATATATATATATATATTTATATATATATATATATATATATATATATATATATGTATATATATATATATATATATAGATTTTAAATAATCTCTTATATCTTTATATGAGCAATTATTAAAAAAGATACTTCGTTACTTGAGGACGTGATATTTGACGATCATATATGACAAAATAAAAATTAATATAACAAATATTAATAAACTTCTAAGTAAAGTTAACCAAAAGTTATGTAATTACGCATCGTGTGAACACCCTACAGATTAGGTATACACACACACACACACACGCGTGCGGCGGCGTGGTGTTGTGTACGTCCACAGCACGCCGCCGCACGCGTCCACACTTGGAACGAGTCCAACGATTTTCATTAAACACGGGGGTGATAAATTTATTTATTTATACGGAAATTTGGTCAAAAATTAACTACCTTTTATATCATTTTTTTTACATGATTCTCATTCGAATTATGTATTATAAAAAGTAGGTACTTAATTTTTGACATAAAATTGAAAAACCAAATATATATAACCATATTTCAAATAAGTCCATATCACAATCATCCATATATTCACAGAAATAGATAAAATTTTCGTTCCCGCCGCTAATGTTTTATTGGAATCTCGGAATTCGCTCCAACGATTTTCATTAAATATTAGGCTATATTTCAACCAAATGGTCAGTTTTCATTTTGATAATTTAAAGAAGCATGTCATTGTGTATTGCAACCAATTTGATAAGGCTAGTGCAATGGAAGTTGAATAAAACTGTTATTTTTTAGTTGAAATTAATATTTCGCTATTTCTTTTCATCGTTTTTTAAATGTAACTTAACGATGTACGTCACGAGTGACCCTTTTCTTATAGTAAAACAATGTTTAATTATTAAAGTATTTTTTTTTATACTCCATATTTTTTCCATATTTTTGATTTTTTCGTCCATATTTTATGTACATATTTTAGATTTTTTAATAGATATTTATCCGGGCCCTAATTATAATATTTTAAAGGTATACTCCTCTGGCCTTCCAAAATGAACTTATGGCTATATACTTTCAAAAAGTACACAATTATGTTTTTTATTTATGTGGACGTACGCTTTAATAAACATCGAAACATATTTGAACAAAATTAAGAGTAAAAATATTTATTAATATAAAATAATATAACTTATTTCGAAGTCATGTTACAATTCTGTCACTTCATCTGGCGGATATCAAAAACTTAAAAATTAATTAAAAATCTTTGTGCTTTTGATCTTAAAGAATAAATCCTAAATAATTTGAGCAAAATTAAAAAAAAAATGATCAGTTTTCGATAACCTTTCGGAAAGTAATTTTGTGCCAGTCGTTGGAGTATTTCCTTTGGTAAGCATATATATTTGTATTTTATCGTTACGAAATTGTTAATTTCTATAATCAATGTTTATTGTACGTAGATGTCAAATATTAACTTAAACTGATGTGAGAAAAGCGAATGATGTTAATTTTAATACATTATGTGTGATTTTGTCACTTTTCTAGCGTCACTCCTCTGGCATATTACATACATGATAGTCAGAGGAGTGACAATTTTTTTTAATAAATAAATAGAAGTAAATAGACGTTTTATTTAATATTAGTCAACTTTCTTAGCTAATAATCAATGGTACGACAATATCCTTCTTTGATTTGTTACTACTCTGGCAACAGTGTCACTCTTCTGGTAACACATTTCCATCAGGTGCTTATAAAACTAAAAAAAAAAAATTATAATTGTCTGGCCCTGGGACTACTAATTTTAAAATAGTGTCAAATAAATAAATTATAAATATTGAGTGGAACCAATAATATTTCCTTCTGGGACACGAAAAAACCAAATAGCGTATATTCACCCTTATATTGTTTTGTGTCTTCTTAACACGTTCACTTAAAAATGCCTAAACGAAATTAAAACAAAACACAAAATAAATACTCATAATTCTTAAATACCGAGCAAAGCTTAGTAGCCAGATATTAATACTTTAAACGATGAACATAGCAACCCTAGACACCTTCATAGACGACGGTCACTCGCGGATATGAACTTCTACCATGACTTCTAATATTTTACATCTTGGAATCATTTTAATAAAAAAAATACATACAATAAAAAAAAACTTATCATCAAACTGTTATTAATTTTTAAATACATAGTCTGGAAAAAAAAAAATCTCTCGGACAAATAAACATGGTCATCACTTTTCTGAATTCTTACGAAATTTTTAATAAGGATTGTCTTCAGGGTGTGCTATTTAAATACCAAAATAAGACGAGCAGCTGGACCGTGTATTGCAAAAATTGTACCCCATAGATATATGGTGTCCTCTGTCTAGCATCGAACATTTCATTCTTTCCATTTTACCTTCAATGATATCAAGTACGCAGCGTTGCTTTCCGTCCTTTTATTCAATTTCAAGTATTCAAGACAATTATTTTTAATGGACTAGGAGAAATTACTCTGAACGTTCATAACATTACTTATAGAAGGAAGAACAGATAAGAAAATAACGCTGCCAACTTGCATGTCTGGCAGAACAGGTTCACTGGAGAAATTTAAATTCAATATTAAAAAATTAACATATACGATAAGTAGGTAGTGTTGAACTGCAGGGGTCGCAGCCTGTCCTACCAACCAAAGTCTCGAGGGACAGAAGAACGGATCTGGCGGAGCAAGGTTGGGACTAGATATAGGGACTCTCACACATTTTTGTCAAAAATTAATGAAATGTTTATAAAACACTGACGTAGCTTCCTAACTATCCTGAACGGTACTTAATTGAAAACATTTTGCTTTTTACAACAGCTGTCAAGTAAATCATCTTCTATATTAATAAAGAGAAAGATTTGTTTGTTTGTTTATTTGTAATGAATAGGCTCTTCTTAGAAAAATTCTTTCACCTTTGGAAAGCTACATTATTCCCGAGTAATATAGGCTATATTATATTTAAAAAAAATTAGGGTCCTTATTAAAACTCCAATAATGTAACCCAAGGTGTAAAAAAATGACCTGAAAAATTCCCTACATCACGTGCGCTGCGAAAAGTATTGATGATAGAACAAAATCATTTACTACGACTTTGCAGAACTCATCACTATCTTCAAAAAGTGTCGCGATAGCATATATCTAACAATTATAGTAATGACACAGTAAACGGTTTTTTATTCTAAAAATTTAATTTATATGCCGCCGCTTGAAAGGCTCTTTATTTGTAACTTGAGGTTTGTATGGGATTTTAGAATTAATTTTAGAAGATAAAACAATGAAACTTTATATTTAAGCACTTGATAGGATATATTTAAACATTTATTCTAGCGTTTTTGAAATGTCGACCAGTGAGGGGGTGAAATAAGGGTTGAAAGTTTGTGTGGGATTTCTTAATTTTAGAAGATAAAACAATGAAACTTTATATTTAAGCACTTGATAGGATACGTTTAAACATTTATTCTAGCGTTTTTGAAATTTCACAGTGAGGGGGTGAGTAGGGGTTGATATATTTTAGACATAAAACCATCAAACTTTACATTTAAGCACTTGATAGGATATGTTTAAACATTTGTTGTAGCGTTTTTGAAATTTCGACCAGTGAGAGGGGGTGAAATAAGGGTTGAATTTTGTATGGGATTATGTCATTTTTGGGGATAAAAACATGAAACTTTATATTTAGGAACTTGATAAGAAATAATAAAAAAAAAACAATTTGTTCTAGCGTTTTTGAAATTTAAAATCGTTTGTTATTTTTACCACCGTGATTGTGAAATTCTACACACGGAATTCCCGAAATTTTAATCACTAAACTAAGAACATCATATTTAGAATTTCTGGGTGTATCAAGTTAAAAAAAAAATTGGCTTTTGAAGTTGAAGTTCATTTTAACGAATTGGTAGGTTTTTAAGGTTGCCTGGAAGAGATCTCTGTTTTAGCGATAAGGTCGTCTATTGTACATTTTTTTTTTTTCTACTTTTACTCCTATTCTTTTTGTCTAAATTGGTGTGCAATAAAGAGTATATAAATAAATACTCTGCATCGCCGCTGCCGCCGGTCGTCGGTGGCCGCATAGTGGGAAAGCTCCATACAAGGCCGTCTCAAAACCCTTTCACATGAAAGTCGTTGTTATGCAGTAAAACTAATTAATTAATTTAGTCTTTTAAATCAGCTTTCTTTTCTATATTTCTTTAATTATTTTTTGCAAACCATAATATATACTAAAAGGCATTAAAGTTAACTCATCAATCAATCAAATGTTCAATGGTGTTATTTTGGAACAGTACATTACTACTATTCAACGCCACATTACTTGAAAGTATTACTAATATTATAAATGCGAAAGTAACTCTGTCTGTCTGCCTGTTACGCTTTCACGCCTCACTGAACCTAGAACCACTGAACTGAGTTTTTTTAATGAAAGGTTCTTTGGTACAGAAATAGAGTTGAAACCTTAATAAAAAGAAACTTAGGATATGTGATATTTTTATCTCACTGACGTTTTTGAAAAGGTTCTCAATAGACTTAACGCGAATATAGGGTGACTACCGAACTACTATCGATACGCGGGCGAAGACGCGGGCGGAAAGCTAGTTATTTAATAAAAAATAAATCTACGTAAAGTGTGTTCAAAAGTTATGTAATTAATTAATCGTGTGATTATATCACACTCACACATACGCGTGCGCGGCGTGGTGTTGTATTTACTTAGCGTTTTATTGACGATTTATTTATACGGAAATTTGTGCAAAATTTAAGTACCTATTTTTTTACATAATTCGAATGAGAATCATGTACCGAGTATGCTCCTTAAATATTGATAGTAATTCACCAGTCGCCCTGTATATTTCTTTATTTTTTTAATTGGGTGAGTCTTGGTGATATTGTTGTAACAGTAAAGATAATTACTTTTATATAATGTGCAGTAATAATGGCGATAATTCATAAATTTTTTATCTATTTATTTTTTTATTTGGCTTTTAAACAGAACCAACATATTTAATGTTTTCATGTATCGCAAAGACACATTATAATAGCATAACTTTATCGGTTTAGAAATGATACCGGAGCTTGGAAAGCAAACATTTTATATTCCTTATATTTCAGACTTTTGCCTAAACTGTAGAAGTACAATAACATTGGTACATACATCCTTAATTATTATTGCATCGAGGAGACAAATAATTGTACAAACATAATAATACACATACGACACGCACAACTCATATCATCTGCAGCGTTGGCGCCACAACTTACAAATACAAACGAGTCTAATTCAAAATACATTCTATTCAAAAAGAAAGGTTATTAAAAAGATTCAAACGCTAGTCTTTATACAAACAAGAAAATTACATCTACACTGGTCATAAACATATACACAGCGCACGATGCAGCAGTTACAATACAATATGTTGCACTGATCTGCAAATAACGGCTTGGGAAGCAGATGACAGCTTTGAAATACAAGCGGCAAGCATCTTACAAGACTGTCACTAAGTTTACCTGATTCATATTGTTTTACCTTCCTTGAGCGCCCTCTCCTCTCAATAAAATACAATAAAATGGAAAAATCTTATTTTTAAAAACTTCAAACTATCGTTGAGCACGTTTCAACGATAAAATAGCAAGGCGCAGAACAAAGATGATATGTGACCTCGTACGAGTTACATCATCCAACTTCAAATACAATACTTTTACTGTTCGGAATATTAAACACTTTGAGACACACGATTAAATTCGCAAATATGTACCTTTAGTGATACCAATCACACCCTCGCCTAGTCACAATATTTACAAAGTTCTACAGTAGGTATTTACTAAAATGTGACTTGTGCAGTTTCCTCGATGAGTCAAGCTTCCCAGAATAATAGTTCTTTACATTTTTTTAACAATAACCAACTCTCGTTACATTCAGTTTGATATCTGATCAATTGTAAGTCATTATATAAAGACAGTATCTCATACATATACAAATAATTACTGTTTATAAACATGAAACAACTTTAAATATTTAAAAATACTTAGATCTCGTAATAAAGCTCTAGACATGTTTATTTTTAAACTCGCATGTTCTGTCATTTACAGAGGATCAAAGCTTGAACGAGGTGTATCATGATGTACAGATGGATGTGAGGCGTGACTGTACTTGACAATATTATATCAGTCGCTTTGAATGTGTCAGGTCGGTGTTAATAAAACTGAACCTTTATGATGATAAGTGAATGTCGTTCATCACGAGTAATTATAAAAACAAAAAAGTTGACAGTTTGTTGTGAGACACTATGAAACATAATGAGTTGAAATGAAGGAGCGACGCGGGTCTGTTTTGTTGATAAACAAACGTTGTCCTTAACTATGTACTTAACAAGACATGAGTTCAGCAGCAATAACATGAGAACATAACACAATATATACTATACATCATAACAGGATACGATAACTATACGGACGATGTAATAACATTATTACACTTAAAAAAATAAAGACCCGCTTTGATGAACTGAACATAGTACAGTAGGAGGGGAACACAGTTAAAGACTACCGGACACCAGTGTAATACACAGTGAAAGGACCGTGTGTTACACTTACTTCAACAAATCATTATGATGACTTAGAGAGCATTTTGTTCAAATTAGATTCTAAAGTTAAATAAAAAAAGGTATCATTAATTTATATTGTGGTTCGAAATTAATCGAAGACCTTTATTATTATTTGTTAAAAATTTCGTATCTGATCATTTAAATCTGTGTATTATAATTAGTCGGTCACTACTTAATTTCAATAAGGTTTAAGTACATATATTATATAAGTTAAAAATAAAGAAATACTATACATGAACAGTGATAAACATCGAAAATATTCAACGATCGATAGTAGGAATTACAGACGACTAAAATATATATAGCAACCTATCCTAACGGGTAAATTTACATCTCAAAAATGATAACATCTCATCTGGAGTCAATAAAGACGGAGAATATATTTTATAAAAGTTAAAACTCGTAGAGAAGGACACGACGGGCGAGGTCAGTGTGGCGGCGACTGGAACAAACGAGACACGTTTAGTGACTACTGGGAGATACGAGGAGTGAGCTCCTTCTGAGATGATAAACTAAGTGTACCGAGTCCACGTCGAGGTCGGCCACGAAGGGCTCGCGGCGGGCGGGCTGGTCCAGGAGAGGCTGCTCGTCGTCCGCGGGGTCGTGCGCGTGACAGTCACAGCGGCACCGCTCCGGAGGCACGTAGCTGAACACCACGCTGTCCCGAGCACTCGCCGGCAGCGTCTGGATGCGCTTGGGCTGCTTGCGGCGCTCGGGAACCTCCGAGAAGTCGATCCAGTCAGACTTGCTGCGCGTCTCCATAGAGGCCGCTGAGTGAACACGGAGTAAAGGAGTCAACACACGTGAAACGATGATAAATATTGAAGAACACAGATGAAAAATTAACAAAAATAACAAACAATTACTTCGTATATTTTAATAAATAAATTTAAGTTGTGTTAGAATAGGTACATAAAATATAAAAATAATAAAATGAGATCATTCTTTTGGGCCTTTTCTGAAAGTGCCGGCCAACCAAAAAAAAGGATACATATTCTTAGAACTAACCATTTGGAGCAATAGTTAATATGGCGCAAAAGTTGTAGGATCTAAGATATAGAAGTTATACAAGTTCTAGGATTCATCATTTTCGTACATTTATTTTTCTGAAAGTACCAGGAAACATAATGATTGATATTGCTAGAGTTAAGCTTCTCAAGCAAATCATTATAGCGAAAAAGCCATAATCTGTTCTCTTGTACATGTTAGAAACATGTCATTGTTTATGTAATACTAGCGAACTAGATACACGTTGTTTTGCCCAGTATCTAAACGCATCCAACACAATTTGTTTGTTGTTGGTTTCATTATTTGTCTAAACTAATATGAACATATATCGGGATGTTATTTTTATATATTAAAACAACGTTATATAGATGAATGGTTAGTTCTAAGAATATGTACCATTTTCTTTGGTTGGCCGGCACTTTCAGAAAAGGCACAAAAATGTATGAAACCTGAATGATCTCCTTTGTGTTGGATTATGAAACTCAATTCTGTAAGTTGTAAGAAATCTGATCGGCGACCTACAGACAGAGCGTGAAACTAACCATCACCGCCGCTTCTGGAGCGAGTACGCAGGTTGCGAGGCGGCGGGGGAGGAGCCGCGGAGGCTGTGGACACGGTGCGGGCGCGGCGCGGCAGCTTGATGTACAGACGGTCGGCGGGGGAGTCCGCGGTGGCGGGGGAGGGGGCGGCAGGCGTAGGAGGGGTCAGCGCGCCGGGCTGGCGGGACGCGCTCCTGGTGGCTCGCGGGCGCTGCACCCCCGCCACGTGCACACCACCTCGCTCCCTCACCGGCACCATGGGGAGCGCCAGAGACCTCTCCAGAGGTAGAGTGGTCGGGACGTACGGTAACTCTTCGAATGATTCCTGTACTACGAGTCCTCGTCTCTCCGCGTCGCTTCCCCCGTGTGTAGCTGCTATCTCTAAGCTGGTTTCGGACCCTGAGGAGTCCCTCCCAGCTTCTGGGGTGGGGCTCACTTCTCTACTCACTTCTCTGCTCAATTCTCGGGTCACGTTCTCTTCTCCTGCTTCACAAAAAGTTTCTCGTTGTGTATGGATCTGTGGGTCGTTATCTATTACGTCAGTACTTTTCCAGTCTGCTTCTTGAGGCGAAGGTTCGTTCGGTTTCACTTCTTCAAATTCCGGAACACTCTGTATCGATTCTGATATCTCGCTGGTGACGCTCGGTGTTTTTGTTATACTAAACTGTGTACTAAACACGTGTTCTTTACTGCCCACGTGTGTCGTGAACACTATTCGTTCTTTACGTCTGGGTCGCTCTCCGATGTAAGTCTCGGGAACTATATCTGGCGGTGGTGAAGATATAAACTGTGAACCGTCGGACTCTGTAGGAATCGATTCAATTTTTTCGGTTGCATAATCGGGTTCTTTATGTTTTATATTATTATATAAGTTAAGTTCTTTATGATTCAGATCTATTTGTTTGGGATATTTGATATCAGACTCGGATTTAAGTTGTGTTTCGAACGGAGGTATAACTTTAGCAGTTTTATCTGTTGGTGAATGTAATGGAATTATAATGCTTCCATCTGGAAGTACCGTCCTTTGGGTGGGTTTGGGTGAAGGCGCGGGTGACATGACCAATGAGCGCTCCGGCAGAGCTCGTGGCTGTGGCGCTGAGGCGGGGCGGATCACTTCGCGAGGTTTTCCCGTTATTTTGTCATCACTACTTTCTTTACCATTTTTGGGTTCAAATTCATCAGGGGGAGTCCGAAGAGGAATATGAATTATGCCATCCTTTGCATCTTCATAGTATTTCAATTTTTCGCCACGTTGTTTGTCATGAGGGGTTTGGGGAAATTGACGTTGCTGTTGAACAACTGGAGACACATCACGTGAGCTCGGAGATGGAGATGCCCCGCTACGCCTCGGTGTTTTAAATAGAGACTAAAACAGACCCTTTTATTTTTCCAGCCGACGTCGGTGTAGTCGTACGGTCACGGCTTTTACTTCTTGATCGACCTTCATTTAAACTTTTTTTTCGACGAAATACGTCTGAAGGGGAATCTGGTGAAGCAATTGTCTCGCGCGATTTAAAGAGCGAACAAAATGACGATTTTCTCGAAACGGGAACACCACTTGGAGACGGCGTTCTACTATCACGTTGACGGCGAGCTGTTACTAACGGGCTTACAGGTTTAGTTGGTTTAGAGCACTGGTCACTCAATTCCAGGGTTACTGGTTTTTTAGCTGGTTCATTGCTGACTAAAGTCGTTTCACTTTCCCCCTCCTCATCGTCGTCGTATTCACTGTCTGGTTTAAGTTTGATTCTAATGATATCCTTAGATTTGTTTCCCGCTCGATAGACTTCTGGTTTCTTCGTCTCACGTCTGTCTCTTGACCTAGCGCGGTGTTCTTCTACTTTAGCTCGATTCCTCGTCTCTTTAAGACGCTTGTCATCATCTAAGGAAGTAGTTGAAACGGCGAGTTCTGGTACTGGTGTAGTGGGCGGAGCACTGGGTGAAGTAAGTTTTGGTGCACTAGCTGGCCGAGTGTTTTCTAATGTAACTTCCGTACGAACTTCTCTTCGGTCGCGTGCATCTATCGCAATAGGAATAGTTTGTACTGGCAATGGTTGCGGTTCAGAGGATGAGGCTGCTCCGGTGTCATTTGTTAATTTAGCAATTTCTAATAGCCGTTCCTCCACTGCAGCAGCGCATATTTCGGGATCCGTTTCTATAGGCTTGGGACCACAAAATGATGTTTCCAGAAGCATTTTATGTGGAGAAGGTGATCGAGATGTTCCTGATACAACAGAAAGTCGAGACACGCGACTTAATTGACTAAAAGCGGAAATTGCAGAATGAGCGGAACATTGAGAACCCACGCTGGACAATCGACTAGTGCGACCAGACACAGCGAGGAGTGCGGCCTCAGAACTTTGACTATCTTTACGCGAGTGTCTGCGCGAGGGTTGCGCTACCGCTGGTGGACGCACGTCTGCAGCCTCCGGAGCACCCTCTAGGAATGCCAGTTCTTCTGTTGACGATCGCAAGTCCAGGGCGCCGTCTTCACGAAAACCCAATTCCAAACGTTGTCTCGTTTCCTCGCTGCTACCTCCTCCCGCAAACAACGCGAGCTCAGGAGAGCTGTCCCGAGAGTCGTGGTGACTAGAACTGGAAGCACGAGAGATGTCGATGCGTGGAGCGGAGGGTGTTTGTAAGGCGACCGGTGTAACCGTGTGAACAGCCGGTGAGGACAGGGAGCGGGCGCGCTGCTCCGGGGGGGCTAGGCCGTCCCCTGTGCTGGTGGATTCTGCAACGTTGCAACTTGAACTTGCAGGATCCTCACGGATTTCAGGCAATCGGATCGCTTGTTTATTTTCTGGACTCGACTAGAAAGACAAAGGTTCAATAATTATTAACTATGAAGTAGATAGCTAACTCATTTTAAATATCTGTATTATGATTCAGAACAGAACATTCCTAATACGAAACATTGTTACAATACTCCAAAAAGCCAATTCGTTTCGATTTTCAATTTAATATGTGAAGGATAAGTCAAGAAGAGTATCACAATATAAACATTAATTTTAAATTCCGACACCCTAGAATATTTACCCTGGATGTTTACAATAATAATAATATATCGTATCATAATCCTATCGGACGTATGTATCGCGCATATAATAAGGTTATTCTTGAAAACGACGCGATTGATAGTATTTACATTTTCAACAATAACCTAAATCTATTTAAAAAACAATTGCTTTCAGTTAACAGCCAACAATAGTGATTAAATCTATTTTCTTATCAATTATTATCAATTATTTATTTAGTTCGTCACTTCACCAGTTTATAATTTCATTGTTCATATTTTTCCGTGTAAAATCTTTCTATTTATTGTATAGTCCGGTCAAATTAGACCAAAAAATTAGGGTGAAATTACATAAATTCTATTTTGGTACAATCAAAAATATAAACAATAGCTGAAAGTTCCCCATCATTCCCGTGTGTGGAAAAAATTTTGTTCAAGGTCAAATGTCAAAAAAATGAGTTATATCAGAAAAATACCTCAGACTAAAATTATACATCATAAAATTATCTATGTATAACAAATGTTTCTGAGATATAACGATTCAAAAAGTTATAAAAGTTGTTATCGTCATAATATGCATGAGTACGACACGTATATACATCTAGAGTTGTTATATTTTATATATATAACAGTCAGTGGCGGCCTAGTGGTTAAAAGGCCCGCCACTCATGCACGAGGGCGCGGGTTCGATCCTGGCCCGGGCAAGTACCAATGTGATTTTCCCGAGTTATATGTACTTTCTAAGAGTATTTAGACACTGATTAATGCTGATTCCCAAAGGGGGTTGATGTCAGGCAGGAGTCCAGTCGTAAAAACAAATAGCCAAAACTATTCACAACATGTAAGGCAGACCCTGGCTATGGCTGGGAAATTGACAGGTAGAAGAAGAAGATTTATATATATAAATATTGATTTATTTGTGTAAACTTTTAACTGAAAGCGAAGTTGTTACTGTTGAACGTGGTATTAATTAATGCAAGTATCGAAAGAGCTGATGATTTTTTGAAATATCTCAAAAATCAGAAATCTGTGACAATATACGGAAATTGCCGTAAAAATTATACTCGAAAGTCTTCTTTTTCTGCTGCTAATAAAAGACAACGTGAAGAACAAGAAGCCAGTACATCCACAGCAAGTCCTCCTCGTACTACATCAATTATCAGTGAATCAGCTTTTTGTTTCAAAGAACTATGCTTATTTTGTAGCGAGAAATTAAATGAAGAAAGTGAAAGAAGAAAATCCCCAGATTTTCGGCTTCGAATCAGCTGACTGTTATATTATAAAACTAGAAGACCCGGCGAACTTCGTATCGCTCTATAATCAAGAAATATCTGTTACGTTTTTCTATTTATATTTTTGGAGTTTACCTTTAAGCAAATGATTGACATATAAGTTAGTTGTCAAATATATTGAAAAAAAAAACGTTTCTATGGGAAATAGAAAAGGGCTGTTTGTAGGGTTTTCCAGGAAATGAATCAATTTTGTTCAGTTTTAAACCTTCCCTAAACTTCCACGAACATTTCAAGATTAAGATAAGATAAATCCGTTCAGCCGTTCTCGAGTTTTAGTGAGACTAAAGAACAGCAATTCCTTTTTATATATAACTAGCTGACCCGGCAGACTTCGTACTGCCTCAATCAAGAAATAAATTATGTCTAATTTATTTTTTTGGTGTTTACCTTTAAGCCATAAATCTCAAATGATTGACATATTAGTTAGTTGTCAAATCTAATGTCAAAAAACCGTTTGTATGGGAAATAAAAAAGCTTTGTTTTTAGGGTTTTCCCGGAAATTATTAAAAATTTTTCAGCTTTTACACCTTCCCTGAATCTCCACGAACATTTCAAGACTATGATAAGTTAAATCCGTTCAGTCATTCTTGAGTTTTAGTGAGACCAAGGAACAGCAATACATTTTTATATACAACGTGTAACGTAATTAACGCACACCCTCAAATACCCCAATGCGTATATAATAATATAAACGCAATGCATACACCAAATATTATTTATATGTGCGTTTGCATTTTTTATTTGTGAAATTAGTTATCCAAATTTCGTGCAAATAATATGGTCCGCTATTCAGCGACACTCTGTACTCGCCGCGCCCGCGCCCCTCTCTCCGAGTGCCGTCCGACAATAATAAGAAGTAGGTAACAATAAGTACACGAAATAACTACATACATTATGATTTTTCTTTCCATCACACTTTTCAAGCTTTAGATTGTTGACATTGAATTTTCTTTTTAATGTGAAGCCAATATTTTATAATTTTACTGATTTGTTAAATTAAATTTGTAAATAAGAATTATTAAAGAGCTGATAACGCGTGATTCGAATAGACACCACAATACCTACGACAAAGTTAAACACAGTTGGCCTGTTTAAATGGCGTGTATCAAAATATTTACAATAATTTAAAGATCATAAACAAACTTACAGTTTAATTTGCACTCGCACGGCGTTGTCGTTTTAAAACATTTTCAAAATGTCCACCGCCTTGTTTAATGCACTTTAATGACCGTTTTCGCAATTGTGGTTTTATTTTAGATAATACTGCAATGTCACTTTTCACTTTTACAAAGGCGGTTATTATCTTATTTTTTAGTTCCTCGGCACTTGTTATCTCTGTGTTATAAACTAGCGATTTAATTCGCCCCCACAAAAAAAAGTCGAGTCGCGTCAAATCAGCTGATCTAGGAGGTCAATGGACACGTGCGTAGGTATTTGATGTATTGAATGTTAGTGTACCGAAACGACACAGCGAAATGCGCGACTAAGATTTTATTTGCACTTTACACTTGACCTCTTTTCGATAAGGTGGACGCGGCGTGACTAACTTACAGAAAACACATTTTGTTGACCTCGATGTTTAGTTATTATTACTCTGATTCCCGGAATTATGCCTGCCGTCTCGCTCTATTGTAATGTTATTAAGCCGAAGAAAGAAGGAGAAAGTAATAATTTTTGTATTACGCGGCTTTCTTTTATGCACTGTAGTGACCTTGCTGTGTGCCGGTTGTCGCTATGGTGTTGTGTGCGTAGTTATTATTAAATACTATTTTAGCCTTGAAATAAGTATCAGTTTTCTTTAATTGAATGATGATTACTAATTAAATATTTCATTTTAAAAATCTTAATACCCTGACTTACGATCCATTTTCGTTTCCATTAATTTTCGTTTCTATGAAGTGTTTAGATAACTGTGTGAAGGGTGACTACTATAATTTACTTAGTTCTATCTAAATTTGAGAAAAAAAATGACCTACATAAAAAAACTATCAAAATCGATCCAGTATCCGATTCTGATCAAACTACTTTTAGGGTGTGCGTTAATTATGTTACACGTTGTATATAGAAGATAGAAGATTAAAAAAACATTGTCCAGCGGTCAAAATTGTGGATCTAAACCATTCACAGATCCCCTTGAACACACACAAAAAATTTCAAGTCCAGTCGTTTGAGAGAAGTTCAGTGACATACACACTCATAGAAGAATTATTTATATAAAGATATAACAACTCTAGATGTATATACGTGTCGTATTCATGCATATTATGAGGATAACAACTTTTTTACCTTTTTAATCGTTATATCTCAGAAACGGTGGCTCGTAAGAAAAGAAGTATTGATATATTTGTTATAGATAATTTTATGATCTATAATTTTTGTCTGAGGTACTTTTATGATAAAACTTACCGTGTTGCTGAAAATCGCGAAAAACTCATTTTTTGACCTTTGACCGTGAATAAAAATTTTTCCACACACGGGAATGATGGGGAACTTTCAGCTATTATTTATAATCGTTTGTTTTGAACAATTGTACCGAAATTCAGCTTGTTGCGAATTTATGTAGCACCGAATGTTTAATTTGACCGGACTATGTAAGTGTATTTTCTTATATCTATACGTATTTTTACTGATGTACATATATTTTTTAAGGTGAGATATTTAGTTTATAATCTGTGTTCACATAGTTTGGGTTATAATTGAGCTTATTTATAATGTTTACCTGCCAATTAATTGTATATTTAGTTATAATCTGTTTTGTGAACCGTAAATAAAATTAAAATAAATACTTCATCAGAGGCGTCGTGGTCGAAGGAGGCGATGGGCGCGGGCCCGCGGCGCGCCCGGCGCTCGCGAGCCTCCATGCGCCCGCCTGCCTGGCCCTGCCGCCTGCCGCCTGCACTCTCTCACATCGGGTGCACCTAGAAACCATCAAATAATACGACGGTTACGTTTCACTGCACGATAAAAAGAGTTCAACAGTTACACTAAAAAAAAAAATTACAAAAACTTGAAACTAATTCGTTTTGATTAATCTTGTTTAAGTCTTAGGATATGTTATCTGGTTACAACGTCGGAGCTGTCAGCTGGAGTCCTCGGTGTCCTGCACTGCACCTACTTAATGATAAGTTCACTACTCTTTATTCCTTGATTGAGGTCTACTACTATATATTTCTATTATAACAAAATATGTGACGAACAACGCAAGTTCTCATCACTTATAATTAAATGTTTACGAAAATTTTCATCAAATTAAACAAATTCAGGATAAATAAGTAGTAAGTTCCCGAGTATCACCTCATTACACTTACCAGGGTCTTTGACTTTAGTAAATTTTTAATATAATATGCCTAATGGTAATCCTCTTACATACATACCGTAGTTTAAAACGCACACCAATACTCCGCAACTATCGATATCAGTCGATATGCAAACGTCACTCCATCACTGACACGCACATTCCTGTCTATAATACATGAGCCAGACACTGGTGGATGAGGGACACTGGGTGACACAACCATACGCTGCCAGTCCCAGGGTTACAGGCAGGCAACAAGCTGTGTGGGCGCGCGGTGCGTGCCGCAACCGCCGATAGCTCGACTCGCTCGGCAGGAGGTCGCCCCTCGCCCCGCGACCCCTGACCCCGCGGCTCCCTTCGTAGGCGCGACATCGAGCGCTGCAGCGCGCATGCGCGGCGATAGCACGCCGAGTCCGCCGCCAGTGCTGCCATGTCCAGGTTAATTAGCTAAATATAGGGTATGCTCACGACTCAGATCAATATTGACATTTTAAACGGGTCACTAATAATACATTGACTGACACCAGCGGCGTAATTAAAATTGTGCAATATATTTATAAACCACATCCAACTAAGTAATCGGAGCCAACCTTTTTAAAATCCCTCGAAGAAATATTCTTCCCCCCTTTTATTTTATTCAGAATAATTTAAAAGTATATATTGTGCACAATAAAATCATATATGTTGTTATTTAAGTGAGAGGAGGGTCACTGCTAGCTCGTGACCGCGTGCTCTGGTGGTGGCAACATTTGTTAACGGGTAAGTATGTTCGTGAGGCCGTCGCTTAAGGTTTTACAGAACCATGAAAATGATATTGAGTGGCCTACATCCATGATCTGGAATACAGCCATCACTAATAAAAAATATTTTTAAAGATCATATTATCGTGTTTACTAAAAAAAAATGTTATGAAACCAATTTTTTCAATATTTATTAAGTTGTAGCTGATAGTATTTTTGTTCTTGGTTATATTTCCAAATGATTATATTACATAATGATTTCACACCTTGTTTATGTTATAAAGAGTGTTTGCATCATATATCCAGGTATCGTCGGCAGACCGGTGCTTCTCACGTGGCCAGCTTTTATATATTTATATTCTATAAACCGATTGTAATTTGTGTATCTTAAACATTCAGTGAAAATACTGACCAAAGAAATGTATGTTTTCTTATTTCATTTTCAATGACAGGAATTTTCTCAGTTCAGGTCCAGGTATTTAATTTATTTATTAATATTGATATACTCTTTATTGCACACCAATATAGACAAAAATAATAGGAGTAAAACAAAGAAAAGAAAAATGTACAATAGGCGGCCTTATCGCTAAAACAGAGATCTCTTCCAGGCAACCTTTGGTAGAGGAGAGAGATAGGATGGTAGGTATATTATTATTTAAGGTAGGCAGTGTAATAATAAAAATACAGATTCACAATTGCAATTTTTATTGACAACATAACATAGCAGTCCCCGTCGGCGGGCGGCGGGTGGAGGGGAGAGGATCGTTCACTCGCGTTATATGGAGTGACACTCCTGCCTGCCTCGCGCCCTAGCGGAGCGGCGCGGTCGGTACAACAATCAATAGTGGAACATGCATATTTAGTTTAACTATATATATATATATTATATAATCTACACGTAACTTTATAAGTCCTCGCACATATTATATTAAACGTTTTGATAAGTCGAGTAAGAGTTAGGAGTGAGCGATAGACACGTGGACTATCACAACATATACTTAGTGAAGTCAAGGATCTACTTCACATTGAGTAATAAAAACACGCTCCTTCACGCCAACGTCCATGAGCCGGCCACAGTCGACCAGCCGCAGGTCTGATGGACCCTTACATCTGTAAGGATGGAGCCGTGTATGATGTAGCTCACAACTTTATTTCCAGACTAGCTTTCCGCCCGCAGCTTCGCCCGCGTGGAGTTCGGTTATATCGCGTTTCCAAGAGAACGTTTCAAAAGTCTGGGATAAAAACTATCCTATGTTCTTTCTCAAGGTCAACTCTATCTCAGTACCAAATTTCATTAAAATCAGTTCAGTGGTTTAGGCGTGAAAGAGTAACAGACAGACAGACAGACAGACAGACAGACAGACAGACAGAGTTACTTTCGCATTTATAATATTAGTAGGGATGAACGTGTTGTGTTTAAACCATCTCCGGGCCGGCCACAGCGTGTCTCTAGTGTAGTAGTAGTATCAGCGTGTAGTCCACTACTAGCATGTATTACACTCCTATATATATCATCTGTAAACGTCAACGAGCTCTGTGTCCTCGAGTTTTGTCGTTAACTATGTTCTATTAATATATGTGTAAATATACATATCATTGGACCTTCGTTCATTCGATTACATTTCCAATATAATTTATATATTTGAGTAAACATATGTATTCAGAATTTCAAGATTATCTAAGAGTTTATTATGTATATATTAGGATATAGTATAATAGAGTAATGTGTATAAATATTTCTTTATAAACACACAGCAATAAGACTATAAACAGATTAGATACGATATGAGCTTATATACTTGTATATATATATAGCAAGCCGCTTGAGTATATACGAACATTGAATATATAACACGAAGAGGAAGGCTCCGGCGACAGCGGCCTCTACAGCGTCTACTTGTAACCGGTGGAGTGTTCGTCCCTAGCGTACGATATACTATGTACTTAACATATTATTATTTATTTACAAAACCTCTCTCGACCTAACGACTAATATATTTATTATGTAAATACTCAATGTGCTTCTTTGTCAATACATCTCACTAAACTTTGCGATTTACAACACGAACGTACGTTTATCTAAAAAATAATATACAAGTGGCGGTCAGCATCCAGCGCCGAGTCGAGCTCCGCGAGCTCCTACCACTACAAGCAGAGTCGGCGCGTGACACTATATCTGTGAGACTTACAACGATATCACATAGGACTACTACAAAACGAATCTACAGATCAATAAACATTTGGAACGCCTACGATACAAACAGAACTAGCAGTATTCACAGGACCGAGGCCACGGTCAATACAATGTCCTGTCAGCGATCTGAACATGAACATTATATTAATAAGGTTGTGTTCTCTTCTCTCGTCGCTCGTCTAGTCTGAGTCGGAGTCCGAGGAAGGCTCCTGGGGGGGCGCGGGGTCGTTGACCGGGGAGGCGGGCGCGGGCTCCTTGGCGGCCGCCAGCGAGTACGCGGCCGTCGGCGCGCCGGAGGTACGCTCGATGGCCACCCTGCGGACAGAGAGTGTCCGATCCTCGACTGTACACTTCACAATTCATTTCACACACAAGAGGTCGCTACTCACTTGTACTCGTGCCGCGCGAGGTACCGCACGTACTTCTCGGGCGGGTCCCCGTCGTGTTCCTGGAGCGACACGGAGCGGACCACCATGTGGCTCACCTGGGTCGCGGGCATCGTGAACTCAACGAACGCCCAACGAGCCAGCTCCGACGGAATCTGATCGTACGATGTTAAAGCCATACGACACACGAGATTATGGGTCGTGTATGCACCTGCGAGGAACATGAGTCTCATTAGTGAGTTTCATCGTTAGTGCGATGGGATAGGACGGCCGAGGCCTTCGATAGTTACCTTGTCCTTCCTTGGGCAGGCGAGGCATGCGCCACACGATGGCGCGGTGCTGGTGTTCGTACTTGGCCTGACCCGACGTCACCTCGATCAGGGACTCCTGAGGAGTGTCCACGGCGCCGAGGAAACGCTCGATGCCTTTGATCTTACCGGTCCGTCTGTTGACACAATACAATAATTAACTCATACAACATGTGGAAGCTCTTAGAACCTACTACTTTCAGACCTATCCTCATGTAATGACTTTTTTTGCTTAAGTGTCAGTAATAGATATTTACACGTAAAATAATGAAATATATCAGAAACATCAAATAAAAAAAGTGGTGTATATTCACATTTCAAAAATATCTTCTAAAAGAGTTTCAAAAACACCTGGCAGAAGCGAATAAAGAGAGAAAAAGCAAGTAAAGTTATGATCGTGACTAAAGGCTTTTGACGCACTTAGGCAACAGTTATTGCGATAGCTTTTTCAATCTAGAACATTATACTATCGTCCTTCCGAGTTGTACCGAAGTTCACTCGGTCGGTAAGTGATACATATTTTATTATGTTTTTCCAAGCCTTACCTGTGTGCGGACTTCACAGAGCCGTATCGGAAATGTTTCTCAACTCGGAACAGATAGATCCAGCACTCGGGGATGGGGAAGCGCGCGGCGACGTCCTCGCACGGGACCTGGCCGAGGGCGCGCGACGCGAACCCTGGCACCAGCACGTCCGCGCGGAGCTCCACCTGACGCACACACACACACACACCAGCGTTACAACGACACGCCCCCCTCCCCGCGCCCCGCCCCTCCCCCCACTCACCTTGTTCCCGGTGACGCACCACACGGCCTTCAGCTGCAGCGGCAGCTCGCGGTTCTTGGGAGGTCGCACGCGGAACCTCATCAGCTCGATGTAGCACGCGTCCGGCGGCTTGAACCTGGACCACATACAGACACATTGACAGACGGGATCACGCGGTATATGCATGTGCATTCATTCAATGTTTTTTCTAAAATAATCACATTTTTCCTTCATTAAGAGAAACGAGAAATCGCGCTATAAATCTAAGGTAATTACAAAACTGCTTTATTGACAAGGAACATATTGACCATGGCCCCTATTATATACAACAAAATACCGAATGAAATAAAAGACTTAACTTATGTAAAATTTAAAAAACTTTTGTTTTCCTTACTAGTCAAAAAGTGTTATTACTCCGTAAATGATTATCTAATTGACAAGACATAATATTGTAAGAAATTGATGAATAAAAAATGTATAAAATATATAACTTAATCATATATCTATCTATCATTGTTAATTTTCATCTGTAAAACATTTAATATGAATTTATAATTATAATTGCATTGTTAATTTAATTTCTAATTTTAATTTAATAGTTAATTTTAATTTATAATTTAAGCCTAATATTTGCATGCCTTAAGGTAGAATGTACTGGAACTTATACTAAAATCTATTTATACACCTTTAGTCTGTACCTACATTCAGAGCAAATATTATTATTATTATTATTATTATTATTAAAGACAGGATCAAGGACTAGTTAGAATATTTCGTAACATGAAAAGCCTTTAGATATTGTAAATACATTGTCATAGCTTCTCACTTGATGATCTGTGTATCTTGGAACTGCTGCGGCTGCACGCACGCGTGGAACTCCACGTCCTCGACTCGGATCCACTCCTCGGTCGCCACGGGGATGATGTCGTGTCGGCCCACAACCTCTTTACCTTGGCGTCTCAGGTCATTGACCCCCAGCTCGATGTCAGGCATACCTGGAAGTTAACATTGTCCTGTTAATAAACACACATATAGAATATATTTAATTATTATAAGAAAGAGACACTATAACAAGACACGACAAAAACGTTATTTCACGTCGCTCCTCAATGAAACAGATATATCTTATATATTTAAATGAGCAATTCTTGTATACATATAAATATACAATTGGAATCTCGGAATCCGCTCCAAGGATTTTCATGAAATTTTGTATGTAGGGGATTAAATAAAAATAAATAAATCGATCTAGCAAAGAATAATTTTTAGAAAATGTTATTTTTTTAAAAAAAAATGGAGCCGTTTAAAATATGACTCTTCCTGACATCTATTGGTAAATAGTAATACTACTTTTTGCTACTTGTTTTCTAATCGACACAACAGCAGATGGCGTTGTTAAGTACCAGGAAGTCTGTTTGTTTTGAGATTAGACTAAGAAATTATTTTTTGACATATGGGTGAATATGCGCTATTTGAATTTCATTGGTCTATAGACAAACTTTATGTAAAACTTATTATATCATTGTCTCCTATTTAAGCAATAACAACAATCCTATTTAAATTTATCCTGTTTAAACAATAAAAAATATGGCATTTTATCTGGCTCACAGAGACTATTCACGATAATTATTTAAGTAATATATATTTTTAATAATATTTTAAAATAGTCCTCTGGCCTTCCTATTTATGATTTAAAATGAACTTATGACTGAACACTTTCAAAAAGTACACAATTATGTTTTATATTTAATGTGGTCATACGCTTTAACAAACATCGAAACATATTTAAAAAAAATTAAGTGTAAAAATATTTATTAATATAAAATAATATAATTTATTTTCGTGTCATGTTACAATACTGACAGTACTGACTGACTACGTCTGGAGGAATTCAACGACTTAAAAATTTATTAAAAATCACAACACACAACAAAAAACCAAGAACGGGCGAAAAACAGTTGCAAATTAGAGGCAAGCTAAATAATTTGAGCAAAATTAAAAAAAAAATTGGATCAGTTTTGATAATCTTTCTGAAAGTAATTTTGTGGCAGCCGTTGGAGTATTTCCTTTGGTAAGTATGTATATATATTTGTGTTTTATCGTTACGATATTGTTAATTTCTATAATCAATGTTTATTGTCCGTAGATATCATATATCAACTTAAACTGATGTAAGAAAAGCGAGTGATGTTAATTTTAATACATTGTGTGATTTTGTCACTTTTCTAGCCTCACTCCTCTGGCATATTACATACATGATAGCCAGAGGAGTGACCATTTTTTTTTAAATAGACGTAAATAGACGTTTTATTTAATATTAGTCAACTTTCTTAGCTAATAATCAATGGTATGACAATACCCTGCTTTGATTTGTTTACTACTCTGGCAACAGTGTCACTCTTCTGGTAACATATTTCCCTCTGGTGCTTATAAAATGAAAAAAAAATTAATAATTGTCTGGCCCCTCTTTTTACTACTTTTAAAATAGTTTCAAATAAATAAATTATAAATATTGAATGGAACCTATAACATTTCTTTCTGGGACACGAAAAATCCAAATAGCGTATATTCACCCGTATATTGTTTTGCGTATACTTAACGTGTTCCTTTAAAAATGCCTAAACGAAATTAAAAAAAAAACACAAAAAATTAAAAATAATACTAATTCTTAAATACCGAGCAAAGCTCGGTTACCAGATATTATTAGCATACAAGGAAAGTAGTTATATCTTCAGGAGCAAATACAATAAAACTTTACCGCTCAGGAAACCCAAGAAGAAGAGTCGGACTCGAGCTATTTGTTTGAGTACGGAGCCCTCCGCGTCTTGTTCAACGTAGAGCTCGTCCACCGCTGTCAGCTGTACCTGTGAATATAGTTAACAAAAAATAAGTCAACGTCATTGATGTAGAACATGTGACTTGACATCAATCAATAGCTGGAGCTTGTTATAAGAGCGCACCTCCTCCATCTTGTAGGTGAGGGCGCGGTCTCTGTGCGCGGACAAGCGGAACAACGCCTCCTCCACGCAGCACGAGAACTGCTTCACGGCCTCGTAGTCCAGGGATCCGAGCTTGAACAGTTGTGTCACCTGAACAGGCACAATATACATTATATCATCTTTGAATTTTAGAGTGGTGTGGAATGAGACGCATTTTTATATTTCTAGTTAAGAGAAGCTGCTCCTTGTGGGTTCTAAAGTATTTGACTCATTATAAAAATATGGTTTTTAATAATGTGCAGTTGCTAGCACAGCGAATGACTTTAGTGATGAGTGACACTTCGGGAATTGAAAACAACTAGTGTAGGTGTGTTGTATACCTGTGGCGCATGTTCTACAGGCAGGCCCAGTTTGCGCAGGTCACTGCCGAACTCCTTGACACCCTGGTAGTCTCCCTGGATAGCGTATGCGGCGAACTGAGACAGCTTGTTCGTGATACGCTCCGCCTTCGTCACCTGGCCCGGTCTAAAATAAACATTTTATTAAATGACAACGGAAAGCTCCAGCTAATATATATTTTTAAGAACAAGCGAATATAAATCTATTTAAACTGACCGCACTCCCGGACGCTCCTTGTAGAACACATACTGTAGCTTGACAGTGAATATTTTTCCAAACTGATCAAATTGCTGTGCGCCAACTTCTGATACCGAGTAGCACGCCTGCAGCGGCAGTTCCTGCAGCGGCTGCTTGTCTGTGGCGGAGTTCAACAGTTGCACCACGGGACTGTCGCCCTGGTTAGCGAGGCGGACGAACACTTTCTTCCAGAATCTGTTTCATTATAAATTGTGTTAGTAATGATATCTGTCAGCTAAGTCTTATATGTGAGTCAGATTATCGCTTCGTTTAATATAACTAAGTTACAAGCGGTATCAATTCTTATCATCTGATTATGAGTAGGCACAACGAAACTAAAACTTGCGCATAGTTCTGCTACTTCACCTTTGTCCTGTGATCTTCTTCTTGTTCGGTTGTCGTAGATGCATCTCCCAGCCCGGTCCGTCATACTTGGTACGAGGGAAGTCCTCCAGTGGAACCGACACGTCCTCGTCAAACAACGGTGTCGGAGGTGTCTCTGCACCGCTGCCATCAGGTTTCTGTGCTGCTATGCAGTGGCGAGATTTGAGGTTGGATAAGCAGAATATGTGGAAAATAATATACCAATTTTCATAATTTCCTCCTCTAAAACATTGATAATAATGATATCTTTCGAAAGTTTCATTTAAAATTTAAATTATTGTTTTATATTATGAAACGTATATTTTTATTATTTTTAACGGACAGACGAGATGTCTGCCCTGATCACAGTTGCTGCGAAGTAATCGTAATCTTCGGAATATGTAGTTTTTAATAAAATAAAATAATCAGAAAATATTAATTTCGTTTAAAACATTGACAATATAGGCGCATAAGGTTACAGCTGTCCGATCAGAACGAACATGTATATGTACCTATATTGTGCTTTATGAACCACTCATCTACCTTTAAGCCAAGAAAGTACATATCTTAAAACGATTACGATCTGTTCATCACAGCTTCATAAAAAATATTTAAATAGGAATATTCAGTAGAGATTCAAACATTCTTATAATTATCATTTGAAAACAACAAACAAGGCAAACAAAATAACTTATTTGTACACAACCTACTAACTCATCAAAACTATCATAATACTTTTTATTAAAACGAATAACAGTACCTTTCTTTTAGTTCAATCTCAACTGGTCACACACCTTGACTTTACACTTATATAAATTTTAATTTTATCATTAAACGACAATATTAAAAATCTACTCGTAACAATTTTCAATAAACACATATCACAAGTACAGAGCTCACAGCTATAATTTTCCATAATTCGTTAATAAAGTTAATCCACTGTCTACTGTTTAAAACTTATTCACTTGCACTTCGAAAGACAAATGACAATATTCGATAATAATAAAATGGCGAAAAAAATATATGAACAGTTTACCGACCAATCAGAGAGTCCCGTTTCGTTTGACAATTAACGGACTTTCTACGTCATTTTAACAATAAAAAAGAATAAACAAACAGGGTGAGCTAAATAAAACCGTTTAAAAAAAATAATCAGTTCTGCTCGAACACTATGCATGTGTTAGTTTTACACATATGTACAAACATTTCCTGCATATAATTTGTAGATCGTCCTTGAGAATTTTTGTATGGTTTTCCATATAAAAATTCATAAGCAGAGAGTGGTTGCGCATACCGCCGCACTGGCTGCATAGCGGTGCTAGTTGGCAGGGGCCGAACGAAAATGTTTTACATTGATAGATGGCACATATGTATTAACAAATCACGACTCAAATGAATGACATTTTTATTTCGTAATGTATGACTAAAAGTACGTAAGTAAGAATTAAACAATATAGGTTTAGTTGTTATATAGGTAGCGTATGCAGTGCCTACTTGCATCTATGGTGTGCACGCTATCGCTGCTATGTTAGGGTATTAATAAACTTAAATATAATATTAGCTTTTTCCTTAATTAAATGTAATATACCTTCATCAAAATCGATTCTTTGTTGCACTCCTATAGTTTCAGTCTTATCGAAAGGATTGGCTCGTGGTGATTCTGGTAGTACCTGGGGTCTTGGCGGTGGAGCCAGAACTGGCACCGCAGCCTCGTTGGCACTGTATTCACCTTCTTTAGGTCTATTACAAAATTTGATATAGTGAGATAGAAGTTTAACAATACGTGTAAAGGAACCTGTTGGACACATTATATAATAAATAATATTTAACAGACCTAATGAATACAGAAAACGTATCGTCCATAGAATCTCTAGATTCCTGGTGATCTAGTCGTGGGGTAGCCGCGGGAGCCGGTGGAGCGTCCATACTCAAGAATGAATCAAATGCTTCGGCTTCGAAACCACCTGGTGCAAGGTCAGCACTACTGTCATCGCCCCAAGCGTCTGAAACCATTAATTGAAATAATATTTATAAATTCATAATAACATTTAATATTAAGGATACAGTTCCTACCTGTGTTCATTTGGTTTCCTCCAGCGCATTCAAATTTAGCTGAAAATGCGTCAAAATCATCTTGGGTTTCAGGAAAAGCGGTTTCCATCTTTTCAGTCGTGCCCCAGTTTGTGTTGTGGGATGAGATATTTTCATCATTGTGAGATATTGTCTCTTGAGGTACTGATGCAAATATATTGGATTTTTCAACGAAATCGTCTGTTGCCATAGCGGCAAAAGCATTTACCTCATTCATCTGTTGTTCTGGTACCTGGTTTGGCTCAGTTGAAGTTACACATTGCTCCTCATTTATAAGTTGTTTATGACTAGAAGTCATAACAATATCTACAGGCTCAGTCAGTATTTCAGAATTCATAACATTAGAGGTAGCAAATGGGGAATTGCTGTCAATAGTTCCAGATAGCTCAAAAGGATTCTTCTCATTTTCAATTTGTTGTATTTGAAAATTGGTGTCCGATATGTCAGCAAATGGGGATGTATTTGTAGCGCTGAGGTGTTCATTCTTTTCCGAAGGGTCTGTACAATCCATTGCGACATTAGTGTCTTCTTTAGCATTTATGGTGTCCGATTCAAATAATGATTTTTGAACTTCCGATTGATTTACATTATCTGAGATTGATGAAACTGAGTCGTTGAAAAGTAAGTGAGTCATTTCTGAAGCCTGAGAACTAGTGGCGGGTGGTCCGAAAACTTCCGTAGGTTGCATGTTTGTCTCGTTTGATAATTCGAGAATATCATCACTTAAAAAATCAATTTGCTTTTCTTCCTTTTTAGGTGCTGAATATAAACTTAATATAGCTTCTTTTGTTGGTTTTACGGTGGTAGGAACAGGGGCATCAAAAAGGTTAATGTCATCTGGTGCTGTTTGAACTGGTGCTTGAGCAGGTGGTTGCGGTCTGGGAGGCGGGGCAGGTCGAGGAGGCCGTACAGGTGGAGGTCGTGTAGGTTTATTGACCGTTTGCGGTGTGCTTGTATTTGTATTTTCTTCAAACAAAAATGGTTCGGGAGTTGGACTTGGTGAATGAATATCTCTGACTGATACAGGACTTGGTGTTCTTGTGGGGGGTATACGATCCAGTAAATGAGAACTTGTGAATTCCATTTGTCCTGTAACTGTTAAAATTAAATTTTGTGTTTCAGGTGGTAGTGGATGCATGGCAGACTGTTCTTCGTCTGCTTTTGTTTCAGTGGGATAATCGCAATCAACCATAGTAGTCACAAGTTCGAGCTCAGTTGGTTTAACTACACGTTCACTATCGATTTGTTGGTTCCCAAATACATCGACAGATCTCATTTCATCGTATTGTTGAGCTCCAATGCTAGCTTCTTCAGGGCCTCCGAATATGTCTACAGGCACTGTATCACCGACAGCTGGTTCATAGCTTGTGCCAAAGTCTGAGAAAGGATTACTGGTAGCGAAAGGGTTATCGCCTGGTGTATAACTTGATGTCTCAGAATCAGTCATCATAAATGGATTCAATACTTCGGTGGTCACTGGAGCCGCCGGCTCGTTCATACTTAAGAATGGATTGAAAGCCATTTCGGAAGAAAATATTTAATATTAATTTAAAAATTCCGATTCTAGTAACTTAATTTCAGTCCTTCCGGGATTTAAATCGTTTGCAAACGAAGTATCAAATGGATCAAATTCTTCTTCAGGGATTCGGGCCGTATCCGATGGTTCGGGAGTAAGTGCTTTGACTTGAAAAATATCGTCAGAAGGTTCTAATAAATCAGGTTCACCTTCCCCTTCCACACCTGATGACTTTTCGCAAGAAAATTCTTTAGCTAATAGCTTTAATTCTGTTTTGCTTGGTTCAATATTAATCGCAAATGAAGTATCAAAAGGATCAATATCTTCCTTAGATAAGGTTTTTTGTGTAACTTTCGTTTCAGTGGGTGTAAGCACCTTTACTTCGATATCTTTTACGGATTCGTGTAAGAGATCGCTTGCTTTATATGTGTTTTTATTTTGCTGAGGAAATTCAGAATGCCTTCTTTTAGTTTGATGAGAAATACTTGAAGTGAATTCCTCTTCTGAACGCGTTCGGGTCAACGTTTTTGAAGGTTTGTCAGTTACTTCCGAGTCTTCGTTAATGTCTTCAGTTATAGAAAGTTCCCGATTGTAATAAGGTGTCACAGGTTTCACAGGCTTAGATTTACCCTGAGAATCTAATTCTGATATGGTCTCACCATCCACATTGAAAACTACACTTTTACTCACTGTAAGGTTCTCTGGGCGTGAAGCTCTTCTCTCAGATTTTTTAGGTTCGTCTGCCCTTGGATCAAAATCGGGGTCACTAGGTACCCTATAAATTGGTACAGACGAAACAGCTCCAATAAGTTCTTCCTCTAGAAGTTTTAATTCAACTTTACCAGGTGCAACGATCTTGTCTACTATAGTAGTGTCGAAAGGATCGATTTCACTATCATTTACATCTACTGGTTCTAAAACAGAATCACCTAATTGTGTCAAATCAGTTGTGCTTCCTCCTAAAAGGTCTCGGTGGATTTGACTATCACCACTATCTACAATATCATCCGATGTTATAGATTCTCGTAGACCTGAAGGATTAGTTATATGAATACGAACAGACGACTTTCTTCTGTTGTTTAATATAAGCTTAACCTCGTCTGCACGAGGATCAAAATCATCGTCGTCTTCTAATAAAGCAGATTTTATGCTCTTGTTCTTGGAAATTTCCGCCTGGAATTATTGCATCGGCAAAACTGGTATCAAAAGGGTCGTGTTCATCAACATAAGGATCAACGTCGAGCTGATCTTCGACTATTCCTTCAGCAAAAACTGTATCGCTTTTGTCTGCTTCAAATGCTGACCAAGTTTCTTGTAAAACAGGTTCTAGTTTAATTTCACTTTCTTCAATTTTTTTTACAACCGTTTTTACTTCTAAAGATTCCGCAGCTAATAGAGTAAATTCATCAACTTCTGTTTCTTCTTCTGTATTATTTTTAGCATCAGCACAAGAAGCAAATAATTCTTCTTGGCTAATACTCTTATTTTGTTGAATCAATGTAGTATGCAAAGATACACTGAGATCTATAGGACTTGTTATTGGAATATCAGCATCAATATCTAAAATGCTCTTTTCTTCAGGTTCGACGACAGTTGACGTCACAACTGGTAAGTTATCTTTATCTACACTTTCTAAAAGTAAATCTCCAGGTATAACTCGTTTAGATCTCTTCGTCGAAGTTATAGTAAGATTATCAATTCGGCCAGTTAACACCTCGACAGCAACACCAATGTCCACGCCTTTTTTACCTTTAGGAGTTTTTGATTCCTGACCTTTTATTAAAGCATCAACATGTGATGTATCAAAAATATCGTCATCTCGAAATTCTTCTGGTGAATCAGGAACGTAGGCAAGTTTTACTTCTCCCCTTTCAACAGCATCTACATAAGATGTGTCAAATATATCGTCTTGTTCGTCCTCTTCGTCGGATTCCTCGTCAGTGACTCCGTAGTCGTATTCACTGTCGACGGCGGCTGCCTGCTGCCGCTGCCGCTGCCGCTAACTGTGGAAAGTCAGCTTCAGTTATTTCAACCACGGGTCGCTTGGGCTCCTCCTTCTCGACCGGCTCTCGTTCTTTAGTACCGGCTGGTATTCGTTGAAAGAATGAAGTAGACTTTATTCGATCGAGATCCCCTTGGGTTTTCTTAAGAACGGAGTCGACTCCAGTAGTCAGGTCTTTGAATTTAGACCATTCCTCATTTTCTTTTACAGTTTCATCGCTACTCTCTTTCTGTTTCTGATGTTCTCTTCTATATTTTTCAAGTTCTTCTTCAGTGAAAAGCTCTTCTTCGCCCTTACGCTTGGATTTTTTTCCTTTTTTCTTCTTTTTAAGGCCTTTGGGTAGCTTTAGCATTATACGATCTTATTAGTTTCTTTTTGTGTTGCTGAAACAAGTAATATTATATGTTATCAAGACTATATTTTTCGTAACTGTTATTGAACAAAAACTACTCTATGTAACGTTTTAGTTTTTCATCTATATACGTATTATATCATATTTAAATAATAACATACACAATTAAACTACGTTTGATTTTAATGATTGGCGGATTTAATATGATATATTATTATATTATGAGATAAGTCATAGGTGATAGGAATAAAGTAGTATACATTTTAATAAGGTGTTAAAATATTAAAAGCAACCATTTAAAAGACCTCAGGGATGACATGATGTGGGAGGTGTTTTTGTCAAGCACTCCATTTAAGATACGGAACGACTGTATCGATCCATCGTCTGAATGGAGTCCGCGATACACTGTACACTGTAGACTGTAAGCGACAATGAATGTGTGGAGACATGCAACAACTGGATGTGAACAGAGGACATTTAATGACTTCATATCTACAGCAGCAACAGAACGAGGCCAAATGACGAGATGAACATCGAGGAGAGACGGGCCCAAAGAGGACGGCCAAAAGTCGGCAGGGGACGGCGTGCGGGCCTCGAGACGACACCTACCGAGACCGCGGCGACACCTACGGCTAAGGGCTACCCCTAGAGCGCTACGGGGAGGGTCTCCGTACCTTCATCACAACACACGGACACAGGACTCGACTAGCGCTGCGTGCGGGCTGCGCTCGGGGCGCCGGCTCGGGACTGACCCGGGCGGCGGCGGCGAGGAGGCGGCCGAACACTATCGACCCGCGGCGCGCGCACCCCGGCAGACCTGCCAGAGACTTACGTAACGCCTCCTCCCACTCCCTCGCCTCCTCCACTATGATGTGCGAGAATACGTCACTCCTGTGCGCGACCCATATACAACAAATATAGGTATGACAGATGTTAAGTATATTTTAAAAGATTAAAATGTGGAACAAGCATCTGAATAAAATGACTGGTTTAGTAAGAGACGTATAATATGTTTTCTTCTTTGTCATTATATCACACTAACAGTATAAATTAGAAGGTCGATCGATAGTCCCGAGCGAACCGTTCATCTTGATGCCTTGCTTTGAAGTATTTCTTCAAACTATGATAGAGGAAACATTAAATAGAGGTATTTGTGGGAAACTCCAGTTTATTTGTAGAAAAGATATTAAAAACTTTATAATTTATATAGGTACCTATGTGTATCGATTTTTCTCAAATCTATTTTTTAAACCCCGCTTCTGTATTATTTTAAAAGTTGTAATTACTCAATAAGAAGCGTTAGTACTTTAAAATCTCTTCAATAGTATTTTTTTTTATTATTTCGTGTCCTAAATCCTTTGATAAAAATTTCGAGTATATATGATAAATTTTAACAACAGTCTAAGCACGTTTAAAATAACAATGTTACCATACGATATTATGCGATGAACATTCTGAAAATCTTATTCTCATAAATGAATTTTTTGAACGCAACATAGTGAAAGAGTTAATAAATTAAGATGTATATAGTTAACCATTTAGACGAAGTATTCAATTAATAAACACATATCTCCATTTCTTAAAATCAGTTCATATACTTAATACGTCAAATCTGTAATTTTTTCGATACCTACTAAAGACAAAGATAAAAATAAAGATATATAGCAGTATAGGTACAATCAAAAGGAAGGTTATGACTTTAAAAAACCAGTTATTTATTTACGACACTGATAATATGGAACCTAATAGTTTTTAAACCTGGGACGCACTGAGGACTATCTCAGTATCCGTGCACATGACATGCCAGAAGTTATTCCAGATGTGTAAAGTTATTTAGCCGGCAAATGGAAATCATGAAATATATATTTATAACTTTATGTAGGGTTGTTATATTTATATACATATATACTTTTTTTAAATATTTAAGCTATGATTTCATTCACACTGGAGTCGTGGAAGTTATAAAAAAACAAAAAACGTCACCTCTCCAGCAGTATAGAGTCATCATAAAATATATGTATTTTAAAAGTCAAACAAACATTACAAAACGGAACTCTATTACTTGAGGATTCATACATGTCTGAATCCTGTGACAGATAGCCATATTAAGTTAATTTACAAAAGATCACAAATAGTTTTTGAATGTTTTACTACTATTGTATAATAACATATTGAGTATCATTAGTTTTATTTATAAACTTACACATCATATCATTAAAGTAATATAATAAAATACCAATATTTTTAATGCAGTTATAAAATCTTACATTTTGTCATAATATAAGTGTACATTTAACTGAACATCATAATCAATCATGTCGTTTGTATTTCTTTTAAAATATCAATAAGTAATTTATAGTATAAAATGGAACGTTATAAAAAAAGTAAAACAACGCCACTTATTCACCTAGCGGTAGACATATGGGACTAATTTGTCAAAATAGGTTATTATGCAGCCAAATAAATAGTCATATTTATAACATACACACAATCGGATATCTCTTTCTTTCCTAAGCATTTCTTATAAGTGCTAGCGGGGCGTAATTATCATGAAACGCCACTTCCTCATTTAATCACATAACAACCGCGAGGCTACGTCGCTAATTCGTGTCGTTTTCTAGATTGCAAAACTTAAAAATCTATTCAATAATTGCATCGCAAGTTGAAAATGATCGCTGATTGCACTGTGAGTGCATCACAGCATCGGTGAACTAGGCCAGGAGCTTTCCGGAACGGAAACGTGGTAGTGGTGCGGTGGTCGGTGGCGATTTGTTATCAAACATCTGACGGGCGGCTGGCGATGGCGGAGGCGGCGCCCGGGAACATCGTGAAGGAGGGCTGGTTGCTGAAGCGCGGCGAGCACATCCGCAACTGGCGCGACCGCTACTTCATCCTGTTCGACAATGGCGACCTACTGGGCTTCAAGGCGCAGCCCGAGCGCAACAACTACCGTGACACCCTCAACAAGTTTACAGTGCGTGATTGTCAGATCATGGCTGTGGACAAACCCCGGCCCTACGTGTTCACGATCCGCGGCCTACAGTGGACTACCGTCATAGAAAGAAACTTCGCCGTCGACAACGAGAAAGATCGGTGAGTAGGCTTCAGTTAGAGTGAAACATTGCTTTACTTAACTCGAGCTTAGAAAACAGCAACGATGGCCTTGGTATTGAATATCAACATTAATTATTACAGTGAATCATCTTTCTATAAACTCAGAAGGGAGATCGTCGAATGTAGTGACTTATACTTCAATCCAGTCAAATATTTTTTTGCTATAAATAGTGGCAGTATGTAGAGTTCAAAGTCCATCAGTTGTTTATTTACATTAACTTGTACACTCACACTGTCAGCGAGCTGACTCAGCTCCACTCCACCACTTGTCATTGGAGACACTGCTCACTACACACTCCATACTATGTTTTCCAGCATGGTGTATATTCATATTGCATACTTGTTATAATATTTTAATTAATTATTAGCATCTAGTAAGGTCAAGTTTTCATAAATGATATTTCATTTAAATCATTTGCAGTGTATTCGCCTGGTCCCTGGTTGTCCTTCTGTTTGGATTTGAATGTTTACACCGGATATTTGTGGTTAAAGAACTTTATTTATTTCTCATAAAGAACAATGTTCACTTGAATGAGATGTATTACATAGTTCAATTCAAACAACAATTCAGTAGAGTAGCAAGGAACCATACAACTCAAGAGCGGTTAATCCAAGTGCTCCCTACAATAACCCAATAGTTTTCTTCTAAATATCGCAAATGTTTTTTCATCAAAAACTTCGTCAGGCAAGCCATTATATAGTTTTGCACCCTCAAACTGTATAGTTTTAATTCCATATTTGGTCCTGGTCTTGGGTAATTCAAGTTTGTGTTTATGTCTCGTGTTATGTTTATATGTTTTAGTTTTAAATGTTATTTATATGTTTTAGTTTTAAATGATATTTATTTTACTATGAAGCCAACATAATGTACAATGATCTTACAAAGTACACTACAATTAAAGGCTAACTCAGCATGCATTCACAAAAAAAAAAATATATATGTATATAACAAAGCAACGTAATAAATAATATAGAATACAGTAGAACTCTTATAGAATAAAGTAGAACTCCTTTGTAAGAGGTATATGGACTATTCCGCAGATATATTATTTACAATAAGTGTATTACATTAAAAGTTTAAAGTTATTTTTTATTTTCGTTTTATAAGATTTTGAATTATCGCTATATATATCATTACCCACTTTTTATAAATATTATTATAACTTCTAAAAGCCCTATTTGAAGGTGCCTTTATTCCTAAATTTTTTCTTGCAAACCGACATTTGAAAGTTGATGTATTTGTATGCCTCGCGTTAGGTCTCGGTACTACTATATAAATTCTTTTAGTAATTGAGGACAGTCAATTTTACCTGATATTATTTTGTGTAAAAAGCATAAGTCCAGCATATCTCTACGATTTTTAAGCGTTATCATATTGTAATGTTTTAATAAAGCATCATAATTATTAAGCATAATCGTGTTTCTATTTTTGAATTTTACAAATTTTATAATTTTTTTTTAATTCTCTCTATCCTGTCTATATGAACTTGATAAAAGGGACTCCATGCTAAAGAACAATATTCTAATTTACTTCTTATAAACGAGTTAAATAATGTTATTATAGAATGTGATCTTTTAAAGGCTTTTGTACTTCTTTTTATGAATCCTAATATTTTAAATGTTTTACTGGCCAATTCGCCTACATGTGGAATAAAGGTCATTTTAGAGTCAACAGTTACACCTAAATCTTTTATTTGGTTAAATTCTATTTAAAATAGATTCTTTTATCTTGTAGTCATAAATAGTTTTTCGGCTGAACATTAAGATGTACCATTTGGTTTGATTTAAAATCATATGATTTTTGCTACACCACTTTGCAAATCTGTCTAAGTCTAACTGTAGCAGTTCCAACTCCTGTAAACTATTTATATTCCAATAAATTTTCAACTAACTATATATGTATAGATATATCTAACTGTAATACATAACATGTAACATAATGTTTCTCTCTCGTAACACATTTCCTGCATCTTTGCCTGATTTTTGAAACTCAATGTGACAAATGGTGGGCTTTGTGTAATTCCAAAACAGTTGTCCTCTCGACTTATAGTGAGGAGTGTTTAAACAATGACTTGTAATGTTTCACATCACATCATCAAAAGGATTGTCTCATGAACTCAACTTCTGATAGACAAATAACTTATGTTTTTTCAAGATCCATTGTAATAAGTTATGGAAATAGACTTATATTCTTGCTTTTGCTCCACCTTGTGATGTTTGTTAATAGGTGCCTGTGATAACTTAATTATTATTGTGTACTAAATGAATAACATTCACCTTTTGCTTTTCACCTCAACAATATTAATACTTGTTATAATATTATTTGTTACAATCATAGTGTCCCTAACACACTTCTGCAAATTATTTGCTTTGTATAAAACTGTCCAACTGTTTGGCTAAATGTGTGTACATATATAGAGAGAACCATTAAGTGAATGGTTTTTCTTGAAAATTTTCTTATATAACTTAATGTTGGTGGATTTAGTCTGACGAGCCTCACATGAGACACTTCTCGTGCAGTGTGGTCTTTTGTTAAATATATAGATTATAAATTTGTCCATCACTAAACAATACGAGAAAATTATACAGAGTAGTAGAGTGAGAAGTGTTTGAATCATTTTATACAAACACCACACAAGTCGCATGTATGATACTAGACTGGTAATAACATTAAAATTATGTACTGTCTTCACTATCTGGGTGTAGTCTGACTTTGGACATAAATATTTTGTCTTTATCTTTAGAACCTCTACGTGTTTTTGACATTCACCGTTCCTACTCACCATCCACTTGAGTCTAGTTGAATCAGTTATTTACCAAAGGGAATAAGTCATCTTTTTTCGGATATATTAATTTTGATGCAGTTCGATTCATTTTAGGTAGATCTTGAATTTTAATCAAGAAAAGAAATAAGTTAGTTCATTTGCCGATTAAATGTAGGGACTACTTTTTTCGTTCATTTATAAAAAGGAAAAGTCAATGACTTATTCCTTTTTGTTACTTTATTGGCAAAACGAAAAAGTGCGAGGGCACTCATTTCTGCCAAATGATTGGTCGTTTGGTACTGTGAAAAAGTTTTAAAACAAAGAGATAGGTATTATTTGGCCTATGGAGGTGTGTGCATTCACGGTATCTATGGTTGACACAAATGACATTCTAGACTTTAAAAATTAATGGGCCAAATTTTATAAAAGAGATGCTAGTCAACCAAGAAGTATTCCACGGTCTGACCAGCAACATTTTTGGGTTTCTAACTTAATCGAGTTTGACTACTTCTCAAACATGAAAGGCCTGGTGGTTACCAGGCCTTTTATGGGGAATGTACTGCGAACTAACACATTTGATTTAAGAAAGAATTAAACTCATACAATTACACTTCCAAAACAAAATGCTTATGATGGGCCTGTGCGCCTAAAAATTAATAAAATAGAAGATCTCAAGCGTACCACGCAATACATTCCAGCTGAACATAAAGCCTATTATGAAAATATAATAGAAAATTGGCCTAAATGTTAATAAAAACTTATTTTTCAACACTTATTTGTTTATTTTTTCCCTCAAAATTTCGTTTAGGTACCAAAAGGAATAAGTCAAACATTTTTATATAAGCATAATTATTTACAATACAGATATACAGAAAAAGTCTCTTCATTAGTATATTCATATAGGTTCAAAAACTGTCTAGATAAAAAAATAATATACTTACCTAAGGTTTTTTTTATATAAACATATATTTGTCCTTCCTGTAAAATAAGCTATGCCTGACTTAGTACCTTTAATAAATAACCGATTCTGTTATTTGATGGTTCAATATATTTGGTGTTTGTCGTCCCAGCGAGGAGTGGGTGGCGGCCATCCGCTACGTATCGTCGACCCTGGCGGCGGGCTCGGCGGCCGGGGAGGGGGCGTCCGGGGCTCTCGGCGGAGTGCTCCCTCCACACGACACTGACGACGATGACATCGCCAAGCTCGGCACCAGCTTCAGGGATCCGAGACGCATCGTGAGTCAGATTACGGACACGGAAAATACACACACACACACACACACACACACACACACACACACACACACACGTACACACACACACACACACGCACACACACACACACACACACACACACACACACACACACACACACACACACACACACACACACACACACCCACACGTACACACACACACGTACACACACACACACACCCACACGTACACACACACACGCCCACACTCACACGCACACACACACACGCAGCATCTTTTATTTTATTACGGTCATAATATGTTTGCCTATGTTTAATTTCTTATATTATATAATGTCTTTAGGCCTTTACCCGTAAAGAGGTTCCGATTGATGGAAAGCAAGTTAATCTGTAATATATATTTAAAAGACAATGTTTTAAAAAAAATGTATATTGGAAATAAAAGGGCTATATATATTATTATTATATAATGTCTTATATTTTTTTCTATTGTTACATATTGCAAGTCAATTAATTTACAAGCATAACGAATATGTTGGGCGGTGAGGAGTAATGAAGGAAATGTATGTAAATGTTGTAGACGTTGGAGAAGTTCGAGTTCGTGAAGGTCCTGGGGAAAGGGACCTTCGGGAAGGTGGTCCTCAGCAGAGAAAAGGGAACCGGCAAGCTGTACGCCATGAAGATACTCAAGAAACACATCATCATACAGAAGGACGAGGTCGCGCACACCATCACCGAGAACCACGTGCTCAAGAAGACCAAACATCCCTTCCTTACGGTAATATAGAGCACCCCCTTGCACCCAGCACCCCTCACACTCGACCCACTAACTAACCCAGCATCCTCCGCGTGGTCCAGGCGCTGCGCTACTCGTTCCAGACGGCAGACCGCGTGTGTTTCGTGATGGAGTACGCCAACGGCGGGGAGCTGTTCTTCCACCTGTCGCGAGTGAGGTCCTTCAGCGAGGAACGCACGCGCTTCTACGGCGCAGAGATCGTGGCGGCGCTGGGCTACCTGCACGCCGAGGGCATCATCTACAGGGACCTCAAGCTGGAGAACCTGCTGCTCGACAAGGACGGGCACATCAAGATCGCTGACTTCGGGCTGTGCAAGGTGGACATCACGTACGGGCGCACCACCAAGACGTTCTGCGGCACGCCCGAGTACCTGGCGCCCGAGGTGCTGGAGGACACGGACTACGGGCCGGCCGTAGACTGGTGGGGCACGGGCGTGGTGCTGTACGAGATGGTGTGCGGCCGCCTGCCCTTCTACAACCGGGACCACGAGGTGCTGTTCGAGCTCATCCTGCAGGAGGAGGTGCGCTTCCCGCGCGCGCTGTCCGCCGCCTGCCGCTCGCTGCTGGCCGGCCTGCTGTGCAAGGAGCCCGCCGGCCGCCTGGGCGCCGGGCCCGACGACGCCAAGGAGATCATGCAGCACCCCTTCTTCACGTCCGTCAACTGGAGCGACCTCGTGGCCAAGAAGATCCCGCCGCCCTTCAAGCCGCAGGTGGACTCGGACACCGACACGCGCTACTTCGACTCGGAGTTCACGGGCGAGTCCGTGGAGCTCACGCCGCCTGACAATGACTCGGGCCTCGCGCGCATCCAGGAGGAGCACTTCCCGCAGTTCTCCTACCAGGTGAGTCCGTCCCGCCGAACACACCCGAACACTCCCGAACACACCCGAACACACCCGAACACTCCCGAACACACCCGAACACTCCCGAACACACCTGAACACACCTGAACCCACCTGAACACACCCGAACACTCCCGACCACTCTGACTGCTCCTCCGCTGTTGCAGGACATCTGCTCGTCGGCGCACTCGGCCCTCTCTCACCTGTCGCACCACTCCGCCGCGCCCGACCGCCGCCACTAGCCGACACCGACCGTCACTCGCCGCCGGCCGACGCGCCTCCTCACGCCGCATTTATCGTGAGCGCCACGACGTGTTCATTTTCGCCCTACATCTTTAGTTTGAATGCGATCACTGCGATGTTTCTGAGAGACGACTGCGGATGGGTTTCGATATAAATACACGTGTACATGCTATAGATTGTAAATAGACGTCCGGAGACACGCGACCGGCCCTCGGCCGCGACACGGCACGAGACACACACACACACACACACACACACACACACAGTGGACACACACACACACACACACACGAGACACTATCACGTTGACCATAAACACACTGTAGTTTCAATCCTGGTAAAGGCTTCAATAAACCGGTGGCGTGGTGTGTGCTGTGTATATGAGTCACACCTCCTCCTCCACCAGCCGTGCTCCATCCTCGTGAGGACTGCCCCCCCTCCACTCCCCCCACTCCGTGTCGTGTCGCGGTCGCGTCGTCGTATCGTTCTCGTCCCGGATCGCTCCACGAATATATTTCCTTTTGTATATATTAAAGTTAGGATTTGAACCGCGTGTTTTATTTCAACCTCCTCCCCCCCCCCCCCTCCCATTCGTCCGACTTAACACCAACTCCACGTTTGTTCCTATAGCCCAGTCATATTATGTGAAAAAAGGGGTCAACCTCGGAATGAAAGATAATAAGCTGTAAATTGGGTTTTTGAAAAAAAAAAGTATTGATTTTTTTTATGTATTTTAAAACTTTATTATTAATTATATTGATTTTTAATGCAAAAAACTTGAAAAAAAATTTTTTTAATTAATTATAAGCAATTAAAAATTGATAAAATTCAGAAAAAATCACGTGACTGTAAACGGGCCATGATTGGTCACCATACTTGTGACGTCATAATGTTAAAGCAATTTCATAATAGTACAGTGTTTATGGGTCATCTCAAATTTATTAGTGAAAAACGATTTGAAAAGTTTATTTCCACTAACTATGTGTGATAAAGGATTTATATAAGCAAAATCGGATAATATTCCTGATGTTGATATATTTATGATAACTAATTTTTAAAAAAATGACGTTCGGTTTAATTCTGCTGAAGTTCGAGGTGCTAAGGCATCAAGGTAAGTCTGTTAAAAAATACTTTCTAAATGAAAATCGTCTCTATTAAATATAAATAATTTTTCATTAAATCATTATTAATAAAAGTAACATTATAAAAAGCCAAAATAACATATACTTTAAAAATTTAAATGTAGTCTGATACAGAACCTAGAATGTTATAAAATTATGAAAATATCTATTAATTGAATTCCAATTATTAGACAAACATACATATAGATTTACTATTTAATCGCTTGAATTATCAATTAAAAAATTTTTAATGCTACGATTCTAAAGGTTATGATTTGGAGCCCAGGTAAAAAAATTAATTACTGTCATTTATACACTTAGATAAATAATAATGAATAACAATATTATTATGAATAGTTACAACGAAATGATCTTCACAGCAAAAAAAATTGATTTTGTTTTTGAATAATCTCGGTGCACTGCTTGAAACCATTTCTCGCTTTTGTCATGTGCATTTAAAAAAATATTTTCAGGAGTTTGTTTTTGTATTTCCATAATGGTACAAAACAAGAGCGATAACTTTTGAGTTTTGACATTTTTGATTATTTAACAATGCCAACAGAATTTACTAGATAAAAACTCAAAACACTGTACTAATTATTATATCTCTGTATGCTACAATGAGCAAAAACTAACATTGTGACGTCACACGCGCTCGGGTTTATTCGCGAGCTGTCGGCGGATTTTCGGTACTGAATTTAAAATTTAATTTTTATTTTGAAATAACTTTTTAAGTATTGCAAAAAAAATAAAATAAAAATAGTTTTGTTATAACACTTATATATGATCTTTCCATTTATCACAAAAAAAAAAAACAATTCAAAAACCCAATTGGTATAAACCTTTGTTTTGTCGTTCTAAATGTTGTCTCAAAAGTCACAAATGATATCGTGTCCGCGTCTTAAGATATTGAAGGCCAAAGGTCATTAAAATTGGTTTTTCGCGAATATCTCGCTTTCTATTGCTTAAATTTTTATCCATAAAGAAAGTTGTAGAGTATAACATTCTCTACAATTTTTGTCTTATTTTTTTTTTCATACAATCAACCGTTTTTGAGGTAGAGTGCGCAGCGCACAGTCATATATGGTTAGGGTTATTACGGTTATCAGTACGTTGTATAAAGTTAATTCTTTATTAATATATTATAATTATTAAACAATGCCCATTATGTATGTATTAATTATTAATTGTTTAAATTTTATTAAAATAAGTACATACATAACTTAATTATTTATTTTCAACTATTTAACTGTAGTATATTATTAATTCTGGATATATTCCAGTTAAGTATATATTTAAGTTATATTTTAAGTTAAAACGACAATATTTTATTTATTAAGATCCACCAGCGATAATTATATAAATACAATATTGGGTAAAAAGAAATACAGTGTAGCTTAAATGCATTATCTTTTAAGTCAGATACAGCATGCAAATATTAGGAAGTATATATCATTTATTATATTATACTAAAAACGTATTAACTTATTAAAAAAAGGCAAAAATTGTAGATAATGTTATACTTTACAACTTTCGTTATGGATAAAAATATCATTTAAGCAATAGAAAGTGAGATATTCGCGAAAAACCAATTTTTATGACCTTTGACCGTCAATATATTAAGACACGGACACGATATCATTTGTGACTTTTGAGACAACATTTAGAACGACAAAACTAAGGTTTATAGTAAATTTACAGCTTATTATCTTTTATTCCGAGGTGAAATCCCTAAAATGACTGGGCTACTTGTAGAACTTTTTAGGTTTTTCAAAAGGTGCAACAAACACATTTAAATTGGATTTCAATTTTGATTGAGCAATGTTCTGATTACTGTCTATAAAGTTTTTAAACATCTTTCTAAATAGTAGGACAATATATGTATATAGGACTGGACATATATACACTGCTCTTCATAATTTTGTTTCATTGAAAATATATTGATGAAAAACAGAAACACATGAACAAGTATTACGAGAGAACCGAGGAGCATCACCTGCACGTTTTTTTAGATTCAATCTTTTAATGCATGTTCGTGAGATACCTGTACAAACAACGGAGAAATATTAATCTATATGGATGAGTGAGATGAGTGAGACCTTGTTTACAAGAAATAATGTATCGTCACTAGGCTTCCTATCTTTACTTTAGAGGGTCAGAAAAAGCGATTTATTACAATATATAGGCCAGTGCAGAAGCCTTTAAAATTAATGAAAAGTGAAAATAAATTATAGTAGAATAAAACTAATTAGAAAAGGAGGATAATATTATAAAAATTAAAGGAAAAATAATTTACGGGCGATCTGAGGTCGGGAAGGGTATGGGGGTGGGTATTTAAGGATAAAAAATGTGTTTTCTCGATTTCCGACAAAACTAAAAGTCCTACAGAAAAAAGTTATATGGTAAAGTTGTAGGTAATAAGAAGATCTAAAACTTTTGCTCTAACATTTTTTTCACATAACCTCAAAATTTATGTGAAAAATTCAAAAAACCTAAGTACTTTTTTGTTTTTTATCTCTTACAAAAAACTATATTTTGTCACGAAAGGTGAAAAGTTACCTTTTGAAGTTACAAATATACTGTAATTTATTTGATAAGAAATATTTAATTTTCAGCTTATTTTGAATAAATATCAAAAAATCAGCCTCATTTTTATTCGAAAAATCACCCGCCAAAATAACAGCGTTTTTTAAAAATTTGGTGTGTTTTCTGATCGTTGAAATTTCTATTTTCCGATTGTGAGGAAAAAATATAAGTTTCTTACTTGCAATACCATTTTTGGATAAAATAATCATGTCCCTTTTAATGAAATGACACTTGATATCGTTTGAAAAATGGTCTTTCAATTTATTTTTCATAGTTTAAGCAGCTTAATGTCAATTTTCTGTAAATTATCTAAAAGAGGGACTATCTGGATAACTTCCACAGTACACAACTATTGATTATTTATTTCATTAATATCTGTTTCTAATCAATGAAGGTAAATAAGTAATAATTTACCATATCTCAAGTTTAGTCTGTGTTCCTCATAGGAAGTGACTGGAGTCTTTTGAGGACAAATGTTTGACGATGAGAATTAAAACAGAAAAAAATGCACAAAAAAAAACATATTCGTACCTATAGTAAAGGTAGTACCTAACATAAATTGGTGCATATTGTGACATAGGATAGCTTTAAAATAAAACAAAACTTGTGTTTGTATCGATAATATATTTCTCATTAAAAAGATAGGAGCAGCGTCTTAGCGTGGGGCTCTGTGTCCGCCTCTAGTCTATAACAGTATTAGCGACAGACCGTTGGTGCGCTTGTTCTCCGCCCGGCGCCGCGAGCCCTCGCACATCCCTCTCCCTCCTCACACATCCCTCTCCCTCCTCACACATCCCTCTCCCTCCTCTGACATTCCTCGGCTCGAGGCGCCGGAGCGTCGATTCGTAGATAATTCATAAAATTTAAAAACATCAACAACAAATAAACTAATGAACAATCGGCGCTTCGGACGGTAGTGCGGAGCTCGTCCTGATCTTTCTGCAAGTGTGATGACTCTACGCAGTCGTGAGTGGAAGGTCTGGCGACGGATGATTCTTATCACAAATATGTATTTATAAATAAACTCAGTAGATACTAGTATAGGTCATCTTCGATCGCCGCCAGTGTCTAGCAGTCGGTGTACGATTTTTTCAGCAAAAAATTAAGCACACTGATCGCAACATACTACACAGGAGTCCAACGAATTCCGGTCAAATATTATTTTTATAAACTTATATAATATAAGCTGGATTATCGGACATAGAACATAGTCGACACTAGCGGCTCTCCCAAACGACCCGAGTACCTACTGCTCACGAGCCGTCGCCAGCTCACAAACTTCATCTTTAATAATGATGCTGCGCCGGTTCACAAAGATATGTTTACGAATGAGTCTCTCTAGATTACAATAAATATTAACTATGAAATAAACATTTTATATAATAACAAGATGACAACCGACACATGAAAATCAGATGAACGTATTGTAAATGTGATCCATTCTACGTGATAACTTAATTTATAATAATTCTTTTAGTATTTTAATAATTAACTTTAATATCAAAGCGTTCTCACAAAAATACGGACAGATCCGAGGTCTGCTTTATATTCGTTATGTCAAGAGACAGTCGTCGGCAGCGGCCACGGACGAGGAACGTTCGACAACAAATAACACTGAATAGATTCACTTGAGATACAACAGAATGAATGAACAGTTATAATGTGTTGGCTAAAAGAATAATAAGAACCTTACTTCACTCCGGGACGACGTCTCTTACATAACATACATATTGGTAATCGTAAGAAAATATTTGGTCGTTTGTGTGATCATGTTTACAAGATAGTGAAATAAATCGTGAAAGAGTATTGCTTACAAAATTTTAAAATATAAGAGTGTATAGTATAATTTATTTATATATTTTTACAAACCCCTAAATATAAACTATGTATACTTCAACATATTGCTATAACAGCGGGCGAGGTCGGCTCACTAGTGTGTGAGCGTCGCGTGTACGGTGTATGTATGTAGTATGTACACAGACGGGGTGACGATGGGACCCTGGGGTACCTAGCGGGCAGCGTGAGGTGGCCGAGCCTCGTGGAGGGGCGCGGCACAGACTCGAATGGTCAAAATAATATAGTAACAATATATTCCTAGTGCGAGAAAGCACCTTTCAAGGTTACCGTTTTACAACCGTAATAATGTTTTATATAACGATCGAAGTAAATATTTAGTTATTTACAACACACATGTAGGACCGTCATGGAGACGACGACCTCATATCATCGTGTAAGTAACTAGTAGCCGACGCGTACAGCCTGTTGCGAACTAACTAATTTTGCTCAAGCGTAGGTTATCGAAGACCGAAAACGGAGTCTCTGTGGACGATTCACTCGCGACCGTGGTCCTCGCGCTCCGCCGCTCCAGTCGGCGTGTGTCTCCTCCTCAGGGTGGGGACGGCTGCGGCTGGCGCGGAGGCGGCTGGAGGTGTGGTGTGAGTGTGAGCGTGTGGTGGCGGCGGGCGACTCGCTAGGAGGGCGCGCCCCCCGCCGCCGCGCGCTACACGAACTCTCTCCTCCTGGCGGCCGCGGCGCTCGCTCCCGCCGGCAGTGAGGCCCCGCCGGCGCCGCTCGTGCCGGCCGGGCTCTCCGGGGACTCTCCCGGCGGGGTCGGCACCTGCGGGGCGGCGCCTTTGCTCCGCGCCTGAAATCAAATCATTTAAACTTCAATGATCGCACTAGTTCGGAACTAACAGAGCTCAACTCTCTTAATTGATCGATAGATCCTCAGAAGTGTAATAAATATAGTGTGTATGGTATATTATAGAATTAAGTCTAGTGCAAAGTCTCCTTTATAAGACATCTCATGCATAAATCCAAATATGGTGGACCACCCATTGACTCAAGCTTTCATTATGCTATGTTAAAATCTTCTAATATTACATACTTTTTAAATGTGACTTAAAGCTACAAAGACGTTTCTTTTCAAAAACAGTAATTAACCACATTAGTGCCAGTAGTTTCCGTTTTCTGCTCAGTTTTCATTATAATATAACAATATTATTTTAAAATTACAATTAGGACATGAATATGGAACTGAAATAGAAAAGCTATTCACAGATTTGACAATATCTCAAGCAGACGAAGACTCTTCACATTATTTTATTTTAATTTAGTATAGTACTTTAGAATACTATAAAACCATTGAACGAAAAGTTAGCAATTAAACAGTTTTCAGAAGGTCTAAAAAACAATAAACTTAGTACCATAAACCATAATAGCAGCTAGGAACTACAACTCTCTTAAAGATGCGATCCAAGCGGCGAAGGACGAGGAGGTTTCCTTGTCCTCTACCTCAACAAATACTGATGTCATGCATCTGAGGAATACCTCAAGTCGAGGTAAAAGAGGATTTCAAGGTAGGTATAAAAATAATAATTATTACATAGGTATTACAACCAGAGAGGATCCAGCCAACAACGCGATAATTATAATCATAAATAGTCTCCACGCGGTAAGTATACTACAAATGTACAGCGTTTTCAATATTCAAATCGAGGAAAATTTTGTAGGGGTCTTAATCGCGGTCACACTCGTATTGCGTTCCCGATAAATATGTATAATGATAGATAAAATATAAATAAAGACAAAATAGAACAGGAAACAAATCAGTTTTTCGGATTTAAAGATTACATTTTTACATTGAATAATAAGCATAAAATAGTAATTTTTTAATTAAATAAAATAAACATAAATATTATTTTTTTTATTAGATACTGGTGCTTCTTATTACCGAAAAATACTAGAATTTATGAAAGTAATATTGAAGTTAATGGAATAGGAGGTTGGATGAAATCTCATGGTCACGTATATTTATCACTTAAAACTAAACATGGTGAATCATTTAATCATAAATTTTATATTTTTAGGAATTGATCATTAAAAGTAGATGGTATTATTGGATTAGATTTTTTATCTAATTTTGGTTGCGATATACCTATTGTTGAATTCTAATGCTTTGAGTCTTAACTCAAATGGAAAACAATGCCTAATGCCAATTTATGAAACACCAAATTATACTTCGGATTATTTATTAATCCCGGCGCGAAGGGAGTCGATTCACTATGTAGCTGTAGTATCAGTGATTTTTGAAAACTGCTTAGTATCGTAGAGATATGTATAATAAGAGATAAAAGTATGTAATGAAAATTTTATAAAAAATTTAAGAGATGAGATAAAGTCGACTGCAAATTGGTCCGGACCATGCATTCATATATTAAAGAATGTAACTAGGATTGAGAATGATGAAGAAAAATCATTCATATTAAATGATTTCCATGATCCATCTACTACCCACAAGTGGCCATGCTAGTGTACGTAGAATGAGCAATATAAGAGACGATTTTATTGGCCAAATCTCGAAACTGATGTAAGAGATTTCATTAGAAAATGTTCTAAATGCCAAAAATCTAAACATTGTAAATACATAAGAGAGCCTATGGTGATAACAACAACTGCGTCACATGCATTCGAAAAGATATATATGGATATAGTAGGCCCTCTTCATAAAGATTATGAGGAAAACATCTATATATTAAACATTCAGTGTGAGTTAAGTAAGTTTATAAATGATTATCCACTTAAGAATAGAATAGAAGAGAATAGAAATAGAAGCCGGATTCCATTAGTGTCGCTAGCGCGTTAGTTGATAATTTTATTTTAAGATTCGACATCCCTAAAATAATAGCAACTGACCGAGGAACTGAGTTTACTTCTGCCACCATGAAACAGGTATGTAAATTATTAAACATAGATAATATTACATCAACAGCATACCATCATGAGTCAACAGGTTCGTTTGAGAATGCTCATAAAAATTTAAGCGCATTTTTACGAATCTATTGTGATAAAAACAAGCAATCTTAGTCTTATTGGTTACCATACTGGAGTTTTAGTTTTGATACTACTGTCCATACTGAAACAAAATACCAACCGGTTGAACTTGTATTTGGAAGACAATGTAATATCCCTAATCGATTATGTAATACAGTAGAACCTATGTATGTATGATCCAGAAAGTTATGTTAGTGAACTTAAATATAGGTTGCAAGTTGCTTATAAAGGTGCCCGAATTAATTTGTTACATAGCAAATATAATAGAAAAATTAAATATGATGAAATATCTTAATCCTGTTGTTTACAATAAAGACGATTTAATTTTAGTAAAATCATAAACAAGTGGAAAATTAGATGAACTGTTCAATGTACCATTTACTGTATTAGAAGATATGGGATTAAATGTTAAAATAATTAAAGATAAATAGGCATAGTACATAAGAATAGAACAAGACTTTTTGTTAAGTAGTATACAAAAAAAATATACGTGTAAGCCCATTTTTTTTTCTTTCACCCCCGGAGGTGAAATGTAATAAATATAGTGTGTATGGTATATTATAGAATTAAGTCTAGTGTAAAGTCTCCTTTATAAAACGTCTCATGTATACATCCAAATTTGGTGGACCACGCATTGGCTTAAACTTTCGTTATGCTATGTTAAAATCTTCTAAGATTATTGATATGACTTAAAGCTACAAAGACGTTTCTTTTCAAACCCAGTAATTAACCACACCAGACTCAGTTTCCGTACGTGTGTACAAGTCGCGTGGTCCCGTGCGTTACCTTAGTGCGTCTCTTCCTGGCCAGCGCGGCGGGGTCCGCTCGCTCGCTCCTCTCGAGCCGCTCCCCGCGGTCCGCTCGCTCGTTCTTGTCGTGGTCGGGCGTCACGTCGGCGGGGTCCGCTCCCAGTCGCGCCGCCAACATCGTCAGCAGCTCTTCGACTCGGCCCAACTGTGTCCGGAGCAGGGTACGCGTTAAGTTCACAAGGAAATAATAGCCCAGTCATATTAGGTGAAAAAAGGGGTCAACCTCGGAATGAAAGATAAGCTGTAAATTGGAATAAACCTTAATTTTGTCGTTCTTAATGTCGTCTCAAAAGTCACAAATGATATCGTGTCCGTGTTTTAAGATATTGAAGGTCAAAGGTCATAAAAATTGGTTTTTCGCGAATATCTCGCTTTCTATTGCTTAAATGATATTTTTACCCATAACAAAAGTTGTAGAGTATAAAATTCTCTACTATTTTTGTTCTATTTACAATTTTATTATTAATTAGCTTCTATTTACAATTTTATTATAATTAAAACCAATAAAAATTATTTTAATATTTCATGATAAATAAAGAAAAGCGGAAAATATATTACCTTATTGTCGTTTCAACTTAAAATATAACTAAAATATATATTCCAGAATTAATAATATACTACAGTTAAATAGTTGAAAATAAATAATTAAGTTATGTATGTACTTATTTGAATAAAATTTAAACAATTAATAATAATTAGTACATACATAATGGGCATTGTTTAATAATTTAAACAATTAATAAATAATTGACTTTATACAACGTACTGATAACCGTAATAACCGTAACCGTATATGACTGTGCGCTGCGCACTCTACCTCAAGAACTGTTGATTGTATGAAAAAAAAAATAAAACAAAAATTGTAGAGAATGTTATACTCTACAACTTTCTTTATGGATAAAAATTTAAGCAATAGAAAGCGAGATATTCGGGAAAAACCAATTTTTATGACCTTTGGCCTTCAATATATTAAGACACGGAAACGATATTATTTGTGACTTTTGAGACAACATTTAGAACGACAAAACAAAGGTTTATACCAATTTACTGCTTATTATCTTTCATTCCGAGGTGAAACTCCTAAAATGACTGGGCTATAAGTAGATTAGATGTGAACGGTTTGATGGCGAACCTTTTGCTGGAGACGTTGTACTTCGGTGCGAACGTCCCTTCTTAGTTCAGCTAGCGCCGCCTCGTGTGCGGACACGGCGGGGAGAGGGGCGGCGGGTGAGGGCGCGGGGGCGGGTGTGGACACGGACACACAGGCGCCAGCGGGCACGGGCGAGGTCGCGGGCGCGGTCGCTTGAGCGGGCGCGGGCGGGCCTGTGGTCGCCGTACTACTAGTGCCGGGCGAGGAGGCTTTCTTCTCGTCCGCCTCCTCGTCGATGGGTTCCCTCCTGGCGGCCGCTCCCAGCACGCTGCCGGCTCGACCGCGTCCGAACATATTCTATAACGATATTTCTTATAAGTTATCATCTTAAAGTCTAAGATCTTATTTAATAACATAAGATTTTATAAATTATTATTTGCATACTTATAGACCATTATCGATAGCTTTTAAAACATAATTAAATTATAGTAGAATGAAACGCATTAGAAAAGGAGGATAATATTATAAAAATTAAAGGAAAAATAATTTATGGGCGATCTGAGATCGGGAAGGGTATGGGGGTGGGTTTTTCTCGATTTCCTACAAAACTAAAAGTTACGGAAAAAAGTTATATGGCAAAGTTGTAGGAAATAAAAAGATCTAAAACTTTTGTACTAAAATTTTTTCCACATAACCTAAAATTTTATGTGATAAATTCGAAAAACCATGTTTTTGGTTTTTTATTTTTATCTCTTCCAAAAAACAATTTTTTGTCACGAAATTAGGTGAAAACTTTCCTTTTGATGTTCCAAATGCACTGTAATTTATTTGATAAGAAATATTTATTTATTCAGCTTATTTTGAGTAAATACCGAAAAATCAGCCTCATTTTCAATCGAACAATCATCCGTCAAAATAATAGCTTTTTCAAAAATTTAGTGTGTTTTCTATTCGTTGAAATCTCTATTTTCTGATAAGTTTTAGCAGCTTAATTTAAATTTTCTGTAAATTTCCTAAAAGAAGGACTATCTGTAGAACATCCAGAGGTCATAACTATTAAAATAAATTAGAAGGAGCATTTTCAAAACGATGTTGGGTGTCATTTCATTAAAAGGAACATGATTATTTTATCCAAAAATGGTACTGCAAGTAAGAAACTTATATTTTTTTCTTCATCATTGGAAAAAAGACATTTCAACGAATAGAAAAGATACCAAATTTTTTAAAAAAGCTGATACTTTGACGGATGATTTTTCGATTGAAAATGAGGCTGATCTTTCGGTATTTACTCAAAATAAGATGAAAAAATTAATGTTTCTAATCAAATAAATTACAGTGCATTTGGAACATCAAAAGGAAAGTTTTCACCTAATTTCGTGACAAAAAATTGTTTTTTGGAAGAGATAAAAATAAAAAACCAAAAACATGGTTTTTCGAATTTATCACATAAAATTTGAGGTTATGTGAAAAGAATGTTAGTACAAAATCAGTGGTGGCTCAGTGGTTAAAGGGCCCGCCTCTCGACCTCTCGTTGTCAAGGGCGCGGGTTCGATCCTGGCCCGGGCAAGTACCAATGTGATTTTTCCCAATCATATTATGTACTTTCTAAGAGTATTTAGACATCACTGATTAATGATGAATCCCAAAAAGAGGGTTGATGTCAGGCAGGCGGCCGGTCGTAAAAACAAATAGCCAAAAACTATTGACAACATGTAAGGCAGACCCTGGCTATAGCTGGGAAATTGCCAGGTAGAAGGAATGTTAGGACAAAAGTCTTAGATCTTTTTATTACCTACAACTTTGCCATATAACTTTTTTCCGTAGGACTTTTAGTTTTGTAGGAAATCGAGAAAACCCATTTTTTATCCTTAAATGCCCACCCCAATACCCTTCCCGACCTCAGATCGCCCGTAAATTATTTTATCTTTAATTTTTATAATATTATCCTCCTTTTCTAATGAGTTTCACTGTAGTATAATTTATTTTCACTTTTCATTATTTTTAATGGCATCTGCACTGGCCTATTAATTCAATTCACATCTCAAAAGAAAAATATGTATATCCAAATATAAACAATGAAGCAGCCGTCTCTGTAAGTCGAATGTCCAAGTTTAAAAAAATATTTTCGATTTATGTGATCTGGGGCCTCGATTTCTACTTGTATGTATTAATTTTATTCGATTCACATTTTGTTAAGACGGCTGGAGTTATTCCGGACAAAGTTTCTACAAACAAATCTTAAGTTTATTAAAAAAACGTTAAGCATTTCTTGTCTTCAAAATAAACAATTTTTTTTTTATATTTCTGGTGAATAAGTAAAGAAGTAAATATTAAAACTTTCTAGTATAACAAGTGTCCGTCCACCTTGATAGTCATGGTGGTCGCGGTGGTGGTGTCCCCGGCCCCGGTGGTGGCCGGTCTGTCTCTCGCGCTCAGTGACCTGGTGAAGGCGGCCCGCGGAGCCTCCCCCGCGTCCAGGGACCCGCTGGCCACCAGTCGTCCCCACTTCCCTCTGGCGGTGACGGCGGCCGCTCCGGCTGCCTGCTTCCCGTCCTCGGCGCTCGCGGTGGCCGCACCCGTAGCGTTGCTCACACCTGCGGGAGAGTGCGTGTGAGTGGCTCGCAGCGGACGGTCTATGAAGGGCGCGTCCTCACCGTCTCCTCGCTCCGGGTCGCTCGCGGCCGGCACGAGAGCGGCGAGGGAGGCGCGCGGGGCGGGGGCGGGGGTCGCCGCCACGCTTCGTTCTCGTCGAAAGCGAGAGAAGATCTTCCTCACGAGGTGGTCCTGTGCTTGCTCCAGCTGCGGCTCCCGTTTCCGCCTCTCCATCAGCTCCCGCTCGCGGCGCACGTCCGCCACCTGTCGAACAGTGTGTCGGCTAGAAGTATCTTTCGCGTGAAGCCTCGGTGCGATCGTTATTTTCGACTTACTTTACGAAAAATGAGTCGATGTCGAAGGTTATATGTTAGAGTGAGATTTCTCGCGAAGCTGTTCGCGAACGCCTGGTAGAAGTCGAGCACCTCGAGCAGGCGATCTCGTTTGATGGTGTGGAGGTCGCAGTAGGTCAGCGCGCGCACGTTGGCGGCGGACTGGCCCACGGCGCTGTCCTTCCAGAACGAATCACCGAACACGTCTCCCTTACCTGCCTCACAAATTACGTGATCAATACTCTTTAGCTCAACCCAGCCTAGGATACTGTTGGTCGATTAGAATATTCTAATATGTTGAAGCGTCGTATTTTTAAAGTACCAGTATCAACTGTTAACTCATCCTTTGCACGACGTTTCAATCTTTTTATTTACCACTTTGTATATAATAAAGTAACTAGCTTATGTGACATAAAACGTTGCACTTTAAATGAAGCTAAAAGGTTCTCCGTAATTTGCTTTCATTGTCTTATGAAAATACAGAAAAAATTCTTATCGTACAAACGTGATCTCAGATTCATGATAATTATATTTATATCTTGTATATTTACCTTATTATATATGTGTATGTATATGTGTGTCTGTATATGTACATATTCAGGGTGACTGGTGAATTACTATCGATATTTGAGGACGTGATATTTAACGATCATATATGACAAAATAAAAATTAATATAACATAAATATTAATAAACTTCTAAGTAAAGTTAACCAAAAGTTATGTAATTAATTACGCAACCTATGAACACCCTACAGATTAGGTATACACACACACTCACACAGACGCGGCGGCGGCGTAGTGTTGTATCAGCACGCCGCCGCACGCGTCCACACTTGGAACACTTGGAACGTGTCCACACTTTATTTATTTATACGGAAATTTGGTCAAAAATTAAGTACCTATTTTTTTTACATAATTCGAATGAGAATCATGTACCGAGTATTCTCCTTAAATATTGATAGTAATTCACCAGTCACCCTGTATATATGTGTGTTTATGTATGTGTATATGTGTGTATGTATATATATATAAACACACACACATATATATATATATATATATACTAGTTTTTGCCCGCGCCTTTGTCCGCGTTAATTTCGTCATTAGTAATATATGTATAGCTGACCGGGCGAACTCTATTCTGTCTTAGAGGGCATAAATAATCAGGTTTTTCCTGTTTCAATCGAACAGAATGATTGACATATTAGTTAGTTGTCAAATCTAATGTCAAAAAAAAACGTTTGTATGGGAAATAGAAAAGGGCTGCTTTATGGTTTTTCCAGTAATGAATCAATTTTTTTCAGCTTTTATACCTTCCCTGAACCTCCACGAATATTTCAAGACTATGATAAGATAAATCCGTTCAGCTGTTCTCGAGTTTTAGCGAGACTAAGGAACAGCAATCCATTTATATACAGGGTGACTGGTGAATTACTATCAATATTTAAGGAGCATACTCGGTACATGATTCTCATTCGAATTATGTAAAAAAAATAGGTACTTAATTTTTGACCAAATTTCCGTATAAATAAATAAAGTGTGTACACGTTCCAAGTGTTCCAAGTGTGGACGCGTGCGGCGGCGTGCTGATACAACACTACGCCGCCGCCGCGTCTGAGTGAGTGTGTGTGTATACCTAATCTGTAGGGTGTTCATACGATGCGTAATTAATTACATAACTTTTGGTTAACTTTACTTAGAAGTTTATTAATATTTATGTTATATTAATTTTTATTTTGTCATATATGATCGTCAAATTTCACGTCCTTAAATATCGATAGTAATTCACCAGTCACCCTGTATATATACTAGTAAACCTGGCGAACTCCGTTTCGCCACCAGAAAGCTTTTATGTAACATTTCGTTTGGTGATTAAAAATAAAGAATTTCTTTTGTTTTAAATTTGAAAAGGAAAATTTTTATTTCATTTCACGATAGTAATGAATTCATTTCTATAACAAAAATGAAGTGTTATTTAATTGAACTCTAAGTAAATGAAAGTGAATCCAAAGTAGATACCGAATCGAAGCGTTATACGTGTCCGCAAATTATCCGTTTCATTGAAGTGGTCCTATGTAAACCACATTTTTTGTTTTTTGGTCTAACTTTAACATAAATAAAGCGGATGGTTTCCAACTCGTGAACGTGAAAATATAACGCCCTATCTAATTGTCATCATTACGTCATTACATATCTGTCATTATACGTCAATTGCATAGCTGTCAATTGTGTTTCGTTATTCCACGTTTTATAGTGACTGACGTTTCATGTCAAGTCCCACGGGAATGCTGTCGAACGGGATAAAAAGTATATTATTGCAATTTCCTGGCTCTAAACTACCTCCCTGCCCATTTTCAGCTAAATCGGTTCAGCCGTTCTTGAGTTATAAGTGAAGTCACTAACACGACTTTCTTTTATATATATAGATATAGAAGATATATATATGTATATGCGTGTGTGTGTGTATATATATATATAATATATACTATAGCAAAAAATATATATATATATATATATATATATATATATATATATATATATATATATATATATATATATATATATATATATATATATTGCTATAGTAATATTAATTACTATATATTTATGTTATCCCATTTTATTTACTTGTCTTTTTATCATTTTCCTTATATATTTAGATTTAATACTTTTGAGCTTGTTATAGTTAATCGTAAATAAGGCATCCAAGACACAAGCTTGCTTAGTGTGGACGCCCCTGGAAATCGCGCCAAAAGTTTAAAGTTTATACATTTATGTGACATTAGAATATATAAGCATAATTATAAATATTATAAGTTATTAATATAATAAGTTTAAGGAAATAAGCTGTTGTAATATCATATAGTGAATTAGTGAGATTCCAATACTGTGCTAATATTTGTTTGATTTGTTTATTCAATAGGTACTTGTAATAACAATATATAGTTATATGTATGTCCTCTAACAAAGGTATACATATATTTTTGTAAAACAACAACACCAATGAAATTCATTCTTCGATGGTATTGAAGCAATAAATGTATAAAATGTGTAAAATAAATAAATAAATAGATTAGTTCTGACTGACCGAGTATGGCCACGACCTCGTCGTCCTGGATGACCTCGAGGCTGCCGGTCACGATGAAGCACAGCGAGTCGATGGACTCGCCCGTGTGGTAGAGCAGGTCGCCGGGCGCCGAGTGCGACATGTGGAAGTGCATCGCCAGCGCCCGGAGACAGCCGTCGGACGCGAGGCGGAAGGCGGGGTGCTCGTTGAAAACCTTTCTGTTTAAATGGACGCAGATATCGGCCTTCATGTCCTTCGGGCAGTAATTCAGCACCTGCGTTCAATGTACGGCATGACGTTATGACTTATGATTTGGGAAACTTAGACAGCATGAAGAGCAATCGTCTCAGAAACTTATAGAAATGAATGCATCTATTGTTTAAAGGCCCGGGTACTAAACGGTTGTACTGCTAAAAGGTTGTACTGACTCATTAATTTGTTGTATTTCATTTTATTGGATATTGCAATTTTTTATTTTATTTATTAATGATATTAAATTACAAAATTATAAATATTTTAAATTTATTTTTTATAATACACTATTAATTATTATTTTAATGTTACTGTTGATGATTTTTATTAGTAGATAATATAATTTTATCTGCATGTTACGTGTCTATTTTTCTTTGAAATGTGTGTAACACCTACAATTAAGACAACATTTTGATTTTATGATTACTTGTTCAATATTGTATTTTTCGCTTTTATGAATGTATGTTTTGTTGGTGTTAATATTGTCGGTCGTGTGCTAGTGTGTATGTCAGAGCGGCCACCTTGTCCGTGTCGAGGCCCTTGGTCATGGCCCACGTGGACACCACGTAGTCCATGACGCGCTCGCTCAGCGCCTTGGGCACCTCGTGCAGCTTCATGAACTCGCGCACGTTGTTCAACATGTCGTGGTACTTGGCCGTGGCTGACGTCATCTGCTGGATGATGGTGGTCACGTGGCCGAATATCGTGGCGTAGAGGAGAGCTGTCGGTCACACGACTAGGACATTAGTGATAGACCCAACCTACCTGTTTAGATATTAATATCAAACATAGAGAAGCAACAAGTCATTAGTTATGTGCGAGTATCTATATATATATATGTAACTCATTCTATTTCCAATAATTGTTGGTGCTTGAAATTAATTCGTTAAATGCGAGCTAGAAATACATATTTTTCGCTTTATCATAACATCATGTGCCCTTAAAGAAATAAATTACAAACCGGGATTAACACTTACTCCATGTCTACATGTTTGGATGGTAATTAATTATATTATCTACGCTCTCGAATAATAGTTTTAAACATAAAACACTTACCTCCACGAGGTCAAACAAATATTATTTGGAGAAGAAGAGACGAGGACACGCACTCTATATTAATGACAGTTACATTAGTTATGGTCTCATGTACGCATTTACTCGCGCGACTCGCCAATCTTTTTCCTCTGCCCTCTTCCGTTAGTAAAAAATCGATGAGAGAGGCAGACGAGAGCGTGACGCGCGAAATGACGCTTCGTGGGCCTGCACGCAGGGTGAGGGGGGGGAGCACGGGTAGGGGTGGACGTTATACTTGGGATTGAAATGTAAATTAATATACAAGAAACGAACACGTGAACAAACCACTCACAGTGTGAAACGAACATCAAAAGAGATTCAACTTAACTCAAAGAAAATAATAAAATTAATTCAGTAAAGTAACGAAAAGTGTAAACAGGAAGGAAAAACGCGGCTCCAGTCGCAGCTGTGGCGAGCTGCGCGGGAGTCGCGCTCGTGCTCCGGCTAATAACAGAAGAACACCGTCACCTGCCACGATCATCATGCAGATGGTGAAGATCTTCTCGTTATCGGTCTCGGCGGCCACGTTGCCGAAGCCCACGGAGGTCATGCAGGTCATCGTGAAGTAGAGCGCGGTCACGTACATTGTCTTCCGAGACGGCCCGTTCACGAGCTCCGGGCCGTCCGACTCGTTGGACCACACGTAAGAGTACGGACTCTGCGTCACGTTGGCCAGCTTCCACAGCCACGAGTACTGGAGGCCGGAGTCGGCGTCGGAGCGCCCGATGCTGTACCACACGCAGGCGAGCCAGTGCGCCACCAGCATGTAGAAGCACAGCAGCAGGATGAGCATGGCGGCGCCGTACTCCAGGTAGCGGTCCAGCTTGCGGACCACGCGGCCCAGCCGTAGCAGACGAACTACCTTTAGGGCACTAAAGAGGCTGCCTATGCCCTGAACAGGTAGTATGGTCAATATACATTTTACCATAAAGATACTACAATTACATTTAAATTGACGAAAGGTTAAGAAAATAAAATATGAAAATAACTTACATCTTCGTCGTGGTCGAAAGCGTTAAAAACGTCGTAAGGCAAGCAGGAAAGGAGATCGATCAGAAACCATGACTTGAAATAGTTTTTTCGAATCACCTTCGGGTCACTGACCACCTCGCCCCCCGGGCCCACGAACGTGGTGTGAAAGTTTAACACGATATCGATAAAGAACACTACGTCCACTATGGAGTCGATGACGAGCAGGGACACGTCCTCGCTGGTCTTGTTCTTGAAGGCGACGTTGTAGGGCACCATGATGGCCGTGTAGAAGGTGAGGCAGAGGATGATCCAGTCCCAGATGGCCTTGAAGGCGCAGTAGTGCAGCAGGATGTGGGGCGGCGTCTTGGGAGCCTCCTGGCGGTACTGGGGCAGCACGTCGCCCGACAGAGACATCACCTGCCACCAAACACACTGCGCTAAATCTCACGCGAGACTCTTCTGCCGCTACCAGTACTTACTACGTCTTGCAATGTATAAAACGAATGCATTATTATTATGAATGTAGCTAAAGAACTTCACCTGTGCATCATTTCATTTTAATAAAGACAACCGTGAAAATACAAATCAGTTCAAAGGGATGTGCTTTGTTTGTATCGTACAGGTACATAGCTCAAATACAGATCTCACTTTAGCTGTTTGACTGTTACGGTTCTGAAGAAAGTTAGCAAAGTAATTTCAAATTTATTTTCTAAATTCCACTAATATGAGGACTTCGGTAGAGCAGTCTGGTCGTAGAGATTTCAATTGAACGAAAACTTAATTGAATGGATTGCTAAGATTTTGTCAAACCTCCTAATAATACGAGCAATGGTTCATCTGGTACGTAATGAGCAACTGAAAAATATAATATAGGTATATAACAAGGTCGATAAAAATCTACGAAAAATAAAAAATATATACATATATTGTAATAGGTTTTTGAAATACGAGAATAATTGTAATAAATGTTTTTTTAATAATGGCAATAAATATAATTTGTTGTCTTTTCTCCATATTCAGTGGTTTTCTTTAAATAGTTTACATAAAATGATAGTACGTTGTTTATCTTTCTCCAGTCTGAGGTTCTAACAACATATACCTCCGAGTATAATGATACATTGAACACCCGAGTACATGTCGTCAGTAGCGATCACGTGTAGGCGAACCTTTTTTTTCGATCCAACTTATATTTTTTTAAAAACACCTAGTATTAAAGTAACAGATTGAAATTACACTTGACAAAAAAACATGTTAAATTTTGTTGTAAAGGTTTCTACAATTGTAAAAAATACATTTATTTAAAGTGACGTAAAATTGGAAGTTCTGTTTTAGGTTTTAAACTAAATGTTATAAGAATGGAGATTTCGAAACACAACAGGAATGTGGAAATCTTTTAAGAAAAACTTATTTTTCAATTTATTCTATTGAGATTTTATGTGTTCACATTTACTTTATTATTAAAAAGAAATATTTATATATATAAAACAAAAATATATAAAAATATTTAACGAGATCTAAGATTTTCGCGAGTACCTACTCATTTAAATGAAACTAGTATTTTCGGATTTTACTTCGCGTATTTACATATTTTTGATTATAAACTAATAAACAACCGTGATCATGGTTGTTGAAAAGTAACCGAAACGTCGGGAGTATGTAGTTTATAATCAAAAATAAATACGCGAAGTAAAATCCGAAAATATTAGTTTCATTTATATAAAAATATTTATTTATAAAGTTACGACACTAGGTACCACAATTTTATAAAACTTTTTTAGTAACCTGTTTCAACTAAGTACTGAGGAATGTAATACCTCAGCCATCGCTCCCATTTTTAAGAAGTTCATCTCTAATTAAAGCTACATATTTTTTACATTTTTTTTATGTATGTAACGGATATTTCATGAAATAAAACTTTTCAAATCATCAATAACGTCCAGAGTACTCCACAGCGATAGGTGCCTCAACGATGGACGGGAGTAGGGTGAAGGGTGTAAGGTGGGTCGTCTAACACTACATATGTTCTATATATAATATTATAATAGCGTGCGTGTTTACATGGTGCGGTGTGTGAGTGGTACTGACATGCGCGAGCTGGCTCTGCCGGGCCGGCTCCTTGAGGGCGGGCAGCGCGGACACCAGCACGGACCGGGAGCGCGTCACGCTGCGGGCCAGCTTCGCGAACTTGGACAGACCTGTCCGGACGAGCGAAACAACGGTCGGACTCAACACACAACGATACCAGGACCACACATACGATACCACGCGGCCACTTGCCTCCCTTGGGGTCGTCGGCGTCGATGGGCTGCTTGAGGGCGGTGATGTCTCTGAAGGTGAGCAGGAACAGCACCACCAGCTCGCGCTCGTTCTTGATGGGCGCCACGTGCACCAGCAGCCACAGCGGCGTGCCTGGCCGCGGATAACGTGATATAGTGATAGTGACCGGGCTCTCTACACCCTCTGACCGTACATTAAATAGACCTATTCGGTCACGAATAATCCGAGGTTCATGTTATTTGTAATTTTAGGTTGAAAAGTCTAACTTTCCCTTTCATTATGCTCTGTAATAAAACGAAATGTTTTGGAGAAAAACAAATTTAATTATGAGTTGGCAATTTAGTCCCTCGCGGCCCCGCGCGTCGCGCTGTTCAATTCGTTGGAGCTCGTTAATGTTCCGACTGCGGAAGTTGAGAACGCTGTTTTGTATTTCCCCATATCATAATTGAGAGTTTACATATTGCACTCAACTGAAGCTGTAGGAAAGGGAATTTGACTTTTAAACTACATACAGTAGTAATAAAATTTAACTTAAAGACATTATCAATTTTTTATTCAGCTATCAATATATGTTTAATACAAACTTCTTATAAAAGAAAACAACATATTGTAGGTAAATAGTAGGGAACGGTGAATTTGTTGTTTTAACATTTCAATTCAAGATGTAAAGTGATAAACCACGGTCTGTGGAGATCAAATAATTCTAACTAATAGGCCAGTGCAGAAGCCTTTAAAATTAATGAAAAGTGAAAATAAATTATAGTTTTAGCAGCTTAATGTCAATTTTCTGTAAATTACCTAAAAGAGGGCCTATCTGGAGAACTTCCAGAGTACACAACTATTAAAAATTAATTAGAAAAAGCATTTTCAAAACGATGTCGAGTCACACTTTATTAACAGACACATCATTATTTTATCCAAAAATGGTACAGGAAGGAAGAAACTTATATTTTTTTCTTCTCCATCGAAAAATAGAGATTTCAACAAATAGAAAACATACCAAATTTTTGAAAATAGCTGATATTTTGACGGGTGATTTTTCGATTGAAAAAGAGGCTGATTTTTTGATATTTATTCAAAATAAGCTGAAAAAATAGGTATTTCTAATCAAATAAATTACAGTGCATTTGGAACATCAAAATTAAAGTTTTCACCAAATTTCGTGACAAAATATTGGTTTTTGTAAGAGATAAAAATTAAAAACCAAAAACTTGGTTTTTCGAATTTTTCACATAAAATTTGAGGTTATGTGAAAAAATGTAAGTACAAAAGTTTTAGATCTTTTTATTACCTATGACATTGTCATGTAACTTTTTTCAGTAGGACTTTTAGTTTTATCGGAAATCGAGAAAACCCATTTATTATCCTTAAATACCCATCCCCATACCCTTCCCAACCTCGGATCGCCCGTAAATTATTTTCCTTTCATTTTTATAATATTATCCTCCTTTTCTAATGATTTTCATTCTACTATAATTTAATGATGTTTTAAAAGCTATCGGCACTGATCTATAACCGTCATTGATTCATATATATATCCGGTACTCACGGTTCTTCTTGTAGAGGAGTATCTCAAACTGATCCGCGAGGTGGTGGTCCAGCGAGCGGTCCACTCTCTCCACGGCCTCTTTTTCCGTCAGTTCTCCGTACATCCACGTACATCTTGAACCACACATTACAGTTATCTGTACTAACATCAAGTCCACATAACCTAACTAACTACTCCTCCCATTATTACTTTATAAAAAGTTATTTTTTCATGACTTAGTAAGTAATTAGAAAGTTTAAAAATATTTTTTGTCCATAAAGCACACAGACACTCATTAGTTATGTTACATTACCGGCACGACTTCTGCATGACCTCCGCCCTGTTGTACCCGCTCATCTTGCAGAAGGTCTCGTTGCAGTACACGATGGGGTAGTCCACGATCTGAGCGTTGGCCAGAAGAAAGCTGCTGTCTGCTGTTCGACATATGGTATGACATTAATGGATGTTAAACGGAACCTCGCTTATAGGACTCACTTATAATCTTTATTTATATAGTGTGTGGTTGTGTGTGTGTGTGTGTGTGTGTGTGTGGATACAGACGCTGTGAGGAGGATCGTCGTATGATATTCTCGAGGAAGGTGTTCTGTGGGGCGACGAGGCCCCGGCGGCCGCCCGGCATGCCGCGAGCTGCTGCACACGGAGCGTCACCGGAGTCGAGCCTCCTCACACACACTGGAACATAACACACACGTACATCCTACATACACGACCAAATTAAATAATCCCCACCTAGACAATCATGAATAAACATTGTGGTATCTTTTTAATAGAAAAGTTTATTAAAATTTTTCATTAAAGTAGAGTTTACTCCGATACAACTTAGCAATGCAACCGAATGTGAAACGCAACGACGTCAGAATATCTATTTAGTCAATTTAGGACTTTTACCCAAAAAAGCATGAAATGATGTTCCTAATGAGCAACCCATCAATAATAAGCAATAATAAATAAGAATCCCAGTTCTGTTTATTTTCCATTTCCAAAACCGTCCCAAAAATAGTGTGGGTTATGTAAAAAAGGTCATATTATTATTATTCATGTAAAACATATTATTATGAATACATGTCGATGTAGTCAGAGCATTCGAAATAGTCCTAAAGACTTGAAGATAATCTGCTTGACAAGTAAATGTAATATGAGTGTCAGCTGAAGACCTACGAGTGATCGTCTCACCGCGGAGATTGACTTACTATCTCCATTGAAATAAAACAACTGTTTTAAACAGATCGCTAGTTACATGGGATATTTAGAATAAAACTATCTCCTTCTATATATTACGATGCTATGCCTTACAGAGCTGTGAGGAGTGGAAAACTGTTATCTCTTTAAGATGTTAGGAAGCCATTTGAACTGTCACCCTCTACTGTTGTGTAAATAACTATAAGGGTTTTTTATTTTATTTTTTAGTTTACATACTAAGGAACCTTTATTTGTATACACAAATAAATGATATTTTCCATTTCCGAGAATCAAAACTGTCAGAGAATTCTAATATTTTCAAACATTGCATTCGATTGCCATATTATGTATGTATATAAAAATGGAAGTAAAGGGAAATTAATTAAATTCTATGTTTATAACTAAGTCATCTTTCATAAAGGTCAATAGTTCAATTTGGGGTCACAGAGGTAAGTAAACACGTTACGATTGCCTTCAGTATTCAGAGCCAAATCGAAAATTAAAAAAAAATATGTTTTTATCGTAGAACTTCCGCGAGGATGAAGCCCGATCGATACTATTTACATGCGTCGTACCGCAGCGACCACCACCGACCACCACTCACCACCACCGACCACCACTCACCACCTCCGACCACCTCCGTTCACCACCAGACTCATCAACAGGACCACATCGAGCCCCGTACTCCTTTCAGACACATTAAACAAAGAGAGGCGAGGGGCGGCGAGTGACGTTCTTCACCAGTTCTCCACGAGTCGAGTTATATAAGCAACACTTCACCCAAACTAATCATTTATTATTCCAACTCACATCATCGTACTCTCACTGCGCGTCAAGCAGCACCCTGCACCAGTTGCTGCGGACCCTCGCGGGAGTGCAGGCTCACAGCGCGGCGGCTGGTGACGTGTTCCGTGAGCTCGCCGACCTCCCGAGTGTGTTCGCGGGCCTGTGATGACGGCGGGGCATGCTGTGCGGCGCCGCGCGGGCTCCGGCACTCGCTCCGCTACTCGCTGGCTCCGACGTTGCGACGCACCCCTTCACCCTTCACCTCTCACCCTGCACCCTGCGACTCTCGGTCACGGACCGCGCATGCGTCTAATAAGTCCGCGCACAAACGGTAGAGTACGTCTCGTCGTTTCGTTTGTGGCTAGCCTTACATTTTCTACTGCGCTTCCCTTCTGCGCCGCTGGTTTCCTTACGGCACTACAGCGTCATGTTTTCTTCCGCCAGTATTGACTCGTTATGGTTAATGTGTTTGAATTTCGCTCGCCGTTCTTCTAGATCATACTATCGGAAGAAAATTATATTCTATTTTCATGTTACCTCTTATAGTTTGAACCCGTTTCCGGTAATAATAACATGTATAGTCTTGTCTCGATTGAAGACGTCAATCGAAGATTCATTCATTTGAATGGTCTTTCAGGGTGTTGATTTCCCAAGGAACCGTAAGCTCCATTAAAGACGCGCTTTGAAATTCGATAATACATAAATATCTGGAGGCCGACAGACGAAAACCCTCTGATATATTATATTGCTTAAAAAAAATATTAAAAAAATGTTTATTTCTGTAACTTATACCTAGATACAACAGATACAGCTAGGGAGCTCCTTTTAAGTAATAGAATTAACTTGGGTTAGGAGTCCCCGCTCCTCCACAAACGGAATCAAGTACATCAAGGAAATAACCATGAAAAGGTAACATTACTATACAAATTGAGAAACGTTTAAATAGGTAACATATAACTTCAATGTAGTTTTATTCATATAACGCGCATATATGTTTGTGTGTGTGTGATAGTTGTACTGTTTTAAATAATTAGATCTAAGTTTTGTTTTTGATTTGATTTTGTTGTTTCTCACACGTTTCCATTATTACAGTTCAATCCTTAGTCGTTTTAAGGATAGAGTGAAGCACCACGTTTGGTTTAATAGCCCTAGTGCTTTCCGTCACAATTAACCTATTGATAGCTTATTTCTTTTTGCGCTCTGGCAACCGGAAGACCAAGTACATCAAGGAGCAAGTACCTTCACGTATGATTTCTAACAATGAAACCCTATAGTCACGAGGCGAATATTGACTCGTGGGAGTACCCTACACAGCGAGATATAAGACTTTCGCGAGTATACATTTAAACGAAACTAATATTTTTTCGGATTACATGTATTATTTAAAAAAAGTTGTTGCAAAGTAACCGAAATGTTAGGAGTATGTACTTTTTTATTATTAAATAATAAAACACGAGTAATCCGCAAAATATGAATACCCTACAGTATACGAGCAAATGCTAAGCAGTTCCAACAGCCTTCCCATTTTCAGTATTGTTTTTTTTTCAGTGTTCTATTCAGTAATTAAAACGATATTGCCAAAGTTAATATAACGAATAAATAACGATTAATATCATAAAAACAGTAAAAATAACACTTTCTAGGAAGCACAAGAGTATTGAATATAACTATAATATTGATAACAAGCCCATCCAAGAAGTTAAATCAGTGCGTGACCTTGGAATCCAATTAGATTCTAAATTATTGATGGCAGAGCATATAGAATTCATACTGATAAGGCTTATAAGCAATTAGGCTATATAAAACGAATATGTCAAACTTTTAATAGTATTGAATGCATAAAAAATTTATATTTTACTAATGTACGATGTATTTAAGAATACGGTTGTAGTATATGGTCTCCCAATTATATAATTTACAAAGAAAAACTGGAAAGAATACAAAATTTAGCAATTATATTGATATATATAAAGAATATCATATTGAAATATTAGAATATGAGACATTATGATATATATACATATCATACATGCAATAATTATACCGGAGATATAGATTGCACCGATTTATTGAGCGCTTTGTATTTAAGAGTTCCTAATCGCCGCACACGTCATACAGCACTATTCCACACGCCTGAGCTAAACACTAACTATGCACACAACTCTGTCCTTAATCGCATGGTCCACACATATAAATCAAAATACTCAGAATTTGATCTGTTCAAGCATGTCAAAACTAGCTTTTAAAAAAGCTATAATCAAAAAGGATAAAAATTCATAATAAACACACACATGCAAACACTCACCTATTGTATTCCCACCCGTAAAGTTTTACCTTTACACTACTTTTATACTATAAGTTTTACTTTTATGCTACCGTTTTCTAGTTATTAATATGTTTAAGTTTCCTGAGTAATCCTATTTTGTTTTTAATTGTATGTTATATAATAGCTAATATAGAAACTTATGTATAAAAACTGTTATTATTATTTATTTGGTAACTGGATTACCAAATAAATAAAAAAGTTACTGTTATGATGTTGGAGAACATAAGCGAGAGTTGTGTCTGAAAACGAACATACACTACCCGACTTGTATGGTTTTTTTTTTGTTAATTTATTAAGATTAAGTAAGTATTTAATGAAGAAAAAAAACTTTTCATAAACTTTTTCCGCGATGTTTTTTATCGCCTATTTCACGTTTCATCGTCATCGTTGGCGTCTAGTGTAGTCTTAGGTTTTTGTTTGAACATTTAAAATGAACAAAACGGAATGTAAATATTTTATTACACTCACGGCCACACGGCCAGCCTCACAATCTCCACGGTGGAGCGAGGTTGTCATCATCACTAGCTGCTCTCAGGAGAGGGGTGAATGAAACATCATCGAAATACAAAACAGTTTAATTGTTGAGTGAGAGGCTGCTGCGGGGTCAGCTCCGAGGTAAATGCATGTTTATATTACAGTATGGACACTCGTCACTTGAAGATCTTCCCCTGGTTGAAAGGCCGGCCCTGCTTGTCGCTGCCGCTCCATGAGAAGTACTGCTGCACCAGCTGCTTCGTCTCCTCGCTAGACGGGTCCAGCTTCTTCCAGTCGTACGACTCGTAGTCGATCTGGAACCATTCACAGGAAAACAATTATTACAAAACGTTAAAGATGTGTGTGTAACACGTTAACGTCGATCATGTGTATATAATGAGTAAAGTATACTTTTCACTTTTACACGATTACAATAACGACCTTCCAACGTGACACAGGAGCTCTAAGCTCTGTATATACAGTGTGTATGAAAAATTGTGTCAACCCCCTTAACTGCATTATCAGTATCGAAAATGGAACACGATCAAACAACTTACATTTACAAAACTCTTCAATAAAAATAATAAAATTAAATATTAAATGATTATTATATGTAGAGTAACAAAATGTTATACATTACACATAACACGATGACACGCAATGACGTCATCACAGCTGCTGCGCTACTAGTGACGACCTTGAAGTTACTTTCACATTATTGAAAATATCGATATTTAAAAAATCATAACAATAAATAAATATTTAATATTCATATTATTTCGATACTTATTTTGATATATCAAACATTAATATTATGTTTGATTGTAAAACACCATTTTTAACAGAAATAGATTAACGATTTATCCTAATAATACAACATAATTAATTTACCTGAAGAAGTTCCAAATTATAATATTGATTAATAATATTTATTATTAATAAAAGTTACTTTAAATGAAATTACTTTAATGTGAAAAGCATAACTATTTATAGCAATATTGAAAATGTCGATAGAATATTTTATCGATATACCTAATTTTTAAACTTGCAAATCTCTATTCGAAAAACTAACAAAATAGTAATAATAACGCCGGCGGCCCGGCACCTGCGATGTATGACCGCGCGTGCGCCGACGCGACTATACGGCGCCTTAACCGTTTATGGGTCAGAAGTTTGAAACATTTTTTCAAATAATGTCGATTTAAAACTTATTTAGCCTACGCACTGTAACTGACTTCTGCTTGATATTTTTTAAGTGATACTATTTTCAATAATAAGTTTATACTTATATGTATACATGCCTTTAAGGGTTGACACAGTTTTTAGAACACCCTGTATTTAATATGTGAGAGGTCCCACCTGCCAGTCGGGGCTGAGCGTGAAGGCGAGCTGGTCCCCGCGCCACACCCACACGCCCGAGATGGACGAGTCGTCGTCCTTACCGAACAGACACACGGACGAGAACGCCTGCTTGCGCATCTTGTCCAGGCGCTGGAACATACCTGCGACAACAACAGACAAACCACTCAAACAAATGTACTAAACATACAGACATCATCATCAGCCTATCAGAGCCCACTGCTGAGCAAAGGCCTCTTTCTGACATGGAGAAGGTTTGAGCATTAATCACCATGCTTGCTCAAGACGGGTAACGGGTTGGTGATTTCAAACTTATAATTGAAAAACTATAAGTCGAGGTTTCCTCACGATGTTTTCCTTCACGGTATGCCAGTGATGTCTAAATACTCTCAGAAAGTACATATGACTGAAAAATCACATTGGTACTTGCCAGGTTTGAACCCGCGCCCTCAGCAACGAGAGGCGGGCCCTTTAACCACTAAGCCACCATATACTAAACATACATTGACTCCTCATATTTCTGTTTAAATGACTTAATTTTCACATTAATCAAATTGTTTTGTATTTCCTTCGTATCTTTTACTACTCTACAGTTAGTAAAGATGACGATCTCTGTAAACATACTCATGTAGTTGTTTAACAACTGATAACATTAAAGAATGATGATGATATTGATAGGCCAGTGCAGAAGCCTTTAAAATTAATGAAAAGTGAAAATAAATTATAGTAGAATGAAACCCATTAGAAAAGGAGGGGAATATTATAAAAATTAAAGGAAAAATAATTTACGGGCGATCTGAGGTCGGGAAGAGTATGGGGGTGGGTATTTAAAGGTAAACAATGTGTTTTCTCGATTTCCGGCAAAACAAACTCATACGGAAAAAAGTTATATGGCAAAGTTGTAGGTAATAAAAAGATCTAAAACTAATTTAGATCTAAAATTAAAAATAAATTAGAAAGAGCATTTTCAAAACGATGTCGAGTGTCATATCATTAAAAAGGACATGATTAATTTATCCAAAAACAGTACTATAAGTAAGAGGCTTATATTTTTTTCTTCACCATTGGAAAATAGAGATTTCAACAAATAGAAAACATACCAAATTAATGAAAAAAGCTGATATTTTGACGGGTGATTTTCGATTGAAAATGAGGCTAATTTTTCAGTAGGTATTCAAAATAAGCTGAAAAAATAAATATTTCTTATCAAATAAATTACAGTGCATTTGGAACATCCAAAGGAAAGTTTTCACCAAATATCGTGACAAAAAATTGTTTTTTGGAAGAGATAAAAATAAAAGACAAATAACTAAGTTTTTGAATTTTTCACATAAATTTTGAGGTATTGTGAAAAAAATGTTAATACAAAAGTTTTAGATCTTTTTATTACAACTTTGCCATATAATTTTTTTCTGTAGGACTTTTAGTTTTGTCGGAAATCGAGAAAACCCATTAATACCCTTAAATACCCACCCCTGTACCCTTCCCGACCTCAGATCGCCCGTAAATTATTTTTCCTTTAATTTTTATATTATCCTCCTTTTCTAATGCGTTTCATTCTACTGTAATTTAATTATGTTTTAAAAGCTATTGCACTGGTCTATGAGTGATGAGTGTTATCCATACCTGTGATGAGGTTACAGCTCATGAACACTTTAGACAGCTCCTCGGGGTACTTGTATTCAGCAAACCAGATGGAGTAGTGTTGAGGGTCGAACTTCTCCCAGAAGTAAGGGATGGACACCGCCTCGTCCTCGTTGGAGTAGCAGCGCTTGAAGTCATCCATGTTGAATGTACTGGAACAACACACTGCTTCATGAATACACAACTTGGAATATGTAATATGCTACAGTTGACATCAATACATTAAACAATATACATTCTTGATTAATCTATACACTGTGTTGCTGGTGAATGTCTAACGCACTATGTACATGATATATAGAGTAAAAAAAGATTATATGAAACTAGAAGACCCGGCGAACTTCGTATCGCCGTTTAATCAAGAAATATCTGTTACGTTCTTTTATTTATATTTTTGAAGTTTACCTATTAAAGTCATAAATCTCCGTGTTTTGAAGTGAAGTGCGACAGAATGATTGACATAATAGTTAGTTGTCAAATCTAATGTAAAAAAAAGTTTGTATCAACAACTAATAATAAATTAAAAGTTAATCAAAAAACATTGTCCAGCGGGCTAAATTGTGAATCTAAGCCATTCCCAGATCCCCTTGTACACACAAAAAATTTCATTAAAATCGGTCCAGTCGTTTGAGAGAATTTCAGTGACATACACACTCACAGAAGAATTATATATATAAAGAATAAAAGGTTCATCCAAACAATAACTTGTTTAAGAAACACTATATAAATGTGTGTTAAATCTTCACCGACCCCTTGGGGAGTGAGTCGAATGGGTCCTTGGATTCCTTGGGTTTCTCATCAAACTCATCGTCAGCCGGAGGAGCAGGTTTTTCTTCTTTTTCTTTCTTCTTTGGTTGTTCTTTCTTCTCAGATTTTTTGTCTTTCTTGCCTCCGTCCTGCTGTAACAAAATGACACATATGATATTTATGTGTTACATTACACTATTTATGTATACATAACTTTTTTAAATTACATTATTTATGTATTCATAATGATATTCATGTGTTGTGTACATCAACTGAAACCTTGATCCATGAAATTATAACAGACTGAGTATAGTCTCGGCTTCTCATTAATTTTAAGTATGAGTAAATCTTGTATGCCGACTGAGGGCTTCTTTTCTTAAGAAAGTTATTAACACAAGATCATTCGAAATATTCTTACTTGAGGCTAAAATTAAGTGAATCTTTTAAATGGTAATGTGGTATGGTAATAATGACAAAATAATTTTTGATGTCTGAATTCATAAGGTCAATATTTTTTTGAAGAAAGAATTTGTATCAACGGTGTTGTGTATCACTTATTCTAGCTCAGTGTTATTTAATAATAATATGATGTCAAGTATATTGTAAGTACATAACTTTATTACATTAGTTTCTGTCGTTCAGTCTTGTGACTTAGCATAATTCACTTATTACAAATTGACTATAGTTTTATTGAATACAACTCTAAGGATAATATTTTTTATGTTTTATATTAACATACTAGAAGACCCAGCGAACTTCGTATCGCCCTATAATCAAGAAATATCTGTTACGTTTTTTATTTATTTTTTTGGAGTTTACCTATTAAAGCCATAAATCTCCGTATTTTGAAGTGCGACAGAATGATTGACATATTAGTTAGTTGTCAAATATAATTTTAAAAAAAAAGTTTGTATCAACAACTACTAATAAATTAAAAATTAATTAAAAAAAACATTGTCCAGCAGACAAAATTGTGAATCTAAATCATTCCCAGATCCCCTTGAACACACAAAAAAATGTCATCAAAATCGGTCTAGTCGTTTGAGAGAAGTTCAGTGACATACACATTCACAGAAGAATTATATATATATAAAGATGTATGAGTATAGAGCTGACTCTGTGATTTATTAATGAGTATACAGGGTGACTGGTGAATTACTATCGATACTTGAGGACGTGATATTTGACGATCATATATGACAAAATAAAAATTAATAAAACATAAATATTAATAAACTTCTAAGTAAAGTTAACCAAAAGTTATGTAATTAATTACGCATCGTGTAAACACCCTACAGATTAGGTATACACACACACGCACATCAGCACGCCGCCGCACGCGTCCACACTTGGAACACTTGGAACATGTCCACACTATTTATTTATACGGAAATTTGGTCAAAAATTAAATACCTATTTTTTTTACATAATTCGAATGAGTATCATGTACCGAGTATTCTCCTTAAATATTTATAGTCATTCACCAGTCACCCTGTATATCCTATTTAACTGTTCTATGTAATCAAAGTATGTTGTACCTTCTTGCTGAGCTCCTGGTACTTCTTGGGGTCGTACACGGGCGGAGCGGCGGCCAGAGCCACGGACCCCACCACCGAGGACACTTGCGGCTGGTGAGACATGGTCAGGAACCAGCGACACACATTCACTAGAGACGAGCGGACCGACGGGTCTAGTACATGCTGAGAACAGACATACGAGAAATGAATTGATAAAATGATGGGAGAATGTTCCAGAACAATCATCGTCAGCCTATAGGAGCCCACTGCTGAGCAAAGGCCTCTTTCTCACATGGAGAAGGTTTGAGCATCAATCACCACACTTGCTCAAGTCAGGTTAGTGATTTCAAACTTATAATTGTGAAACTATAAGTCCAGGTTTCCTCACAATGTTTTCCTTCACCATGTCAGTGGTGTCTAAATACTCTCAGAAAGTACATATGACTTCGAAAATTCACATTGATACTTGCCAGGTTTGAACCCGTGCCAGAACAATCATCAACAGAAATATTAGCATATGAACCTGGAAGGCGTGGATGAGTGTGGAGAAGACGATGATGTCAGCCAGAGTGACTCGCTCCGACACCAGGAACGTGCGAGTGAGGAGGTGCTCGTCCAACACCTTGAGGGCGGCCAGCAGGTCCGACTTTGCACGCTCCACATTCTACAAATGCATATAACATATATTATATAACTTGAAATCTTCAACAATTATAAATTCTCTGTCTGAAATGCTATTTATGTACTTATATTTGTTTGGTGGTAAAGTTAAAGTTTCAGATGTAGAGTTTAGCTTTAAACTTCTGAAGTGTAATAAATATAGTGTGTATGCTATATTATAGAATTAAGTCTAGTGTAAAGTCACCTTCATAAAACATCTCATGTATACATCCAAATATGGTGGACCGCCCATTGGCCCAAGCCTTCGTTATGTTATGTTAAAATCTTTTAATATTATTAAATACGACTTAAAGCTACAAAGACGATTCTTTTCAAACCCAGTAATTAACCACATAAGACTTCAAAAGTTAAGTATGATAACCATACCACTTTGTTGTACTGCATGATGCCCAGGTAAGGGAAGACCCAGGCGCAGGCAGCGGGCAGCAGCTCCCCGTCCGCCCAAGAGGCCCACTGGAACACGGCCGCCTGAGACGCCACGTCCGACCCGCGGAGAGCGGCGTTCGACACTACACATTAAACGAACACTTCATATAATAAAACCGTTTATTTAATACTTTATATTTACACACGTCGATGAAAGTAGTCGAACAAGCACATACAATAGTCATTTGACGGTTTAAACAATTTGAAATAAAATACAGACGAGTTGATAATCTTTTCCGGTTTTAAAGTCGGTTGAAAACTAATCTAATTCGAATAATTTTATGATATTGAATATTTACGGATATGGGCATATATAATTTATATCGAATTTAATAATTAAATCTTTAAAAACCTTTCAAGATATGTTTTAGTACATTAGGATAGAGTTGGTTAAATATAGAACGTATTACGAGGCTGAGGTTACATTTTTAAGGGTAAGTGAATGTTGTCACGGACTCACCATAGTAAGCGATGGCATTGCTCTCGGTCAGCAGAACCTTCCCATCGGCACTTTCATAGGCTGGCACCTAAAATAGTTCGCAATCATTACACGTCACCGTCAAAAACATCTGGGTGATAATAGTCGACACTTCACTACCACGCTTTTCATTTTATCACTCACTTTGCCGGCTGGGAATTTCTTGAGGAAGTCGCTTGACTTATTAGTTTCCCCGAACACGAAGTTGGGGGCTACTTTCACGTCGGCTCCGGAATACTGTGCGGCTATCAAAGCCTTATAAGCACGGAAATTTTCCGGATAAGTATAAAGTACCTACAGAAAATAAAAGTGAACCAGGTTAGTTTGTCAAATATACGATTACAGTAAGTTAGCAATGGCTGGTTAAAGCACGGATCGCTAAGATATTTCTAAATATAAGAAAACACACCCCGGCTGCCATGGTTGAGGTCTATACAGAAAGAGAGAGTTGACAGCGAGGGGGCGGGGTGCTGTAACGTGACATTGACACTCACTATAAAGGTGCTTATTCACTTATAGTGTTGGTAATTTTTGGATTTCAACTGAATGTAGTCGATTGAATTCGAAATAATCTCCAAATGTTGAAAACCGTTTCAGATAACAGCAAGCCGTCTTCACCAGGGATATTTGATGTATTAATATTTGTTAATTGAAGTTTTGTCGATTATTGTATGTCGCGATATTTTCTCCAACAAAATAGACTATCAAAGGCTGATACATAAAGCAGCAAAATGTATAATGGCGATACTAATGGCTCGAATCAGTTAACTTCGGAATATTTATATTCACGATGAGTATATTTATCTGTTACCAATTCAATACCATTCTCATTTTTCGATTACTAAGTCAAGATTTAAAGGTCTCATAAAAGCATAAGAAACTTTTCATTTTAGCAAAAAATATGTGTCTAATTAATAAATATAAGAAAATTAAAAAAAAAGAATACCAAGTAATACTTTAAACTTTACATCGTATTAATGACTCTAATTTTAACAAGAAAAAAATATATATCTAGTTTTAATAAAAAATATATTACACTATTTTAATAAGTACAGTAAGGCCCTCAGAGCCTACGGAACGTTAACTTGTCCGTTCATGTGATAAATACACGTGATAATCTTTTCTTGCCATCTTATGTTTTCAATTTAGTAAATTTATAGAGAGTAAGGAACACTTTGTTAATGGAAGTATTAACTCAACAAGGGTTGACAATTTTTCTTTAGTGCATAACAAACTTAAAGTAGGGATAGGATATTATTTACTAATTTAAAACATGTATCCAAGTGTTGATTTATATATAAAACTTTGTATTAATTTAGTAACAATAGCTTTATATGGTGTTGTTACATTATCATCAACATATTTTTTGGCAAAATCGGATCATCAGTATGACTGCTATTTATTTATTTTCTTATATCTTTTCAGGTTTCTCATGTTTTATCATCTGTATATTTTATTATTATCTGTCATCTTTATTTAGATCGATTCTCAATGGTCTGTTCTTTAGAGTCGTCGTATAACATTTTTAATTATTGATATATTTAGTATTTCTTTAGAAAGATTGTAATTAGTTTCATTATTCTGTTAGGATTACTTAAGCGAGTGTTATAAAAAAGCCTTAACCATGGTAAGAGACATCTGCTCTATGTAAATATTAAGTGTAATATTTTGTAAGGTCTTAGTTCTGCATATAATTGCTTACATATAAATCGATTATTTAAGCCAAATACTAATATTAAAATAACTACTAGCAAAACATTTGAGGGTATTTATTTAATTTAATTTATCGAACGTAATATAATATTTTCACAGTAGAATAAAAGTGAGCAATAATTTTTCAGGGCAATGAAAACTCTATCCCTATGGAACTCTGTTCAAACTGTGAGTATGCTCAACTGCTGCAATCTTTCTCTTCGCCCTTATGTCATTGTTTTACTTGCCTTCGGAAATTGTTTCATTGCATACTAATAACCATTTCCAATAAGTTTTATAAATAATATAATCTTGCTATCTTTAAATCGAATTTATTTATTTCTGTAATGGTTAGCGTAATTTTCAATATTTTCTACTCTCTGGCTCCAGTCCTCGTAATGATCGATAGCATCCCCTGTGAGAGGAAACAAGTAGAGATATTTTTTGAGTGCGGAGTAGGGTGTGCAAACGAAGCATAACAAGCGGTTTGTTTCAGCACGTGTTAACTGCATTGATTTTAAGGTGGAGAACTGTGAGTGCGTAGATCACTCGCTGAACTCATCTCGCACCTACACCCTCGCGCCCAGAACTGTTGATGTTTAAAGTATCACTAACTAGAGACGAGGAGTTGGCACACGGCTGCATTCATTAAACTCATGTGTGTCGTAGGAGGCTTGTGTTAGATTGACGGTGTTCTACATGCTTGTAACTGGGAGACTCATTAAACTTTCATTTGATAACATGTGGCTGAATGTGTATATAGATCTTAGAGACAGCTTATCAAGTATGCATCTGCATCAAGGTTTGGATGTATGTTCTGTGCGGCTGTGTGCCAACTCGTCCACACATTCAATGGTTCTGGACGTTGTAGACGGAGGTCATGGCTCATGGCTCATGGCTGGTGCATCCTCATCACAGCGCCTTTAGAGTTACCAACTCATTAGAGTATTGTGAATGTTTGTGACTTCCCATTGTACAGATATGAGGAATGTGTGTGATGGGAGATGTCAGCTATTAAATAAACCGTTCAGTCCCAGCTCCTGAAGTAATCGAAACTGCACTCAAAATTAAAGCAGCCATTGATGAAACGTTTCCTTCAAACTGTCTGTTTCAATCATTTTCTCTTTAGTTTTGGTTGATCTTTTCCTGTGACACGCTTGATGTGAGCCTGCTGGTATATTTCCGTATCTGACCTCTCTCATTGCTTTGTCTGTTAGTCGTTAGCGGGTAGGCCCTCGGGCGCACACAGTCTCTACTGCAACCCTAGGACTTGCTTGACGCACGGGAGTGAAGCGCTTTATATGTTTATCATAGAGCAGGGCTAGTTTGTTGTTTATGTCCGTCACACTACGTCACGAACATCATGACGTGGTAACTCGGACGGAACCAGTAAAGCCAATTTGAATACGCTACAAACAGATAGACCATCACGACGAAGGTCGCTGAAAGATGATAGCGATCAGATGTCGAGTACTAAGTAACAGTGTACATGATACAAAGTACCGTGCATGCTATGAATATAAGTGTTTGAGGCGGCCCTGACAGCGGTGTGTGTGTGTGTGTGCTGCAGTCGACGCGGACGAGATCCGTCGACTGGGCAAGAGGTTCCGCAAGCTGGACCTGGACAACTCGGGCGCGCTGTCCATCGACGAGTTCATGTCCCTCCCCGAGCTGCAGCAGAACCCGCTCGTGCAGCGCGTCATTGACATCTTCGATGCAGATGGAAACGGAGAGGTGCGTGCACTTATCTTTATATGAGTGAGTGTGTATGTCACTGATCTTCTCTCAAACGACTGGACCGATTTTGATGAAATTTTTTGTGTGTGTTCAAGGGGATCTGGGAATGGTTTAGATTCACTATTTTGTCCGCTGGACAATGTTTTTTTAATTAATTTTAATTTATTAGTAGTTGTTGATACAAAGGTTTTTTTTACATTAGATTTGACAACTAACTAATATGTCAATCGTTCTGTCGCCCTTCAAAACACGGAGATTTATGGCATTAATAGGTAAGCTCCACAAAATATAAATAAAAAACGTAACAGATATTACTTGATTATAGGGCGATACGAAGTTCGCCGGCTCTATAAAAATAATACATGTTATATTTCCAGCTCGTTATGTTAATGTGTATGTTTCGTTTCTCCGCCAGGTGGACTTCAAGGAGTTCATCCAGGGCGTGTCTCAGTTCAGCGTGAAGGGTGACAAGCTGTCCAAGCTGCGCTTCGCGTTCCGCATCTACGACATGGACAACGACGGGTACATCTCCAACGGGGAGCTGTTCCAGGTGACACACACACACACACACACACACGCACCCTCACCTCCTGGTGAAAGGGCGCTGTCATCACATCAGATAACAATGTGTTGGCTACTGTGTCAACAGTCCCTGTATCACGAATCTTCATGACCTTCATTTACCTCCTTATCCACTTTACTGGAGCGTTCCTATTATATGTGTGACATTGATTGCTCTGGTTCTCTGGTACTTAATCATCAGTTTCATCTGTCAAATAATAAACGTTTCTCCCTAGAGTGCACACAGAGCTAATTTATATTTTTGATCGAAAAACGCTACTTTGTGTTTCATACTTTTATTACTACCTATTACGTACTCAAGATCAGGCCCCTCTGAAGAATCTGAGAAAAAATATAGCAAGGTCAAGTCTGCCCATATATTTCTTGTTTCACCATTTCCTGTCTCGTTATGGGAAGGTTGCCCGGTTGCTTTAGATCAGCTCAAATTATAAAATGATAAAATTACTCTCAATACTAGAGAAGTGTTTAGATACAGTGTCCTCTATGGTGTGTGACATCTTTTCCAACAAATCCCAAGAACGCTATACAGTGTAAACTCTATATAACGACACTGAAGGGACCGTGCATTTTAGTGCGTTATAGAGAGTTGCCGTTAAATAGAAAGAAGAAAAATCAGAATTAGAAAAAGACAGAATGTTATTCGAACCCTATTGCGTATAGTCAGTTATTTTTGTTTGACTTCTTTGCTGCACCAGTACTGTTGTTGTATTTTTTTAGTTATTTTATTAATATCTTGCGATATTGAGGCATCTTGGTGATAAAAGAAATAATTTTCCAGTAGTAGTTGTTTCCAAAACTTCTTTAATGCTCGACGGAGGCTCAGGCTCATCTAACTCATCGTCTTCATTTCCTTGCTGTTGATCCTCAGGTTTTCTCACTGAATCTAAAATTTCTTTGTCTGTGAGTGAAGCCGTTATAAGGAGGCAGTCATCTACTTCCATGTAGGTTTCCAAAACCGTCGACACGTGTAAGCAATTTGTAATTGTAAACAAAAGAACTAATTTCTTAGAAAGTTCGGTATGCATGATAGGGACAGTCGAGTTTATTGCGGGCTAGGACAACAAAGCGACAAAGGAACGTTCACAGCTGCACAGTTTTTACTAATTTTAGCAACTTAAAAGGTACTTTTTATTACTTAATTGTTGTCGTTATTGAGAGTGGGTGTGCCGCTATGTAGAGTGTATGATTGTATGGTAGACAACCTAAACCAACCAAAGTCAAATGATATCGACGCTTTAGAGAGTTTGTCGTTAAATCGAGTGTCGTTATATAGAGTTTACACTGTACCTTCGATTTGGCACATCTATTAATGATACCCCATTTTAGAAAAAACATTAAGATGTCTTTCATAGTAGTTCTCTTCACCGCAACCATAACATTACCTTATCGAAGGTGTCTCATTAGATAGACATCTAATAAAATAACGTGCAATTCTTCTTATATAGTGCATCTTGAAATATTTCTTGGGTCAAGACCACGACCAAGTCCTTAGTGGAGTAATAGGTCCTATATTATAATACTCCTGTATAATCTGGATTTCGTTCGATTGCGTTACTTTGGAAGTTTTCTATATCTCCAAGGAGTGTTTGATAATAATATAACGGAGATCATTCTTTTTGGTCCTTTTCTGAAAGTGCCGGCCCAACAAAAAAAATGGTACATATTCTTAGAACTAACCATTTGGAGCAATAGTTAATATGGCGCAAAAGTTGTAGGATCCAAGATATAGAAGTTATACAAGTTCAATGATTCATCATTTTGGTACATTTATTTTTCTGAAAGTGCCAGGAAACGTAAAATAATGATTGATATTGCTAGAGTTAAGCTTCTCAAGCAAATCATTATAGCGAAAGACCCGTAATCTGTTCTCTTGTACATGTTAGAAACCTGTCATTTTTATTTAATACTACCTGCGCCCCTCTTAAACTTTCTCAATAATAATATTAGTAGGACTACCGAACCCGACAGATGTTGTTCTGCCCAGTATCTGAACGCATCCAACACAATTTGTTTGTTGTTGGTTTCATTATTTGTCTAAACTAATATGTATATCGGGGTGATATTTTTATATATTAAAACAACGTTATATAGCATTCTGTGTATAACTCAAAAAAATATTTAAGGAAAAAATAAGTAAAACACAAATATTATAATTGCGAAAAACTAATATTATAATTGCTTTCTCTAAGGTTAAGTCTTTCAGGTTTCTAACATCTACTAGAGAACATATTATGGTTTTCTCGCTATAATGATTTGCTTGAGAAGCTTAACTCTAGCAATATCAATCATTATTTTACGTTTCCTGGCACTTTCAGAAAAATAAATGTACCAAAATGATGAATCATTGAACTTGTATAACTTCTATATCTTGGATCCTACAACTTTTGCGCCATATTAACTATTGCTCCAAATGGTTAGTTCTAAGAATATGTACCATTTTTTTTGGTTGGCCGGCACTTTGAGAAAAGGCCCAAAAATATATGAAACCTGAATGATCTCCTTTGATCCATAAACCTGTTCCTGAGAGAGATGGCTTCGACAGTCAAGTAATCGTACACGGGCTCCGTTTTTATCAATCAGAGAAGGTGTATTGTGTTGATATGTGTATATTACCCGCCGCAGGTCCTCAAGATGATGGTCGGCAACAACCTGAAGGACACTCAGCTGCAGCAGATCGTGGACAAGACGATCCTGTTCGCGGACCGCGACGAGGACGGCAAGATCTCGTTCGAGGAGTTCTGTAGCGTGGTGGGCAACACGGACATACATAAGAAGATGGTAGTCGACGTGTAGGACCGCCCACTACCCCCGGGGTCGACGACCTCGGGCCGCGCGGGACGCCGGTCGTCCTCCTCCTCCACTCTCACTCCTCATCTCCATTCGTTCCCGATCTTCTCTCCTAGCTAGAACACTATTCAATTCGCCATTCTTCGTACGACATACGTCACTATAGGCCATACATGTTCACTTTACGTTTTAGGTATACGAAGTTAGATAAACATTCATCGTAGTCGGAAGATATGTAATTTTTATTATTTTGTTGCGATAATATTAATTTCTATTGTTATTTAGTGTTTTACGTTGGAAGTGTAGTCTGTAGGAGTCATCCACGAGTCGCCGCCGTGGAGACACGCGCTCGTCTCATGATCACCACCCCTCCCCCCTCCACCCGGACCATCCGCGTCTTCTCTACCTTCTCTTATCAGTAGTGTATCGTGTTTGTATAGTTTAGCGTTCTTCTTCGTCAAAATCTAGAACATCTCCCTCTCGAAGACATCTCCACGGCGATTCCACAATCTTTTTAACTTTGTCCGAATTTAATACAAATAAATTAAGTATAAAGATAGCTATTGTTATAATTATATAATACGAGTGTATCGATCATCGAGTCATTATTTTATTAGCTATTTATTTCCACTTCATTCTTCCCGTCCGACGACCTCGCTCGCTGAATGTAAACGGTTCATTGACCCTCACACCACCGGTCACCGAGGTCACCGCAGTCTGGACTGACCCGCCGGCGCTGGACCGTGGACCTTTATACTCAGCGGCGGTGTCGTGACCCCTCCCCTCCCCTCCCGCAGGTGTTGTGTTCGCTGCGGTGACGTCACCACCTCCCCGCTCCCCCTCCCCCGGTGCCATACGGACAGCTGTCGTCGGTCGTCGATGGTGAGGTAGTTACACCTTAAATTAATGTATGGAGTAGTCACGTAGTGAATACACCATCCGAGCATCGGTAACGTGTTCTATGAAGACGTCCCGACCCCTCTGGACCGTGGAGACCGTGATAGGTGTAAAGATTATTTTAAAAATAGAAATGGTACAAATATATGTAAAAATGTATATAATAAATGAAGTGGTAGTCTCCCGTCACCGACCGAGCCGGCTGCCGCCTGCCGGCGCACGAGAATCTTTATATCTAGTCACAGTTGTTGAGTTTGGATATTTAACATTATATGTTAGTTGACCCTCGCTTCTTAGAGACCTCGTCGACGGTCCACCTGGGAGACGTGACGTCGTGTACGGAGCACCTCGCCACCCTCCGCCCTCAACCCCTAGCTCGGGGACCAGCGAGACTTCGTAATTCGAAAATGTAATTCTAGCTATAAAATTGAAGCCTTATTTGAGGGTGCGGCGACATTAAACACTCGACACGAGTGGATTATAATTTTGTTTTAAATTTGTTCTTAATGGTGGCTTTTAACAAGCGCGAGTCGTACAATGTGTCGCGCGGGTCACGTAACGTCACCGTCGCCGCGGCCGGCGAGGGCCGTCTCGTATGACTTGTATAGAGTAGATGTTGTGTTGTCCGTCTTAACTCGGTGGCTAGAGCCCGTCTTTATAAGTCTGTTCTCTCCGGAACCGATTATGTTGAAATAAATTTTCAATTTCATTATGCATTTTATTTGTTCCCATGAAACCCTCCATAGAATGCTCGAGTGGGCTGGTTGTTAAAACAATAAACAAATATAAGAACCAGATGAACGTATCTACAAAAAAATTCAAAAAAGTTTTTTTCATAAAACGGTTCACAATATAATCCTTAATGAATTGCCAAAACGACGTAACGGTAAAGTTAATATTCATCAAATTCCAAAAAACGAAATAGCTTCAGAATAATTATCAATGGAACCAGAAAAACGTATTATGAATACCGATCTAATTATCTTCCTACTTCTTTAGAGCTATAGGAACGTATTTCTAAAAACAATATTTTTATTCTTAAAATATAGTTTGTTTGGCATTATAATACGAACCACAAGAACGTAAAAGATTACACGTTGTTTTGGTCGTTACAAAATTTTGTTTTGATGTTTAGTTTAAAGAGTCCGAGTAAGGTTTGTGTATTAAGTTTTATTGGCACAAACATTTTTGTTAGTTAAATAATACAAATCCATGGCGAAAACGATGTTTTACGATTTACGTTTTGTGGCAGTACAGTAATTAAGGGCCAGAATAACATATGTCAACCGATTTTTTAAAATATACGTATTGCGACTATGTAAACACATAAATGAATAATTTCTATTTTTTTAAAGCTCTAATAGTATGGCAATACATAGAAAAAATGTTTTGTTTTCATTTTCAGCGTGTGTGGCTTATTTACGCTAATTGTATCAATGATATCTAATTGGTTTATATAGAATATAATAAATTTATCCATGTACTTTTATATGAAAAGACGGGAATAACATCATGTAAAATTTAATAAACAAGACATTTAATATTTGTCACGCGTGGGACAAAGTTATGACATTCTTGTTACACATGCATCATATTTAATAAAACTCTCCTAGATGATAAAACTTTTTAATGCAGACTACGATATTTCTTTGCTACAATAAACTAAACTTCACATTTGAATAGAAAATAATGTTCTATTATTTACACATATTTTTACAAAAAATAAATAAAGTGTGTCACAGGTGGGACACATACAATTTACTTGGTACAAGGAGTCACTTATAAGTTTTTATTCCTTGATATGGATGCTAGTTTCATCATGGGAGTCAGTTCAGTAGCTTGGGTCTGCATCAAGGTATACATTTTAAATACTCAGCGTGACAGCTTTGCATCTCTTCAGATCCAAATCAGCATTAAACTCATTAATTAAGTTTGCCACTTAATAAAAAATAAAGAAATATTACTATACCTACTAATATTTTTAAAGTATCGTGCAATTTTAAGTATTTTGTATTGATAAACATAATAATAAAAAAAAAAAAAAACTTTAAAATTACATCAAGGTTTACTTTGCTGTAGAATCCCCCATATGTCAACCGATTTTTAAAAGTATATGTATTGCAACTGTGTAAACACATATAAATGAATAATTTCTATTTTTTTTAAAGCTCTAATAGTATGGCAATACATAGAAAAAATGTTTTGTTTTCATAGTACATAGTATTTTATCTTTATTAATAAGCTGGTAAAGTGTAAATAGCGGAATTATCACTGTATTTTTGCTTTACTGTAAAATTGAGAAAATGTATATGTCTATCTGACTTACACCGCCACATCATTGAAGGATCAAAGGTTAGCAGGTCAAAATAAATAAAGATTTCTTAAACTAAATTAATGTATTCATAATTCAAACATTATGTAGCTAATAGTATAACAGTAATTTAAACAAATCTGGTAGCGATGCTGAGCAGCTTGGTGTAGTCGGCTCCCTTGGCATGTGTTTTCTCTTTAAGTATGGTGCGGAGTATGGTGGGGATGGGTACATGTATCCTGGTGCCCAGCGGAGTTCCATTGTCATCTATTAATACTACATTGTTGCTATCAAACTTGGGTACTTTGACATTTTGTGTCTGTTTCAACCCCACCAATATGCCTTTCTTCTTTTGACCCTTAATGGCTACCATCACTCGGTCACCAATGTATCCTATACCTGCATGAAGTTAACAGAAATTAAACAATGATCATGTACTTATAGTTTATAATAAACATCTCTATTGATGTATGTGCTGTATGAACTGATAACAATATTCAAGTGTAAGTATCAACTTGACCATTGAAATGATATATATATTATATACTTGAACTGGAAAACAATATTTTTTCTACTTCCTGTAAATAGTTTTTGTTGTAACCAAATAAACATTGGTTTAATTTATATCAATAAATAAACATGTTAAGGTCTCTGAATCTATCAGTTCATTGTTACAGGTTGGAGATGTGATAAAGGTTGGATGAATTGACATGATTAATCATTTAAAACATTAATTATAACTTATGTAGCCATTGTTATCATAAAATTTTAATTCTAACACTTACGTTTTTTATTATAAACACAAATAATTTTAGGAGGTTTGCCTTCGGCCATAGCCCGCTTTCCGATTTCAGAATTATCCACCACTCTTAGTCGGGTTAGTAATTGAACTTCGTTTAAACATGGAGAGGTGTGAAATCCACATGATGGAACTGATTTAAACCTATTTAATAAGTTTCGTAGCATTTTAGATGTTTATTTTATCAAACACTTAGGTTATGTTTTTGACGTTTACGAATGACACCTAAATATACAGTTTAGTAATAGAAAGTAATTTTTTTTTTCACGATAACTATATTATTAATTTTATAAATAATATATTTTTTGTAACTAGGTATATATTGTGTGCATAAATTGGCCTAAATGTATAAAAATCTTGATTATTCACAATATTAAGAAAGATGACGTTCATAAGTTCTATTATTGAGTGATTTCAGTGTTTACCCACTGTTTCACTCAATGTTCCCCAGAATTAAAAATAGTACTGTATTAGTTTTACTTCGTTTTTCCTGCCCTGATCCCACTTTATTTTTTCTTCTCTTCCACAGAACATGTTGTAAAAAGTTTTGGCTAATTGTTTTTATAACCGGCCGCCTGCCTGACATCAACCCTCTTTTTGGGAATGCATTAATCAGTGATGTCTAAATGCTCTTAGAAAGTAAATATGACTCAGAAAAATCACATAGGGTACGTGTCCGGGCCAGGATCGAACCCGTGCCCTCGTGCATGAGAGGCGGGCCTTTTAACCACTAGGCCACCACTGACTTTTTACATAATTAATTGACAAGTAAATTAAACAATGTTTGATTGCTTATAAAAACATTAAATTGTCTTTTAAATACAATAATAATGAGCGATGGAATAATAATAAATAATAATATAAATGAAAATCATATTTTAGCTAAATATTATTAAGACAATTCATAATACTAAATTCATTTTATGTTGAACAGATTTTTTCCTATTATTGTATTTAGATATATATAAAAAAATTGTTTAGCAAAACAATTTTTTCGGAGTATCACAGTAGTAATATAAAAAATATATTATATTTAGCCCTAAGGTAATATTTCTTTTATAAAGATTCTACCTTTTCAATCAGTATTCTGGCGGTTTAAATCTGTAACCTACAAATATTTATAAACATTTATAAAACGCAGTTATGGTTAGTTACCTCCAAAATAAAAAGAAACTCAATATAATATGTACTTACTGAATACTTACTACAAGTCACGGTCGTGTCCTTGTGAATAATTTGAAAGTATTTGTTAGTTGGTAATAAGATATCTGGTTTATTTACTGAAATAAAAAAGGAAATATTTAATATACCTTAATAAATATTACTCTAACTATTCCACTGCTTACTATTTATTTAAATTATTATTACTTTCTTTGTGAATACCAGTCCATGTGACCGGGGGACCGGTAGTTTTCGTTCAAATATATTTTAATTTATTGATTCCCAATACATATATTTGTTTCAAATTCAGTTACACATATTTTTAAAAATTATTTACATTTTTTGATTACCTTTCTTTGTGTTTTATTACATTTATTTGTTAATGTTATTAATCCACGGACGACTACGTCTGAACATTAAAATACATGTATGAAAGTGCAATTCAATTTACGAGGATAGTGTTCATTAATACATCAATGTTAATATTTTATATAAATTGCTGCTTCCTTTTAATTATTTCTCAACAAATATAAATGTTCATTGTTCATTGCTTGGTGTTATAAACGCTTTGTGTTATAGACTAAGTATATAATACAATATATATATATTATAATATATATAGAGCGATGTCTATATTAGCGGCGGATCTAATTATATTAGCAAAACCATCTACAAAATTATAATATTAGATGTATGTATAAGAATGAAAGTCTTAATGGATGTCCGATACTAAGAGTGTTAACGATAGAACCAAATGCCTCATCATATAGCTACGTATTATTCCACTGAACAGATCTGCGACAGTTGTTGTTTTCCTTACGATGTTTGTATGATAGTGTTGTGATATACCTAACTCACTTTCCGGTACATTCTTGGTTTGTTCCTTATGTATGTATAAAAAAACGATTTTTTTTGTGTCTATTTTTTACAATCCTGTTTATTCAAATTTAGTAACTCTAAGGTCTTCAATATAATAATTATCATTGTATATTATTTATTATCTTTATAAACATTATTATAAAGTTGTTTTTTTTTTACATATTATCAAAAAGTTTAATCTTTAAAATGAACAATTGTTATTTGCTAATATCAATAAAACATAACAATGGTTATTTCGTATGATCTTTTTTAATAATGTGTATTGTTGTTTAAAGTTATGAAAGTAACGGATGCTTATTCTAATCCATTTTTTCCCGTGACAGACGGATCACATTTCTGTTGTTCACTCAAGTCAGTAATATGGTTGTGTCGAGGCGTCACTACTCCGTGATCTCGTTAGTCGAGCGCCAATTTACTGAGGAAGCCTGTCTTCTCCAATAATATAAAGTTTTCGTCGCCTCATTTTTTGTCGCGGAATCAAAGGCGTATTGATTACGGCCGTCGGTGGCCGCCGAGATGTATTGATTGAGAGGTCGTTAGAGACGAGCGCGGCGCGAGAGGTCTCCATTACAGCCGCGGCTCGATGATTAAAGGCGGTAACCCAATAAGGAGCGCTCGGAGCAACCGAAACAAAAGACCTGCAGCTCGGTTTACGTCATTAGGGCCCGCGGGACGAGCGACGACACCTCAAAGCTTGGGATCTTTCTGGCTCGCACAATGCTCTCATCCGTCTCATTGTCTCGCTGTCCAAACACCGGCCGGCCTCTTCCGGATACATTACACGTCGCCGGATTGTCTCCACACAATGCTGTCTTTTAACTCGCTGTCACAGAATGCCAGTGTTTTGGGTATCGAGCCATTGTGATTAGATAAGATTGAATGTCGCCCGGCGAAAGAGACGCCTTCATGCGACCCGCTCACACACACACACCTCACCTGCCTTTATACTCTACACATTTACAATACTATTAATTTAGATTTTATTATTATGAACATAATTTTTATTGCTTATATGGAAAATCCTTTTAATATATTTTTTACAATTAATCTATGACTTTTTTTTATAATCGACAGTTCTTTAAGTTTTATAAGTTGTTCTTAGTAGAGTCAGCCGTCGGCCGCGGACTGTGCGACATTAGTAACGCTAATAGCTTGATCCGTTTATATCTTTAAACGTATAAAATATATCTACTATTAAATAAATGGAATGATTACATATAAATAATTATATTCAATTACTTTGTTTAATGAACATCTTTTCTGTATTTAAAGATTAAAGTTCTGCCTTTGGATCTGATTTCTTCTTTGTCACAAACATTAAAAGTTAAAAGTTAAAGTCATTGCGAGGAATTATTGAACAATGTATATGTAGTAGTAAAATATATGTTGTGTAACATTAAGATGGAAAATATTTTAATGATAGAACCAATAAGAATACTTCTGTTTATTTTTTATTATCCTGCTTGTGTCTGTGTCGTCTCATCTGACTTCTGAGTAATCCAATCAGTTAGGTGAGGCTGGTGCGGTGTAAGTAAGGTCTTCCACTGGAATGTATTTCAGTATTTTAGTTTGTTGACTTCAAGTATCTAGTTAATTATGTTTATATTTGATCCTACGTACATTCAGAGCGAGTGTTACACGGACTCACTCACGGATTAAACTACCACACACCTATATGTTTAACAAGCTCTTTATTAATTTTTATTTAAAGTGTATATAGTATGTGTGACTGTGTGTGTGTGTGTGTGTGTTTATTTGTTTTATTTTAATATGTGACTTGGCCAGGCTCTGCACATCTTACGCTTCAGATTCTCGGCTTCCGCTCGCGTCACGTTTGACGGAAAAAATGTTGGCGCCATTTTGAAAGAGGTGGTGAATCAAATAATGGAGAAATAATTTAATCAGCGGCTCTCTGGCGAGCGTCGCTTTTAAGGAGTCGCGTTACGGCGGAGTATGGCTTGTGCGTGTGGTGAAGGGTGGCGAAAAAAGTGCTCGGATGTCGTGTGTGCAGCCGCCTTAATAGGTGGCACCCTCCCCCCACCACCCGGCCGCCAGCCCCCCAGCCTTCACACCCTCCACACCCCCAGAGACACCCTCGCGAGTCTTTGCGACCGCAAATTGAAATTAAATTGCATAATTCGCGGACGCAGCGGCGTTGTTAGGAATGACTCGTTTTTTCCTCTTAATGAAGTCCATTTAGCGGCGAGTCGTGTCGTGTTGTATCGTATCGTGTAGTAGTCGTCGTCACGACGCTGGCTCGCGGCAAGTTGTACTCCAACACTCCTTTAAACGAAATAGCTTTTAAATTGTGTTATAACGACTATTACAATCTTAACGTCGGCTCTGTAGAGTTTTATTAAGGGATCACAGACGAGCGACGAAGCAGATCATACAATAAAGTTTAGGAACTCACAACAGGCCTGGGTGGGTGGATGGATGGTTGGTTCGTTCTCTGTGTGGTACATAATTCCAAGTTGTATTTAAGTACTCCGTTGTTTTAAGAGCCTGTTACTGTAAGCAGTTAATAGTCCGCCAGAGTGCACATTACATCTAACGCTTGTGGTATTAGTTTTATGTAAAGCTATTGTTTTAATAAAGTTTTTCACATCATCAGTGAAGGTGAAATAAAACGACATCATGACTTTTGTTGCACAAACATTTAATGATGAACTAAATGTGCTCATCATAATTTCTGTTTATATCCTTTTTTGTTATTGAATACTTTAAACGCTAAATCTTTCATACTTTTGAAAACGTTTAAGTGGAAATAAATGAAGAAAGGCTTTAGACTTGTTCGTTGATGTTATTAAAGTAAATGTTTATAAATATGCTGTTACCAGTGCTACAGTCTGGGCGTCACGCTTATTATTTAAAACATATTTATAATATTTCGGTCCGGAGACATCATCGTTTTGTTTCTTTTATCTTTTTATTTTCATTAATTTCATTCCAGATCGTTTCATCTGTACCTATCAATCACCGTTTTATCACAGACCCTGTATTTTTCTTTCCTCTTCACCTCTTGTTTCTCTCCGATGCTTGCCGACGGACGGACTAGAGTAAACATTACACGTTTAAAGTCTATATTATAAATATAAATTTATAAACTTATAACAATTTACTCAAATGAAATAAACCAATCTTAAGGTCAGATTACTGTAAATGTGGATACTAATAATAATTTTAAGTTTTTCTAAATTTAATACAGAAAAAAACCGTTTAATAATGTTATAAAATATTATTGTTATATATTATACTGGCAGTAACAATGTGTACAGTACCTACAGTAGGTGAGGTTTGAGCTCGTCGTTGGACCTGATCAGATGTAGCGTGGGAGAAGTTTTAAGAGATGCTGGGATGCTGTTAGTAATAAAAATCATAATACTAATGTTGCGATTGCTGGAAAAAACTAAGGAAGGTTAACTATATCTGGTATTGAAAATTCTAAATTTGTTACTAGATACTGTAGCTAACAGTAGCGAGGGTATGAGTCACAGTAATGAGAGCTAAGACTCGCGAGAACTCATAGAAATGAAACTAATATTATTCCGATTATACTATGTCTTACTATTGTAAAGCCTAACTAAACAGACGAAATGTCTGCCCGCGATCATAGTTTCTGAAAAGTAACCTAATTTGGGGAGTGTGTAGTTTTTAAAATAATAAAATACGCGTAGTATAATCCGAAAAATACTAGTTTCATTTATGAGTTACATTATATTTCTCAGCATGTTTATTGGTATATTTCTAAGCACGTTTCTCTACAAACCACATGTCTAGTAGTGTGTATGAGTTACGTCATGTGCAGTGTTTTACCAGAGGACAGTCACCTTATCTCATGTCATGTTAAAAGTTCACCTCCAGCTTCAGACTAGGTCACCTGTCATATGTAAACTATATCCTATTAAAATACCTCTATCAAAAGTCTCATTGTGAGAACATCAAAGACCTCTCCTAAAACTCAATAAGTTATCGTGTCCAGGAGTCACTCGTATTATTATATGTGAATCAATAAATCACTTCTTGTCTTTTAATGTTATTTTAAAGGTAATTAAAGTTTTAAAATGAAAAATAAGAAGGTCACTGGATAACATTAACAGTTAGTAATAAATTCAATTCAAGTGTAACACTTTTGTTTGGAATCAGTGGAAGTTATAAGACAATAAGAACGATACAATAAAAGTGTCGGTACCTATCTTAGTAACAGTAAAATGTATGAAGATGTTGTTAAAATATTTGAGGTTATTGAAGGAGTCGCCTGCTGCTTTTCTAATATGATTTTGACATAGTTCGAACGGCACGCATCGCGATCTATTACAGATAAGTATTGTATTCGTAAACAGTCATTATCATCATCAGCCTATCAGCGCCCACAGCTGAGCAAAGGCCTCTTTCTCACATGGAGAAGGTTTGAGCATTAATCATCACGCTCGCTCAAGACGGATTGGTGATTTCATACTTATAATTGTGAAACTATAAGTCCAGGTTTAATCACGATGTTTTCCTTCACCGTATGTCAGTGGTGTCTAAATACTCTCAAAAAATACATATGACTCCGAAAAATGACATTGGTACTTGCCAGGTTCGAACCCACACCCTCGGCAACGAGAGGCGGGCCCCTTAATCACTAGGCCACCACGGAATGTATAGTACTTTATTGTTTTTATATGTTATACAATTCTATTACAAGTGAACAAATGTAGATTATGATGTGTGGCGTTCAAATTATAGGAAAAAACGAGATCTGAGAATTTCGGTCATTTAAATGAAACTAATATTTTGCGGATATATGTATACGCGACTTTATTTAAAAACTACACACTCACTTTACAGCCACCGTGATCACGAGCAGACGAGATGGAAATAAATTATTATTATCAATATTATATTATAAGAAATAAAGTATTATTATCTATACTTTATTTCTTATAATAATAAGTAAAGAAGTAACTATGGATACTTGTTTAATGCGACCCGGGCTGATATCAACATCACTCTAATTCTGATGAGTTTTGCGGCGACATAGTAGGTAGACTCGCTTACACTGTGATGAATGTGATAAAAAACAAGTTACATTACTTTTCAAGAAAGATAAATATTTATTAAATATAAAACTATTTCAAATATTACAACCAGCATCGTAAAAACGAGAGGGAGCTAGCTCTTCAACTATAACCAATTATATATTTGTTAAATCTCTCTTTTAAATATCTTCCGTGTTTAACACAGAGGACTAACTGAGAGCATTAGTTATATAATAATATTTCTATCAACCTATATACATGTATATATATAATATAGTTATAATACTTATGTGTAGGAATATAATCACTATAAAGCTTCAACAGTAAGAGCTTGGAGAAAATATAAATATACATAAAGTCGGCATCGTCGGTAAAAAAATGTATTGATTCTTTAATAAGTTAATAACATAGAAACTATCGTCAATAACATATTTTAATTAATCATATCTAAGACTTTCGCGAGTATCTATTTAAAATAATGTTTTCGGATCTACTGAGTCTATTTTATTATGTTTATAAACTACATACTCGCGACGTTTTGGCTACTTTTCAACAACCGTTATCACGGTTATCACGGTTAGTATATCCGAAAAATATGAGTTTCATTGAAAAGATTTTAATAAGTTAAAGATTAATTGTGATTTATATTAGATTTCAGTAGTTATGATGTGTGTTACACTTTTTATGAACCTTTAAACAAGCTTAATACGTGAGGAATTCATGTTATTAATAATTGATATAATATTAAATGATTAAGAAATCATTTTTATTTTAATATTGTTATTTTAGTTATATTATAATGATCATAGTGTGTGTCAGTGAGTGATGTGTGTTGTTATAGATGGTGATTGTTCGTGAATATGTTATGAAATGTGAAAGAGTCATGTACATATATGTATGTATATGTATAAGGTTTGTTATCATTTAATTGTTTGAATTAAATTTATAATAAATTATTAAAGTTTCGTTTAAACTGTTGTAAGGACTTTATTTTATTTATCGATTTAATATTTAGTAGAGTTAAGGACTTTTTGAAATAAAAATAAATATAAAGTGTCAAGGCAATCAAATAATATTTAATATTTATTATTTGAACGTAAATATATTGAGTTAAAATATAATATTTTGTATTATGAGAAGGTTTCTTACTTACATTAATGAAAAACAGAACAATCATCAAATCATCATGTACAGGAGATATTCTCTGTACATATCACTAAACATATAACATAAAGATTTCAAAATTACCAAAGAGCATGTAGTGTTGTGTGACGATATGTTTAATATTATGTAAACATAACCGTCTGTGATCAGTCGAGAGATTATAACAAATGAAATTTCATAATGTAGAAGGGTTTTTATACATATTTTCCATTTTCTTTTGTCCAAATAAAACATTAAGGTGTGTGTTCATAACTAATCAAGCACAAGCAGTGAGCCACCCCGTGAGTCACGACACACAACAGTTTCTCTAAACAATACACTCTCCTCTCCTCTACTACGTGTCTGGGTAACGCTTACTGTATCAATATATTGTATTGAGATGTGTTCTAGGTGAGAGTGACTTGATCACTACTGGAGTATTGCATGCATCACTTTCGGCTTCATTTCCACCAACCATCTGGTGGCAGTGCAGTCAAGAACCGTTTAATTTATATATGTATATACTATTACACGGTGTCAATATAATAATCGTAGTTGTTATGGGTCGGTACGAGGTCCTTGTGTTATGTTAATGTCTCCTTATATAACGTATACTTAGTGTGTTAGTTATAGTGGTAGGAGCTGTGGTAGGAGGGCGGTGGACTCATTAAATACTGTCATTACAGTGAGCGTGTGAATGAGCGCAGCTCCAGCGGGAAACTCGTCTATTGTCTCAGAGGACAACAATACGAGCGGAAAATGAAAAAAATATATTACAACATAGGAGGAGCCTCGCTGGGACGTGCGGAGAGTCACGATGAACCCGGGGCGAGGAACAGAGATATACTGGAACATACATAAACTTGATACGCGTTACATAACAAATATAAAAACAATTGTGTGTTAGAGGAGACGATATAAAGATTGAAGAAATTATAAAACACTATGCAGTATATAACAACAATGAAGTTCTGTACATTCAAAAAAATAATTTATACGTATCAAAAAAATAATTTATACGTAGAGCGGATCGAATATTGATTTAAGTCTCTCAAATAAATGTCATAATTGTATACAAAACATAACCTGGCAAATTCGTTCAATAGGAAGAATCATTAAAGATACTCTGTCTCTCCTGTTGTAGTTTGTATGTATGATGTGTGTTTGTTCGTGTGTCTGTGAGAGCGACCAGGTCGTGATACTGTAAACCTGAGCTGATGATGTTACATCTCATCCAGAGATAAATATAAAGTTTTTCAAAATTATTGACTATATACAAGTTTGAAGGCAGCTTAAAAAAGGTTCGATGATTCAGAATTCTAGCAAGTCTGATTGTAGGCTAGTTGGATTGCTTTAAAAGATGTAATGGCTTTGAACAAAATAGCAAATAACATTTGGTACTCGTAATATATTCTCATGGTAGCATTTGTGTTCTAAATAACTTATAAAATAGTTATATGAGATCTTATCTTTTTGTTACAATGAGATTTACTGATTTTATTTATTATAATAACATCATTATTATTTTCCATTTTAACTTATCAAAAGTATAACCGAAATGAGAAAATCGCAAAGGAACGATTGATCTGGAACAACATCTTTCTACTTTATGAAGTGGGTTTTGAAATATGTTTGAAATTATTTTAATTATTATGTATATATTTGAATAAAAAAAGTAATGTAAGTTAATGTGATCTAAGACTTTCACGAGTATTCATTTAAATGAAACTTATATTTTCAAATTACTACACATTATAGGTAATCTGAGAATATAAGTTTAATTTTAATGTAAGATAAAACAATAAAGCTTAGTAAACCACATTACTCGTAAATCATTATCTGTAGTAGAAGTTGTCATCACTCGTACAAACAGTGTAACATGTGACATCGACTTCAATGA